GTCGCTGCTTCTCGGCTTCTTTGCGAGCACGCTCTTCCTCTTGTGCCTTTCTTTCGGCATCACGTTTCTTCCGTTGCTCTTCGCGCTTCAATCGCTGTTCTTCGAGTTTCTTATCTTGCGCAGCCTTCAGAGCCGCCTCTTCGGCCGCTTTCTCCGCATCTCGGCGGGCCTTCTCCTCTTCTTTTGCTTGTCTTTGCAAACGCTTCTTATCTTTCTTCTTTTGCGCTTCCCGGGCCTTTTTAGCATTGCGCTGTTCGTTCAGCGTCTCCTCTTGGAGTAGCTCATCGATTAGCTGTTTCTGGCGCTGTTCGGCAACCTTCTCTCGATATGCCGTCATGACTCGTTGCTCAAACATTCGGGCGGCGAAAATCTGGAACATCCGTCGCCCTTCCTGCATGCGTTGTTCCTCGGTCATGGCATCCTGTTACCGTTATTAGCAAATTGGCTCGAGCAATATGAGATCGTAGACCCGTACCATTTCGTCTTCGTCGAACTCTTCCTCCTCTTGACTATCATAGTCCTCATCGTCCTCTTCATCATCGTAATCCTCATCATCCAAAGGACCGTGATTATGCCCATGGAAGGACTGATGAGCAGCAGCTATTCCGTACTGTGTATCTTCCTCTCTTTGCATTCTCCGTTCAGCCAATTGCTCCATCATATCGATGAAGTGCTTGCCATCGTTTTTCAGAAGATCGTCCGCAACTGTAAGAATTCCATCTGATAAGAAAATAATTAGTATCCAAAGTTAGAGGTCGATCTCTCATAATATCAATCAAGTGATCTTGTTGCATACCCTTTACAGTTAGACTGTTGCCAAATGCAAAAAAATCGGCGCGGGCCGCTCGAGCTTCATCATCCTCAAGGTCCTCGTCGCTGTACAGCTCCTCATCATCGTCTTCCTCGTCCTCGTCGTCTTCTTCATCATCCTCTTCCTCTTCTTCGTCGTAGTCCTCTTCCAAATCATCATTGTTGTCTTCAGGTAGCTCCTGGACCCGGCTCCGTGACGGATGAAACTGGCCATGCGTTCTAGTATGCTGCCCTGGGGACCGAAGAGGTGGTTGATAGAGTCGAGGGGGAGGAATGATGGGAGCTCCTTCGTCAAATGCGCCTTGGTTGTTATTCGCATATTGTTCCAGCTCCTCATAGTATGCATCGTAGAGGACCTCCAGCTCTTCTTCAATCGCGGTTCGTTTTCTTCCACAAACTGTACAACTGCAAGAGTGCTTTTGCTGTTCTTTCATTTTCTTCAAAACAGCGTCCTTTTCCACCTTGACAAGCTGGCGGCGTTCTTCTTCGCCGAGCTCAAACCAAAAGGTCCTGATATTTTCGCGTTCTTCGAGAGTAGACTGGTTCCAGATGCTACTATTTTTAATAGGCTTTCCGGTGAATCGACTGATGTATGGCATGGATTGAGGCGGAGGAGGGTGGGCGAAAGTCGCGGACGGGGTAGAAAGCGGAGTTGAGCTACGCTCAGCATGATTCTGAGATTCGGATCGTGCTTTCCGAGTTTTCTTCCTCTTCGATGTCTCACCCAAGGTAGCGTGGTGGCCATCGGATCCGTTCATTGTGGGAGATCCGCGCGGATGTTCTGGTGACACATATCCGTAATGACCGGTGCTTGCTGTATGGTTGCGATCATCGGGGTAATAGTCGTGGTCTTCATCGTAGGAGCGCTGTTCATCTGTTGCTAGCAAGTCCGCATCTCCGGAGGCATAAGCATCAGGATGTTCCGCGGCTAAGCGAGCAGCTTGTTTCTGGCGACGTTTCTGTTTTTTGCGATTCACAGAAGGCGCAGAGGTCACGGCTGATCCGGTCGATGTGTTGCCCTGAGGACCCCGCGCGTGGGTCTCGCCGTTGGTTGCTGGAAGAGGAGTTGCTGACATATGGGTCGCCATGGTAGAGGTGAAATAAGCTGCAAGGACTGCCTCAGCAGCATACTAATACCACCAGAGCAAGCTTTGAGTTAGAAAATAAGGTCAGAGAGTTTGGGGTGGTAGAATGGGGAGGAAAAGCGGAGAACGGAAGAGCCAAAGAGCCCTACCAACAAAGCTCCGGTGATTCCACGATCTGGGGTTCACTTACCGGAATTATTCCCCTTGGCGTATCCACGCACAAAGAGTAAAGCGCGTTCTTTGTTGTTTTCTGAAAATACACTTCCGCAGTGACAAACGTGAGGGGTGAGATAGGATAAGAACACGGGAGGGGGGGTGAAAGGCACGGCGGGTCACGACGTGTCTGCGCGGATTAGCTGCTGGAGCGCAAGTAAACCAGCGGAGGAAAACAAACAATGAGTCAAAGCTATGATTGACAACCTTGGGAGATATTAATGCTGAGTGAGCGCCGAGGCAAGAGGTACGAGAGATCAAACGATGAATGGATGGAGTGATGGGCTTTCTAGCCTTCTGGCTGGTTGTCGTGCCGCCGCAACGGGATAGCCGCTGCAAGCGAGCTGATGCCTGAATTGTCAGGTTGCAATCTCGAATTGTATGTTTGAGTAACGGGATCGTGCTTGAAAGAAGATATTTCAAACTTTCCACTGGTAGCAAAGTTCAGAGATCAACTGGGTCAACTCTTCAGCCAAGCGATCATGCCTTGGTTACAAGAGTAAACAGAAGTCACGTCTCACTGCTCTCATACTGATCACTATATGGTGAGTCACATGATAAAATCTGGTGTCCGCCTTCAATCTGCCCGCAATATCCCTCCACACCATGGCGGTGAAGATGTAAATAGCAAGGGGAAACAAGTATGAGCGCTCGATCCACCGAGCTGTGTGAGACACGGAGAGCGCTAATTAAAAATATCTGCCAAGGTGATAAACAAGAGAGGGACAAAAAAAGGGTCCCTATAGGGTGCTGAAACCGAAAAGATACCCATCTTTTCTATTAATATTTATGTAGTCCCTTCATAGTCTCGGCGTGAGCCTTAAATCTCCGCTTAAGAGGAATTGTAACTTCCCCTTCATCTTATCTTGCTCTTCAGCTTCGACCTCTTTCTTTTCAAAAAAAAAAACTTCCGCTCACTCAATTTCTGCCCTTCTCCTCTCTCTTTAAGCCCCCTATCATTTCGAGGTGACATCGCCTAGGCATTCTCGTGTCTACGTCAAACCCCCCCAATCATTAGCCTCAGCCGCAGCGCGACCTTTTCCCCCTCCCCAACAATTTGTCACGTCACTGTTTGGGTGCATCTTCAGGCCACCCATTCATCTGCTCTCTGTAATCCCTTTGGGCACTATCTGCCTCGAGCTGGTCTTTCCTTACTATCCATCTCGCCAATTCTCGTAATCAGCTGAATCCGACTCGGAACTCCGCGTCATCTCGCTGATCCACAACACCCTCCGCTCTCCCATTACCCTTGTGTATCACGAAAGGGTTTTGCAACCTTCATAATGTCGCAACAGCAGGATGATAATGTGATGCGAAGGTATGTGTAGCCCATTTTTAAGGTGGTGTCTTACATCCCCGCTGTATCGCAAGGAGATTATGCAAGCCGATTGGAGGCGGCCGCCTAGCACTTCCTATACCATTGCCAGTGGGATGGAAGGCAGAATAGTGTTCGCATATGCTGACTTGACGTCTTACTAGGAAGCTTGTCATCATTGGAGATGGTGCATGTGGAAAAACCAGTTTGCTCAGCGTCTTTACCCTCGGGTACTTCCCAACTGTGAGTTTCGTCCTCAGGCCCTTATAAGCAAGGTCCGTGACTAATATGTTCTTATATGACAGCATTATGTTAGTACTCTCGAATTCGATACATTCCACCCCGATCACATGTCTGACCTCTCCCCCGTTAGGTACCAACGGTATTCGAAAACTACGTGACGGATTGCCGTGTCGATGGCCGCTCAGTTCAATTGGCTCTGTGGGATACGGCAGGACAAGAAGATTATGAACGCTTGCGACCATTAGCCTACTCAAAAGCCCATGTCCTCTTGATTGGGTTCTCTGTGGATACTCCTGATTCGTTGGAGAATGTGAAACACAAGGTTCGTCTCAGATTAATTGAGGAATCGGTAGTCATACTGATTTTCGGTATAGTGGATCGACGAAGCAAACGAGCGATGCCCCGGAGTACCGATTCTTTTGGTTGGATTGAAGAAAGACCTTCGTGAAGACCCATTGGCGATTGAAGAAATGCGCAAGAAATCACTCAAGTTCGTGACAACAAAAGAGGGCAGTGATATCGCAACGTCGATTGGAGCCCGCAAATATCTTGAATGCTCGTCTTTGACAGGCGAGGGTGTTGATGATGTATTCGAAGCAGCTACCCGTGCTGCATTGCTCACGTTCGACAAACGGAAATCGTCTTGCTGTGTGGTTATCTGATGATGCAATTTGGGATGTCTTTCTCTGCCAGCGCTCGGTTTTTCTGTTGACTTGGAACTTGATTGATACAACTTGGTGTAAACCATGAAGATATCAATCAGTACTCCGTTGTATCATGCATCACTGGTGTTTGGGAGGTTCTTGTGTTCACCCAGTCGATTGATCTGGGTACGATGTCTGCTTTCCGGTTATTTTCAGCCGTGCCTTTTCCTTGCAGGTATTTTCTTACGTCTTTCCTTTTTGATCAATTGTGTATTTGTGGCTGATGCTTATGCACGTGCAACTCCGGATTCCCCTCCTTCTCATCGTTCAATTCCCCGAAGTACATTGCGATCCCGCTCATTGTGTTCTCTTTTTTTATGTAGTAATTCCGGTCCCTTTGCTTTCAGCGCTGATTTCTCATACATTGTGCTCACGGCCCGCTCAGGGTACCATATAATCAATTTATCTCCTTTCTCCCTATACTCCTTGATATAGAGTCCGAGCATATCGCACAGAAAAACCATAGGATAACTCAAGCAAAGTCTCGTAGAGCTTGAAACGCAAAATGCATAGTATATCAAGATAAAAAAGGAAAAGCATATGTTACATAGCGCCAAAATGATACATATATCTTGGGCCCTCCAGTCAAATCAACATCAAATCCAACCAGACAACCTCTCCTCAAGACCTCTACTTCCTTACAGGCTTCTTCCAGTCATAGTTCCATCCATCAGAAGGTGGAGAATCGGTCTGCATGCGAGCATACTCAATAGGGAACATATCAGTGAAGATACCCTTCTTGTTCATGGAGACGCGGAACAGCTTTCCTCCGTCACCCGCACCGGTGCGCAGCTCCTCGCACGCATCCTGCATGCTCTGGTACTGGCGCATCATCTCGAGTTCGTGCTTGCGGCGCTGCTGAGCCTGGAACAATTGCCACGCGCGGTGGATGGTCCAGTGTCGGAGGTAACGGTTGCGGGAGAAGCGGAGGGGACGGGGAGTGAGAGGATGGTGGAGGAAGTAGCGGATGAGAGCTAGAGGGTTGAAAATGGATTGTTAGTTTTGAGTTCTTTTTCTTTTGGTTGGCCGTGACGTGTTTGGTCTGGTTGAGGGGCTTTCGGGACTCGGGACTCGGGTAAGAGCTCGGCGCAGGGACGTGACACATACTAATGCGCTTATCAACTACAGAGCCGCCGGAGGCCTTTCTAGCGGCCATTGCGCTTGTTGTCGAGAATGGCGCTGATTGCAGGGCTGCTGTGACTGGGCCGGGCTGTTGTGGTTGGCGGTTCAGGGTCTCGTGGCATGCCCGGGTGATTGATGGGCGGACCGGCGCCATCGACATTGGGATCTTGAAGACATTCGCGAGGGACGCGAGGGCTGGTGATAAGGACCTCATTCTGATGGTTGTTTGTTGGGTGGAAGGAGTGGGAAGGACTCGATGTAATTGAGTTCGACGGGGAATAATTCCTTGACGGCAGAATCTTGTCCGCCGATTTAGCCGCGCGCTTAACATTCCCGCTACCTCTTTAGCTGCAACGCATTTGTGCTTCATATAGGCATGCTCTTCTTAAATAATGATTTGATTTACTTATTGAATGGCTAGGAATCTAATTTGCATAATAAAGGGTTCTACGTCCGATAACTGGTCAATTAAGCCGGTCTTGATAATAATAATAGGTACAGATAGAAATCGATACTTTTGAGCAGAGATCATGACTTGATATTTTTGTCGAATAATAAGATAGAGATATTCAGCAGTATCGAGAGTCATCAAAGGCATCATATGTGAAATGTCCCACCAAAGCCATCAAATAGAATACCATAAACGCCATAGAATGCAGTCGACGCGCGCGCCGAAGAAAGCAGAGGAAGTAGGGACTCAAAATCGAGAAATGGGCTATTCAAAGCTATCAAGTGGACCGCTTTGCAGCATGGTGTTTCTTAGCTCGATCGTAGTTCAAAACCTTGCGGCGACGGTGCGTTTGGGCGAGCTTCCATCGACAATAAAGAACCAGTGCATCCTTCAACAGAACAAACATGCACCCACCAACAACGCTGCGACCCCAGCGGGTCTGGAGTAGCCCCAGGCGGCCACCGCTCATGGTTGGGGATGTCCATGACTTAGGTAGAAGACACTTCAATAGGCCACCCACTGATGCTGAGACTGCTGGGAAGACGAGTGCTCCGAGTACGACATCAGCGAAATTGCTGGTATCGGCGATGATCTCATTATGTCGGTGCCCAAGCCCTAGCGGGTTATTGTTTTGCGCAGCATCTTGTGGGCCGTCATCGGCATCTTCGTCCTGCTCGACGGCAGCCCCAAGGTCCGGTTCGTCTCCATCGCCCATTCCCATTTGCAGCTCAAGATCGATCTCCATCAGGATTTGTCCGTTCCCATTATCACCAAACCGGTTGAGACCCTCCGCCTGATCTTGTTGCTGCGCATCATCCAGGACTTCTTCTGCCGCGCGGGGTTGTACCTCGGCAATCCATTTCCGTTCCAAGCCACCGAATATCCGTTCGTAAAGCGCCCCGTAAAAGCTGTTGACGTATGGCAGCGCGGCAAACGTCATAGCCGGCGTGGGTGGCCACAAGTCAAAGTCCGGGTCCTGCCCGGGGTTATGTGAAGCGAAGAAAAGAACCGGAATAGCTGGAAGAAGGCCTTCGGCGTATCGAGTGCGCGAGAATATTAGAACGAGCGGGATTAGCGGCAATCCAACATTCATCCCGGGATTCCACGGGCCCTCCACAGTCTCCTCCATGATCTGCCTGGCTTCCTCGGTTCCGAAAATGAGGTACATTGAATAAACGCCATGCGCGCAGCACCCGGCCCAAACAGTGCCAGCCATTGTAAACATTATGCCGGGAAGAACCAATCGACCTGCTACGCGCTCGAATAATCGAAGTACATCGACGACATAGCTTCGCGGGCGAGTGACCACGATTTCCGTCTTGCACTGAGGGCACATCATTGTTACACCACCGTTGCTTTTCCGCGACCGGGGGTTTTCCATGTCCGCTAGCCAGTCGAGCAGGCATGCCTCGTGGGCTGTCAAGGCACAAGGGCAGGGCGACCGCCATTCCAGATTCAGTGGCGAGTCTTCCGTTTCATCTGTGTAGCAAATCCAGCATTTGCGCGGCTCGTCTTCCTCTGAGACATGGGGGGGTTTTGATGATGAACTAAGTTTGCTGGAAATATCCGATTCGTGGCTCGAGGTCGATACGCTCTTATTCAAGAAAACGGTTTCGGTGTCCTCCATCGACTCATCCTGAGGTGAGACACTCTCTTGAGAGATGGTAGTTTCATCGGGATTGGCGGGGGTGGTATCATCGGGTGGTCTGATTCTGCCTGGTGCAGAGTATCCCGGGACGGACGCCATCGTAGTGGGGACTAGCTATGCAAGTCAGGGCCGATGAGAGAAGTAGAGAGATAGTTGCGGTAATGATCTAAATCGGGCTCGATAAGAGATAAAGAACGGAGTTCAGCATCTTCTGAGTAGAGAGGTGAAATATATAAAAGCCGAAAAGCAAATAAATGTCTTAATTTGCCCCAGAGCACAAGAAGAGAGGGAGCCCCATTCCACTTAAGTGGAGGTTGGAATCTCTTAAGTTCGGCTGTAAGCCGCGGCTGTCAAAGGCGGTCACGTGGGGGCAATCACGTCACAGACCCAAGCTCAAACCGGAAATGGCAAATGATCGTCGGGCGTATAGATGTAGATTTACTTTCTAATTCACTTTTGAGTATATATGATATACTACCGTTCAGTGAGATACAATAGTTCGACCATTGCTCTTAGTCCTCCTATATTACTTCCTTCCAGGTTAATGACAGCGCTCAGCTCTCTGTGTCCTAATCGTCGTCCTGTGTTCTGAGGCCGTGGTGGACATGGTGATGGTGATAGTAGTGTTTTTCCTGGTCTAGTTGACCGAAGAGCAGAACTAGCTAGGCACTAAATTGGACTTTGGGGCATGTTGCAGTTTTAATACACACCCATAGATATCTGTGTTGTGTTTGCCCCTGCATGTGTTTGCCCCTGCATGGCAAGCCCATATACGAGGATATTGAAAAGTTAACCTTTGATTTGGTCGAATATGGAATACTACTCCACACAGCTGTCTACATAGACCGATGGATAAGAAATTTGAATTTGAATAAAGTAGCAAATCATCATTAAAAAAGCAGAAAGTAATAAGGCTTGATCTGGCGATCTGGTGATCAGGGGTGGAAAAGCAACATCATAGAAGAGCGAGGGGTAGCTAATCCACACACCCAACTAACTACAGTTCAGGGTGAATGCTACCGTCAGACTCCCTCTTTCCGTCAGCTGATGCAGCCATTTCTTCCAGGGCATCATCCAGATTAGTTGGGACTGAGACAGATTCAGGCGACCCCGCGGGAACAGCTGCAGGTTCAGCGGACTTTGTCACGTCCATGTCGTCCTTGCCCTCCTGCTTATCTGCCGATTCGGTTGCTATGGGAGACGATCCAGCCGATTTCGAGGTCTCTGCTGGGGTCTGTATAGGGTAGACATCCGCTGTTGTGGTCCTGGGCGAGGTCATGTCCTCTAAAACCGGAGATTCAGGTGTTGGGTCTACAGATTCACCGGCGGTATTCTTGGCAATTGGAGGGGCCATTGGGCGTTCAGCAGTCACCGACGGTTCCTTCACTGCAACGGCAGACTTCTCTTCCTTCTTACTGGTTCCAACAACAACCTTTCCATCCTGGTCGACCTGCCAGATATTCAAAGCTTCTGTGATCTTGATCTCTGGGATAGTGGGGAGCGTGGGACTGGTTTTCTCGACGGCTGGCTTGCGTCGTGCTGGTCCACGGGCTCTTCCCTTACGAGCATCGCTGAGAGGCTGCTTCTCAACCGGCACCTCGGGCTCCTTTTCCTGAGGCTTTGGCTGCTGCGGACCCAGCTGCAGACGTGAATTCAGATCAGTGAGGAAGCCCGCCTTCATGGCTGCAATTTTGCTCCCGCCTGGACGACCAGGAATTGCGGGCTTGGCCTTAACTGCAGGAGCATCTTTCGAGGCTTCAGCGGTGGTTCCTGCGGCCTGGGAACTGGGCTTAGCAGGACGGGTAGGGACCTGAGGCTTGGGTCTGCCTGGAATTGATGGTGGTTGGCGCTTTTCGGTCGGTGAGGTAGACTGAGGCTGTCTCTGCGGGCGCGGGGGAATTCCAGGCCTGGAAGGTACTTCCGGACTTTTCAATTCTTCTTTTGCAGGCTCAATTGTGGTCACCAGCTGTTGACTATCAGGGGCATCTTCCCAAATATCTCTACTGGGGAAACGCTGTTTCAAAGTGTCGGGTCGCGCGGGAGTCTTATCCCTGCCGTTCTCGCCTTCCAGGATGAGGGCGGCCACCCGATGAGAGTCGACTTTGGCGTTCTGCATCTTGCGTTTGGCCTCTTGCTCGGGTGTTTCGAAGACTTCGGCAGAGTCTCGCTTAGGCAGATCTGGGGTGGTGACGGTGGCCTGAAGCTGCAGACTGTTCGGGGTATCCTCCCAGATATCCTGGCTAGGGAATCTGTGCTTGAGTGTGTCAGGCCTTTTCTTGAAGCGATCCGCAGCTGACACGGGTTTCCCTTTCTTAGCATCCTCTTCAGGGAACAACGGTTCATACTCCTCGACGTCTTCAAGAGGTGTATACGTATCCTCGCGCGAGTCAAAGCGGGTTAGTTGGCCTTGCACACTTGCCGACCGACTGTTGGAACGACTGTTGGAACGACTGTGGGAACTAGGGGTTCGACTGCGGCCATCATCCTCGAAGCTTGGTCGACGATCAAATGACGGCGAGACGGCGGGATGCAAGTACGCCGACTCGGGGCGCACTTCATCAGCAGCCAAAATTGGCTCATCGTCCTCCACGGCGTTCTCATATGTCGGCTCATTCTCTTCCAGCGCCGGGGTGGCGGCGAATCCATCCGGATGGTGCAAAGGATGCATCGGATCATCCACGTGGATCACGCCACCATCACGATGACCATGCGAACTGGATCTACGTTGATGCAGTGGCCTTGCGGTAGTTTGCTTCTGCGTTGCTTCTGAAGGGAAACTCATCTGTCGAAGTGGCGACTCAACAGTCGGTTGGCTTTCGAATCGACCGTCGGGAGGGGGAGAAGCAATTTGCTGTATGTACTCGTCGGACGCTATATATCCGACCTCTTCTTCGGGGGTACCCACGATGGATGGGGAAGTACCTAGCTACAGTTAGCTTTCAATCGGCAGCACAATTGCTTCAAATACTCACCAAGACCGGAACCAGTCTGGGCCGAGCTTCGAACAATCTTGTTCAGATCATCGCTGCTCATTGCCCAATCGGGACGCGGAGTGCCGACACCAGGGCCATATTTTCCTTCTTCCTTCACGAATTCATCGGGATGCTTTTCATACCAAGCCTTCTCAAACTTATCGGGATGCTGAACACCATGTCCATGCAATCCATAGCTACCAGGGGGCAGTGAAGAGTCCCGAGCACTACGAGTGCGGTTGTGGTTACGGCTGGACCGCTGCGAGCCTTGTTCGAGGTACGGGCTGGGGGATGGTGCCTGGACGTCACCGGCATTTGGATACATGGGCACGCGGAACCCCTGCTCATCTCCCATGTGGGCAGAGTGTCGGCGCTCATTGGATGCAGTTGATCCGGTGCGTGAACCACTCGTTCGGGAATGCAGTGAACGACTTGAACGTTCTAGTTCCTCGCGAGCAGGCGAAACACCACGGCCTAGTCCTGCCGCAGCAGCCTGGCGGGAATCAGTCCGGGTGACACCTCGGACTCTTGCTTCCGCACTTGATATCGGCAACGAAGGTCTCGGTGCATGGATCTTAAGATCACTGCCAACATTGCGAGTCTCCGCAGGTGTCTGGTGATGGGTATCCGACATGTTTCCTGGGTCGAGATCCGCATATTCAATACCCTCCTCGCCGAGGGACGGTATCGTGACGCTGGGAGGACGTGGAGGCAAATCATTTGAAACGGTGCGACTCATGCTAGGACCGGTCCATTCATTGAACGGCGAAGGTGCATAGCTATCACGCATGGGCGAAGCCGAACGATCACTGCGGCGATTGCCCGGGCGCGGCGGTATCTTGGGCATTTCTGACGACGATGACGCTGCCGGTGGTTTTGGAGATCGGGCCGGTCGAGGAGGAATGACCGGAGCAGGTTGGGACATGATGAAGTTCTGGGAGCTGTTGACAAGTCAGCGACTGCCCAACCGGATACCCCGCGAATACGCTTGGCCTTATGCGGGCTCAAAACAACAATGGACACACGGCTCCAATGAATTGCAGGGATTAAGGCAACTACTATGGATATGCAGCAAATTGATGCAAGGTTCTCAAGAGGAGAGAGCCTAGCCATGCGACTGATAAGAGTATACGGAATGATTTGCTTACCCGGATATGGTGAGAATTAGTTTGAATCCAATTGGAATGACAGTGAAAATGTGCAATGAGAACAGTTAAGAACTGCACGGAAGTAGATATTGAAGCAATTCCGAATCTGAGTTTTAGGAAAGAGAGATGATGTATGCTCTTTCTGCCACGCCTGACGTGCTCTGACCGCAAGAGATAATGCGCGTATTGTACTAATACAGTATCATTACATGTTATATAAGAGCCAACTACGACGATCCGTTAACTCAACGCCCCGCCGATGAGATCAATATAGGGCACTTTCGCTTCTTTTGTTGAGGTCCTATAAATGGCTTCTATCTGTGGTCAATATTGGTCTTAAAATAATGCCTGTTTCTCTAAAATTATACCTTTACCCGAGTGACCGTCTCAGCTCAGATCAAACATTGATCACATGTTCTTTATACTGTACAAGATATCTAAAAATAAGCTGAAGTATCTTACAAGTACTTATTCCGTAGTCTAGAACTTGATATCGGACTTATTCTTTGACCTTTGACTTCTCATGATAAGATGATTTCTCTGTCGTTGGATTGGCTGACTCGACCGAGGCGGTGAAGTGTAATGACTTTCCACATTGCATCATCGTTGGCTATTTATACAACTCGACTAACCCTACATTGTACACTTCATTCTAAGATCAATGGACATTCTTAACATATATGTGCACTACCCTAGGAGCTTTCAGTCTCGACTCTCTAGGTATCGCTTTCCTTTGACCTTGTCATACCTTTAATCACTAGGATACACCGATCTGTTCAACAATGAGATCCACTCACTAACCGAAACAGCGAGAATACACGCCACATATTGATCACCAGGGCTAAAAAGAATTTGCGGGGCAATATGACCTGTGACGAAAATTCCAAGCTCCATCCCACTATTTGCGTCACGTTCCTGTATATTATTCTGTCTATGATTCAGGCTAGACGACGGCTTGTCTCGTGTAGCAAGCTGGACGGATTGCAGCCTAGCCGGGTCGCCTAAGTTTCAAGATTGTCAGGGTGCAAATTACCAGATATGGGATAGTTACATAGAGTGCATATACAATGTAGGCTGATACCCAACCCTAATTCTGCCAAATACATTCAATCTACATCTATTTCCATCTGGTCCTATTGGTGACACTTTTCAGGGCCAAGCGGGTATATATTCACTTCCGTATAAACGATAGATTTGAATTTGGACTCTTCCGGATTCGTTCTTTGCAATCCCATCCCCGCCACCCTATCTGTGGGGGAGCGGCCCGGGGCGGGGTTGGTGCCCGAATGCCGTTTGAAGCACGATTCACTATCCTTGGAGTAAATATTTCTCCGATCTTTAGGTAGAGGTGAGGCTGACATAAGTATGAAATAATATTAGGACGAACAGACGTTGGACAGTGTGGGCTGCTTTTAAACGCCTGTTCGCCCGCTCCTTGGCCCTGATCTATGCTTCAACGCTTAGATTCCACCTTCTATTTCAGCACTGCCTGTCCAAGACGAACTAGGTCGTTATTCTTAACCGTTTCCTGATCGAATCCCTTCACAGCCAAGTCTAGAACTGCCGCCGAAAGCTCTTCCCGATCAATATTTGGGATTGTGCGCGTGAAAGCGTTAAGGACATGGAACACCGAGGCCAGTACAGATCTCCCAAAAGTAGTGGAATTGACCACTACTCCGGGTTGAGCGATACAGATCTCGACCCCCGGGTACTCTTCAGGAAGCTTGATAACCATGAGCTCTGTTTCGCACTAAGAAGCAGATCGTCTTTAGCATAAGAACAGACAGACTCGTGCAACTATAACTCACGCGCATGACTTGATAGTCACCCATGATGGCTGGCCTTTTGATCGGATCTCTGGGTGTACCATCGGCACTGAAGTAGATGAAACGGAAGGGTTTCGCGGGACCGGCCTCGTACATGGCCTTGAATCCCGCGAGAGTGCAGTCTTGACACACGCGCTTGACCTCAGCAAAGTCAAAGCTGCTTGTTCTGAATGGTGTCACAGCGACCGTCCTTAAAGGCAGCACGAGTTAGTGGGCTTTTTTTTCCATTCTTAATTGCCATAATATCAACGAGAGTAGGATTGCGTACCATATGCAGGCGTCCGCCCCGGCGAACTCAGCCTTCACATCAGCAGAATACTCCCCGTAGTCTCGAATGACATAAGCTTCGACGTCGGGTCTGTTCCTTCTTCAACTTGGACGGGCTTCCGAGCTAGTGCGATAACCTGGGTGATCTCGTTGATTTGCAGGCATTGCTTAATGATCTCCGAGCCCACCAGACCGGTTGCACCAGCTACAATGAGCTTCATGGTGAGAGTATCTCAAGTTCGGTAAAGTTGTCGGGTATTAGTTACACAGGGACGGGAATGATTAATCAACGTTAGGAGAATGCAGAGGTTACAATTTCCAGGGGATACTACTTATAGATCCCGTCGGGATTCGGGCCCAATCCCGTTCGGTCAGTCCGTCATTGGACTCTAGAACCTGCCCATGTGGGCTACCTATCCAACTCTGTATTAGAATAGCAGTCTGATGCGATTTCAACGACTCCGTTTATGTCCAGCGCTCCTACCTGAGGGAGCTTATATTTCTAGGTGGGCTGGGCCACGGCTCTCTTTTCTGCTACAAAGGTCCCTTTCCAGCGGCCCCGGGTGCTGTATGATGCCGTCGTTAGGAAAAACAGTTATGCAATTTCAATAGGTCCAGCGGGGATCTGGCCGAAGATGCCACCCGACCGAAATTCCCTCAACCAGCGGTACGGATGGGCACGTACATCTTACCTCTGACATCCTGTCCGTTATAGTCATTCTGATGGATTGACTGACTGATAGATAGGCCTGTGCAAGGCGTTCCCAATCTAAATGTAAATGTGTCCCGAGACCTGGTAGCCAAAGCTGTGAGAGGTATTATTGTCTAAAGAAACCCTGCCTGTGAGATACATCAAGTCTCCGACAAGCTGTATGGACCATTTTACTGCGTTGATTGCAATCGCACCATTCTTCGACGATTTCGTTGATCGCAGGGGACGTATAGAGGGCGGTTTCGACCCCGAGTGGTCGTATGGATTTGGCTGTAAACCAGGCTGCTCAATTAGATGGCATAGCTTATGTGGCAACCCTTGTTCGTGGAGAAACGAGTTGCATATCAAAGCTTATTCCAGTAAGTAAGTGGGCACCGTGTCCGGAGTCTAGATTCACGATCCCCAGCTGCGAAAATGGATCCAAGCCCAATGCCGAATGCCGATCTACTGCATGAAATCGAGGGACAGCTGGCTCCGGGCAGCTGGATAGCCAATAATATATGGGATTTAATCAAAGTTGGGTTCGTAATTGCGGGCCGTACCCCGACTCATCGGGAATGGCGCCGATCCCGACGAGGCTGTCTCATATTGGAGACGCTCGGGCGGTTTCCAAGACCAACAGTCGCAATGTTGGGAGCATTGCTCAGCCCGTTCTCAACAAGATACCGAAACCGAAAGGATATTGTCAAGTGGAAATTGTGGTGAAGAGTAGGGCGGGTGAGCAGGGTACTGGGAAGTGAGAGCTGGATGGACTGTTACAGGCAGCCCTCGCTAACACAAACCGCCATTTGATACTATTAGTAATCATACCGCGAAAACACCCGGTTGCTATGCCAAAAATCCCAATCGTAGTAGGTATAGCTCTTTTACGTTGAAGGGACAGGGGAGATTACAGGACAGTGTATTAGGAGCTAAGCCGGAAATGGCAACATGTACGTATAGTTACCCAAGTATCGCCCGAATGAGGAGCTACTATGTACCTAATGGGTCTGGGCGCTTTTACGTTAGATACCCAAGTGTCAGAGTTGATACCTACAGAAATAGGCCATCATCCACGCGCTTCTAAACCCCGAAGAATCCGAAGAGCTTCCGTTTCACTAGATCTATAACATACAGCTGAAGTCATACTGAGTCTCGTCTGATATTGTGGCGGAATTGAGCTTGGTCAAAGAATACACCTTTGAAGATAGATATCGGAACACCTATTCTGGCGGACGCAGTCCACAAAAAGAAAGGAAACCACAGATATATCTGCTATAGGAACGCTCATCGACTTTGAAAACAAACATGTCCAGCGGGATCATCCTGAACCAAACCGAGGCATACAAGTACAGCACAATAAAAACATAAAAACTATTTCATAGCACATCCCAATGCATGCTGCCCAAATGGCATTTTATCTCTGCACCATCTGCACCGAGCATTTCATCGTGTCGCACGAACCTCCATTCCCCAGGACCAATCCCAAAATGGATACAGCTGGTATATAACAAGACAGGAACGGCTCGGTGTGAACATCATACCATCAGACAATCATCTGTGCAACTCCCTGGCCACCTAGGGTCTTGCTACCAACAAACTCTTGCTTCGTCAGGCCTGCGAGTGCATAGAAAACAGACGCGATGAGAAGGAAGACGGCACCAGCAATCAAGCTAGAAGCCCTTTCGGCAAGACTGATAAGTTGGACACCACCAAGGACGGCGTAAATGAGGGCGCGCATCCAGTTAGTTGTGAAGCGGCGGATAAAGGAATCGAAGGTCGAGGATGTGGGACAAATTCGGAGGAGGAAGGGCACTTCTATGAAGAGAATGACGAATGCCGAGGCACTGAGACACGTTAGGCTTCGCAATGAATCGCGAGAAATGAATGCGACTCACATGCTGATGACACTGATGATAATCAGAACCACGTTGAATGAAAAGATGTTCGCAATCCCTAGCGCAAGGCAAAGGATAATGCATAGCACACCCGTCCTAGATCTTGCGTCAGACCGATTCATTTATATGCGCAAGTGATTTTCGGGAGTGATTGAAGGGTCCAGGCCACCTCACGAGGTAGCAAATGGCATTTGATCATTTGATCAAAATGCGAAATGCTCTCTCATGACATTATTCAGGCTTGTAAGGACACGGAGTGTTAAGAGGCAACGCGGTAGACTAACCATTGTCCATAGATGCCTAAGAAGACCAGCACGGTTAGCAGGTTGAGATATGGTATTGCAGAATGTGGGAACTTACTGAAATTTCGCGATTTGAACTCCTCAGCTAGCGTCATGGTGGGCTAGCGAAAAGAATCTGGGGAACAAGAGCTGAAGATCACAGATGGGGGTATTCGCGGATGATCAGAGGTGTCAGAGGGTCCGGCAAAGTGTACACGCGGCTGATCCAGGGCGGTCAAAACAAACAAAACGGGCAGGAACGATCGATAATTTTCACAAGGTGAAAGAAAGATCTGGGGATTATGACATTCACTTATGCAGTGTTGTAAATGTTTCTAAAGCTTTTGATAGGATCATCCCGAGGTCGTTTTCTACGCCAAGTCAAATTCCACCCCCTACTAATCACCAGGCAGACGCCAATGGTCAAGACCCCATATAGTCGGTCTCTAGGGCTGATATTTCCACTTATTCCAACGCGTAACACATTCACGGTCTATTTTTGGAATTCTCAAAGAAGCTGGTTGAATAATCAATGAAATCACTACTCACTAACATCTTGAATTGGTTGTTTGGTTGTAACATTTTGCGAATCTGCTTCTTTGTATATATTGCAAGAGAAGAGCACTTTACAAAATCCGAACAACGTAAGATCTACTCCAGAGCTGGAAATATAGTTTGAGGGATATAATATTGTAGTCGTGTCCTTTTATTTTGAAAAATAACACAACATATTATTAGAACACAGTCACGAACGAATAGCATTTCGAGTGCGATGCCTTAAGCTATCAGTATGCTAGGTCTGATAGGATCTTTATCTCTCAGCTTTCTGCATTAGCTCAGAGTGTGAAATTTGGGTGAAGTATCTTCTTCGTCAAAGTCAAGACCAATAAATTCTAGCTATACTGCGATAAAATCCACGACATGGACGGTACCCGGAACCCAGTTTCTACTCTCTGCGTGTATTTATGTATATAGAAATTGAGAGAGATGTCTAGTTATATCAAGGGAGTAGTCAAAGGAGTACGTAATGTAAACCAAACATTTCGTGTCCAGGTGAGCGATAGCACGTTCACTCTCTACCATCCAATCATCAGTTCTTGTATTTACCTCAAAGCATGTATCTAAAGAACGGAGAGCGATCGCCCAGCGAGTCGGGATTCTCAGGATACTCCGAAGGATCCATGGCATCCCGCTTCCGGTTAACACGCTGGTATGCCATACGTAGAATGACAGCTGCTGTCATGCCCACGACAACGAATGCAAGTTCAAGAGAGTGACCAAGGATGTAATTCGGCGCATCTTGAGCACGGTAGAAGTTTGAGGACATAGCTGTTGAGTGAAGAGTATTAGTTTGTTTGTCAAACTCCCAATTGATGCGCGATCCTTACCTCCTGCCAGGTTGCCTACTCCGATGTAAATAGCCATGCCGGCAGCACGCTTGTAGTCGCCTGCCATATTCACACTGAGCCATGTGACGTTTCCGGGGAATGCTGGATAAATTCCTTTTGTTGTGTTAGCTGGAGGATAAGTGTGCGGAGGTTTGTAAATTCTTACCGACAACCGCCAGGAAAATACCAAAGTACATAACACCTGGGACTCCCCGACCAGTAGACGCGAGACAGATGATAAAGCCGATACCAATCATGCCCATAAAGAAGAGAATGAATGGGGATCGCTGCTTGCGCCTGTCTGATACCCAGGCTGCAATAACAGCGATAACCGCTGCAGTGATATAAATTGGTACCTAACATAATGATGTCAATCTCCGCTTCATTATGAAGTAGCTCAGGGACCTTACTGTAAGGAGCTGGGCAGTTGAAGCCTTATAGCCTAGGTCCTTGATGATTGAAGGAAGGAAAAGGGAAATGCCGTATAGCGGACAAGTGATACCCCAGTACACTTTCCACGAATCAGTGAATAATACATTGAATAGCCGAGGACGAACAGAACTTACCGAATAGACCCAACCAAATTTGCCAGTCGGTGAAAGCATCGATGACATAGCGCATTTCGAACTTATCATTCGTTTGATCAATTTCGCGGGAATCTGCCGAGTTTTGAATTCGCAAACTGTGGATCACAAATCGACGCTCTTCTTCAGTCAAAAAAGTGGCAGTTTCCGGGGAGTCGTGAATCGCAAATGGGGCTATGAGTGCCACAATAACTGTAAGAAGACCTTCAAGAATGAAAATCCATCTCCAGCCAGCGTATCCGCCGACACCATCCATTTTCTAGGAATTTCGAAACACATTAGTGAAAAGAATTTCATTGCTGTCAGCAAGTAGAATACATACAGCGATAGCGTATGCAAGAAGCCCAGAGAATGCACCCGCAACACTGGCGGCACTAAAGAAGAGAGCTTGTCTAAACTGTGCTCGATGGCGTGGATACCAGAGTGTAATGTAGTATGCTACACCGGGATACAATCCGGCTTCTATCTCGTTTCATTGCAATCATTAGTCTTGACTAGAACAAGGTGGAGGTTGGAAGGAGGGTAGACATCAACATACCTGCAATGCCCAAAAATAATCGAGCTGCGAGTAGTCCACCGTAATCTTTGACGACTCCCATCAAGGTCTGTGTAACATCTCATTAAATGCTGTTTGCGATCACCCAGAAATTATGTGCGCACTTACCATAACAATTCCCCAAGCGACCATGATCAAGGGGAGCCATCTCGATGGTCTTAACTTCTTTAGAAGTAGGTTGCTAGGAAGTTCGAAAACGCAGTAGGTGAAGAAGAAGACGGTCACTACCCACAATCATATGTCAATTGGCCATTCTTCCTTGAAATCAAATAGCCAAAGGGGTTCATCATACAAGTCCAATTGTATTGCGGTCCCGTCATACGGAGATCGTCAACAAGCCCCTCTATCTTTGCATTTCCGATATTCCCACGGTCCAAGAAGGCCAGCAGATATAGCATGCTCAGCATGGGAATGAGACGGATGTCCATCTTCCGGAGGATAGCCTTTTCATCAACCCCCTCAAAGGTCGGTGAGCCGAGGCTGGATGACTCCGCATCTGTGACAAGTCCATCTTGCTTGAGATCGGCGCTGAATAGGGAGTCTTGGGTGGGTGTATCCTCGAAGTGTTGTGGAGGGGTCTTCTCCGGAGTGTTCTTTGAATCAGCCATGGTGAACAAAGAGAGATGAGAGAAGAGGGAAATCAACCAGCGCGGGACATCGTTTTCCGAGTATTTATACCTATCCTGAATAAGCTTAGCCTAACCCGGGGTAAGTCCGAAAACTGGGGATATCCCTTGGCATGAGGGGTACCACATCGGGATAACACATTGGGGTACTTCCTTGGCGGTTGACCGGCCTCGACGATTCATTTGACCCCGAAAGGAATGTTGAGCGGCGAGTCTATTGATTCTGGGAACTTTTACTAGAGGTTTAATATCTCACATAGTGGGTTATATCAAAAAGGACTACGGAGTACCTATGTGGGGAGTACCCGATATGCGGGGGGACACGGTCCACCCATCGTGACTTGCGGCACAACTTGCGGCACTTAAATACTGTAATGACCATACTGTAGCACAGTCTGCTTCCTATGTCGACTGACAGTATAAACAGCCTTATCTGGGGCTTTGGGTTGTATCCATAATCCAATGTTAAGGCAGAGGCCCTCTCCCAGATCCACCACGATTTCCAAGGTTCAAAGTCAGATCATTTTTATCAATCCATGGATATACATCAACTGGCTTAAATTGAGTGCCAACATGCTACCAGCGACGCAATACTACTTATGCGAAGCCCGTCCTACCCAAAGGAGGGAGACTACCGAGACGTTATGGATATCTCAATTGATTCCCATAAAGCACTGTGTTCTAATTGAGATACGCTAACATGTGCCCTAGAAAACAGGAGCGATATCGACGCAACAACTCCAGCAATCTGGTTGAGCAGCAGGTGTAGTGCAACCCAAAGTAATATTACCAAATTCCCTATGTGTGTACCATTCCAGAAGAGGGCTGGTAAAAACGACTGGACCACATACACTCGCGTTTGGAGGGTTCTGCGGATGGTTGGTGAGTGTGGCAATTAGTCGCGATGAAGGGGAACAATTGTGGAACTGGACACATACATACCACGACTGTAGACGAGCATAGGAGAGCAGCCGGCCAGCAGCCCTGGGTACAGAGCTTGTAATTCGCGCCCGAAGAAATAGGAATGAATGCGGGAATCACGAAGCTTTCGAGAGTATTGTTTGTGGGTAGGGCTTGGGTTTTTAGAAAGAGCAAGGCTAGGACCGATGAGATGGTGAGTTGCATTGTGTTTTGGGAAGGTGAGGGTCTCTTCGTACAAGCCAATCTCAATACAAGCGTGGGGTTCAAAGATTGGGAACGGAATCTAAGGAGCAGCTTGCGGTTCTTATTTATAGCCAAGTCTAGCCGTTGTGCTGCCGTTGTGCTACCGGATTATGCTTGTTCAACCTGGACTCATGAAGAACCAATTGAGGCATTGGATCGCTCGAGAAATCCTAAATGATGTTCTTACTAGCCAATGTTCCAATCTCATCCTGCCAATACAATTAATTATAGTAAACAATATCCTAATACTCATCAGATAGAGGCTCGACCTTACAGTATCGAGGGCACTTAGCCATATTTGCCCCTAGAGTTATATCATCATAGCATAGCACCACAACGTCTTCCTCGACCAGATTGGCCACAGTTACTATCACTCAAGACCATATCATTCAAGGTCACCTCCCATTTACAACACCGCCAATTTCCAAAGCACAATGGCACCAGGCCCGTCGACCAAACCCGACACAAGTACACAATGGGACGACGCATCGCCAATATGTGGATAGCCGCCGGCTTCCCCGTAATCCTATGCGAGAAAGCGGGCAACTACAGCAGCGCAGTGCGCTACATTGAGGAACACAAGGCGAACAAGCCGCTGAACTAGGCACGCACCCCGCTAAGTTGGAAACAACATCCTCCCTACCAGAAGCCGTCAAAGACGCATGGATGGTCGCCGAAGCTATCCCGGAGAACCTGGACATGAAAATCGCGATTATGACAGAGCTGGATAAAAACGCCCCACCGGACTGCATAATCGCCAGCAACTCGTCATCGCTGCGGAGCCGTCAGATATCATCAATACCAAGAATAATTACCGCATCTGCAATGGTCACTATTACATGCCGCCGGACCAGCTGTACTACGAGGTCATGTCGTGTGGCTACACGGATCCTGAGATCTTTCCGTTTTTGATGGAGAAGCTGCCCAGGCTGGGCTCAAGCCTGTGCATGCTAAGGTTGAGTCTACTGGACTGGTGTTTAATCGTATTTGAGCGTCGCTTAAGCGGGAAATTTGCCTTGTCCTGGCTGACGGCGCCAGTGATGCTCATACCGTTGATGACATGTTCAAGAGTTGGTTCAACGCTACCAAGGGTCCTTGCGAAATGATGGATACCGTGTACAATATTGAGGCTGTCTATAGTCAACAGCGTGATCTGGATAGCACTGCCACGGATTGGCTGAAGAAGAATTATGTTGGTAAGGGAAATTTGGGTGCCAAAGCTGGAACGGGTTTACTTGGATAAATAGAGATCATTATCGACTAATTTTCATTTTGCAAGATAAAAGATAAAAGTGTTTTAGAATAGACCATTGAAACTGCAGTTCTGAGAGTTATGACGAGACACCAACTGGAACTAATGATTTATTGGGTATAAGATATAACTGCACTCTCGATTCCGGGAGTATATAGGAACGACCCACGTCGCCTCAGACAGTCCATTACAGCATGACAATGAACTGCAGATCTTCGACGACAGACTATGAAACACGATTCGGACCAAATAGGCGACGGTGACAAGGGAGAAGATGACCCTCGGAGCCAAGTCGCCAGAGTGGTGTACAAGAGGTAAAGATAAAACGAAACGACCAAAATAAAGTAAAATAGGGCATGAGGGTAGGTATCGGGGGTCCAAGGAAAACCGGCCAGGGAATCAACGGTCATCAGAAGTATTAATATGCAGGAGACATAATGATAAAAATTAGGCAAGGAACGTAGTAAAGTGAGGGGGCAATCAGAATAGCACGACGGCAACAGATAAGTGTGCTCTGAAACCTCAGAGGAAAGGGTATAGAGTGAAGGGCATTAGGAGCAGGCCCCAGGGTGTGACTTGCAATCATTAGGGTGTAGCACAGGCATAGGGCCATCAGCGCAGAGGGAGGGGTTGAGCAGTGAAGAAACAGCCAAACTAGGTTAAAGACAATCGCGCGGGCGAAACCTTGACCAAAGAAACAATAATTAAGGGGATTTTCTGCGATGATGGACTTTCCACTCTGCTTTAGCGACACGCATAAACAATTCAGTGTCTTTGATGGGAACCCAGCTGGTGAGGACTTTCATGATATTCTCAAAGTCGGACTCGAGAATGATGTCACGCATGCCATCAATAAGGGCAGCAGATGAAGCATGCAAGACGTCAAGGCCTTGGCCAAATGTCCTTACGTTATCATTAGTGGGGACTTTGTTCTTCGATCCGGAGGATACGGAGCGGCCAGTGTTGTCTTCGGCATCACCAAGGAGCATGAAGACATCCCACACCCGAAGTTGAGCTGGGAAGGGGATCGAGTAATTGAAAAGTGTGAGGTACCAGCGAGTGCCGTAGGCTGTGGGTGGGATTCCGACCTCGTTCTGAAAAATTAAGCGTTAGTAGACACTCCTCGTGTTTCGAGCGAGATTGACTTACCAGTTTCGTGGCCACTTCACCTCCGGCGAGCCACTCTCGTTCAAAGTCGGCCAAGGCCTCCATTAGTCCAGCAAAGCCGGATTTGTACAGCTCTTCCAGACCTCGCAGCTGCCACAATCTGACGAGCATAATAAAAGAATGCTCCTCATCGTAATATGCTAGTAACGTAGCCGCGAGAGTTGCCATTCCCTGTACGTAGCCAGTGTCAGGGAAATATAGTGACATGGCGTGAAGGACACGGAACAATAGTCTTTGGCCACCCCGATAGCGCCTCCGAAACATTATATGGCTGGAGATAGTTCGCGGTACATCGATATCAATCTGGACATCGTCCGGTGATGAGATGAACTGGAGTTCATTGAAGGCTTCGATGAGCTCGTCCGCAGGTGCGCTGCCTTTGTGGCGCCGGGCACTGGCTTCAAGGAATGAGTACCAGGCCGTTGACCGCCACCGATCTGGAATGCCTTTCCAAGTTCGCTCGATTAACTTTGAGCTCTGAGTATCGAACTCAAAGGTCATACCGCCGCCGTCCTTGGTCTTCTTAGTCGGCTTAGCCATCTTGGTCCATTTGTCCTCACGTCGCCACTCCTTCCTTCGCATCGCGCGAGTAAGTGGTGCACCTTCCTTCTCACCAGATGGAGTGGGTAGAGTGAGCATGTCAGCCGCCTCATCTTTGGCTTTTCGGTCTCGGTTGTGAGGCAAATGATTGGTAGCGGCACGCATACGAGATGTCGAGCGGCGCAATGGCGGACCATAGTTGCTCTGTGATGAAGATGGACGCGCACTCATAGAAGTTTGGGATATTTTGCGGACTAGAGACGCACCATTGAAAGAACGGTTACTGGCTGGAGCGGTTGGTGGACGAATTGAACGTTTCCGGCGAGGTGTCTCAGAAGCTAACAGAAGGCTAGTTGTAACTCGCTGGAGCGGGTTTATATCGGAACCCTTGGAGTTCTTTGCAGGGCGAATGAAGCCATAACGATCGACTTCTTCTGCACCGACATTTTGCCAATATTCAGCACCACCTGCTAGCTCCTGTGTTTCCCTCTTAATTCGCATACGCTCCACTTCGCCAGACGTCCTTGGTTTGAGTTCATTCCCAGCCTCATCCGTCTGAGCAGAGTGTGTTTCAGAGGTTTCAGTATCCGGGACCGCACCCTCTTCCCACAAGACTCCGTTCTCTGAGGCCATTGCTCTCGCAACCTCGGAGTCGGTAACATTTTCTTCGCCCTTCTCATACATCAGCCTAACTCGCCGTGACAACATATCTTCGTCAGCCGAGATTGCTCTGCTGGGAAGACTAGTCTGTCTCGGGCGAAGAGTGCCTTGAGGTTTGACGTGCCGTGGAACTGCTTTCGGTGCTCCGTTCTCTCCTTCTGGCTTGCTCATGGTAATGGCAGGGGGTGGCGCACTTTCAGATGTCTGTCGATCCAACTGTGGATCGCAATCCACATCCGATATTTCCTGGGCTGGTCGGCCTAATTCTTGACAGGGTTTCTGAAGAGGCTCCTCTTCTTCTAGATTTTTGTGGGGCGAGTCTGGTTGTTCGGGCTGCTCTTCCAGCTTCTCCTGGGGTGTTTTTGGGCGCGGACGTTTCGCATCACTCTTGATCAGACTTCCACGATTGGAAAACTTTAGCGACTTATCCAGACCACCCAAAGAGGCCGTCGGTATTTCTAAGGGAATACCAGCGAAAGGGTGCTCGATTTGAGGCACTGGCGGAGCCTCTTCCAAGCTAAGTCTCCTCTCCATCTCGAGTGACCGTTTCCTTAAACCACCCCACTTTCTTTCTGACCATCGAGAGCCTGGCCTCGAGCCTGGCCTCGAGCCCGGCCGTGAGCTAGGACGGAAGTTTGGTTCATTCACCAGAATGCTAGGCACGCTGCGCAAGGAGGGCGCGCCCTCCGACCGAATCGTTCGAGTTTCGTCACCAACGGACACGGATGGTGCGAGCCGGGAGAACATGAGCACGGATGCACGATCATTACTCGGACCGGCTGACGCGGCGCTCGTGCTTAAAGATCGGCCATTGGAGGCTATTGGCGCATCGGCTGTGGGCAACGAGCCCGACCGGATTGCAAGAGGGGCGTCAACGGTATTTTCAAAGGGCACGGCGTGAATCGTCGGATTGGACTCCGATCGATCGTGCGATAACGATACAGAAACCTCATTCACCATTATCCCGGCATGACTTGCGAATCTGCGCGTGGGCTAGAATCGCGTGAAAGAAAGGAGTGTAGGGACGAGGCGAAAGGGGTGGAGGCCAGATTAAGCGAAAATGGGGATCAAAGTAGAAAGGAGCGACAAGGGGAAAATCACAAAGGAAGTTCAGTAGAACAGAATCTCCAGAATTAAAATTGAGAGATACCTGGAGGCGTGGAGTTATTTTGGGTCGGTCTTGGCGCTCTCCAGGTCAGTTCTGGCCTTCAACGGGGCATCTTCGGAGTTTCCGTCATCTCCTGGCTACATGTAACACGTATATCTATGTAAATAGTATACGTATACGTGTTCAAAGTATCTATGTAGCCTGACTATCTCCCTACCATCCTATGAGGGATTCTCAACGTCCCTCTTCTCCCTCATTTCCCCCTCAAAATAGATATCAAGGGGTTTGTCCCACCTCTATGGGCCGTGTGTGGATCGTGAGAGAACAAGGAGTGTAAGTGGAGTACGCTAGTTCGACTCCGTAAGTTGCTTACATTAGAATGCCCAACGGTGGGATGTGACATGAAGAGGTAAGCTGTTTAATTGTATCCGCGTATACCCAACTATGGAGTACATGGAACAACACAGAGTATGTTGTAGATGCTGTTGAAACCCTCAATTCCCCAATACGCCCCAGATGTACAAAACACGTGGAACTCCTGTAGCCGAGGCTTGGACAACCGGCCGTTAGCTGTCAATGCTCAATGTAGTCAAAAGGGGAAAATACCCCCAGCTAGAACCAACGTAAAAAAAAGTATCATGAGGGCGTGAAACGGTCAATGCAGTGACCCAGTGTTAAATGCAGCTCAACTCATAGCTGCTGACCCGATGGCGAGTCGCGATTTGGTCGAGTCCGATCCACAGGCTCTTTAGGCAAGAGTTCGATCTGACGGACCAGGAAGCTCTTCTCATCCATAAATTGATCGTCGTCAGTTCGGTCCTCCAAGAACTTAGGCAAAAACCTCAACAGTCGATCACGGTTATTGATCAGAATTCGTTGCACTGCCACCGATTTGGTCGGATTGGCAACAAACACCTAGTCCCTTATCAGAGCAAGCCCTCGTCTGTTTTCGGAGCCATTTGAGGGCAACCTTACCTTGAACACATGAAACCCTTCGTATTGTACCATCTTGCGATCGTCCCGTAGCAGTTTCATGCAGAGCTTGAGATTATCTCCACTCTCCACGTATGCCATCATCACGTTGTAGTTCGCACGGTCCAATAGGATCTCCCCCAGAAGTTTGATGCTTTGACGCTTGGTCACATACGAGTCCGAGTGGACCAGGATGTTATTAAACCGCCCGAAAAATAGTTCAAAATTGGCTGCGAGGTACGAGGTCACGAGGCTCTTATGGTGGGTCAAAATCTCCTGTAGAAGATATGCCAGTCAGTCACTTATTATCAACCTTGGAATAGGATAGGTATCGTTCTGGAAATTACCCTGAATGTCGTGAACGCATCTGCGCTGACTTCGAAATTGCTCTTGTCGATCCAATCAAAAAATCTCCAGAACACACCATCTCCTCTCTGCGGCTGGTTGGGCTTCACGTCGGATAGTCGTATGGCCGGCTCTCCTTCATTGGATTGATCATACAAAACAATCGCAGTGATGACATCGAATTTCAATGCCTCTCGGAGAATGACACCACATGGCATTGCACTTTGACTCTGCATGTAGCCCCGGCATAACTCGACGATGATTTCTGGTCGATGGTGGACAAGGTATGAAATGACGGGAGGATCTTTTTCGGCGGCATATGAATTAGGTCGGAACCGAAGTATATGGGAGAACACGGTCTGGGTGTCTTTTCTGGCTTCGAAGGGAAGTAAATGGATGCTTTGGGCTAGATCAAAGAGTAGATCTTCCTGAAGGGTTGCTTGTACGAGTGCATGGACTTGATCCACAGACGCGGCGACCTCTAAAACAGAAGATTGTTGGGTTAATTTTACATTGCTCGTTAGGTGCTACTTCCAGGATACCCACCTGGTGTTCCTTGGACTATCACCTTCATTTGACTGAGTTGCTTAGCCAGCTCCTCTTCGGCCTAGTTCATTCATTAGTCGATTGTTCTCCCCAGCTGGATGTCTCCAAACGAACCTTGGGAGCATTCTGGGAGTCATGGATCCTCAGTAATAGCTCCTTGGTTGTCCGGACGATATCAGCAGGTTGCCGAGACCGGCCGCGATTGAAAAAGAAAGCCATGGTGAGATGGGAAGAATATGCGGCAAATTTAGAAAGAAACTGGAGATGAATGCGACATGGGATAAGTTATGATTGCAACGGAAGAATCAAGATCGAGTCCAAGGGGAAGCAAATGTGATGTATTCGATTGCAAGTTGCCCAGGTGCGAATAAACAAACCGGCGGGGCAACGGGGAACTTACCGCCTAGGCACACGCCGATAACGTTTTTTTTTTTTTTTACGATAAGGTTGACACAGAAATATGATCATGATACATAGCTTGATAGCCAAATCCTTGAGAGCTTGTACATAAACATGTCGTGACCCTCACAACACTTCATACTCCGGTTTCATTCTTTCCACCATGGAACCTGAACTTACAAAAAATGTCAGAAACTCTGAACATGACGAGCCATGAGTCTTTCTTTCACCTCGACATTAATACCATTTTGCCATTTATAAGGGTATTCAAGAACTTACAAGCCCTAATTCAAATACGCCTGTTCTCTCTATCGAGATAGCACCTAGTATCACTGTCTCCCTTAATTGCCCCTTGGGTATCCTCGTTACAGTTCACCGAGAGGAAGATGGCATCAATAAGCCCTGCATTTCCCGCTGGGACGTGCACTGTGACGCATGGGGTCCTTTGGGCTTTATGCTCTTCAGACATACACCACAAGGTCTGAAAAATATCGAAGGAAATCACCGTTCCGAGACTTTGGAGTATACAGAATGGGATGGGCATTTTGATAGGCTTCTCCCTGGCCAATGTCTCCGAAGGAACTTAGTGACCTCCTCCCAGTTTGCAATCAGCTGATCCCATGTGAGAAATAAGAGCTGCTCTAACCAGGCGCTGAATATGCTCTTGGTCGAGTTTGTTGTCGTTGACAACACATAAGATTCCTAGCATAGGCTTACTGCTTGCTATCTTATTTCCCGATCAAGAGATCTATTCTGTAGTATACTCCGTAGTTATAATCTTAAAACCACTAGTTACTCCGTACAACTTAACTAACAAGTGAGGCTAACTGACCGATTATCATATCACGTGTTTTAGTGGATCACCGGTCATCCATGGATGGGTCCCATAGGTCAGATCAAATGTCGTCTCCGCTTTTTTTTTCTGTATCAAAATGATCTCTGCCCCTCCCCCTCCAAGGTTGAAACAATTTGTTATTGTCTTATAATTCATGTCAGCCTCTAATATCGTGAACCCACCCGTGGGTGAGAGTTTCCCTGACTCCCAGTCAGTATCGGATTCGTCCGATTCCAGCAACGAGGAGGGCTGGGAAGATGTCGAACCCGATGAGGAGTCGCAGCCTGTGGTTGGCCTTTTCACTAGCCAGGTCTTCCCCGATGCGCGCTCAATGCTGAAGGAGTGCAAGGAAAAGTACAATTTCGATCTGCTGAAGATTCAGAAGGACCTTGGTATTTCCGGCTTCTACTCTTGCGGGATTCAACAATTGAGGCTAACTTCTTTTTCCCGCTTTTAGATTTGGATTTCCTCGACAACATCAAGTTGGTCAACTACGTCCGTACTGAAGTCAAGAACGGAAACAAAAACCCTGATGTCTCTTCCAAGTCCAAATTCGAGGATGAGGTCTATCTCAAGCCCGTTTTGGAGGATGACGCTCTCTTGTATAGCTTGGACGACCTTACCGAAGAGCAGGTCGAACATGCTGTCCCCGCCACCGAGACAAACCGACAGGTTCTCGAACTCCAGGAGAACTTGGAGCGATTGCAGACCCAATTCTCCGAGTACCGTCTTGCTGTGCAGAAGTCGATGGATGACCAATTGTCGAAAGAGGATGATAAGCTTGCAGAATCCAACCCTCTGCCCTCAGCTAAGGCTGTCGACAGACTGCAGGATGCTGAAGATGGATATTTCGTATCTTACGCTTACAACGGTAGGGTTTCTCGTTGAACCTTCGATGCATATAATACTAACATAGTCCAAAGGCATTCATGAATCTATGCTCAAGGACACCATCCGTACCGACTCTTACCGCGATTTCGTCTACGAAAACAAGCACGTTTTCAAGGACAAGGTTGTTCTTGATGTTGGCTGTGGCACTGGTATTTTGTCCATGTTCTGTGCCAAGGCTGGCGCAAAGAAGGTCATTGCTGTGGACAACTCGAACATCATTGACCGAGCTAAGGAAATCGTTCATGACAATGGCCTTGAAGATGTGATCACGTAGGGCTCATAATCATCCCGCAATGAAGAGACAGTACTAACTCATATTAGGTGTATCCGTGGAAAGATCGAAGAAGTTACTTTGCCCGTCGAAAAGGTTGACATCATCATCTCTGAATGGATGGGCTATGGTCTTCTTTTTGAAGCCATGTTTGATTCCGTCATCTACGCCAGAGATCGTTATCTCGCCCCCGATGGTCTTATGGCTCCTTCGCATGCTACCCTGCGCCTTGCTCCCTATGCCGACCCGGATTTCATCGCGTCGCACATCTCCTTCTGGAACAATGTCTATGGTTTCAAGATGGACAGCATGCTTCACAAAATCTATGATGAGGCTGTGGTCCGCAGCAACCAGCCCACGACTATTGTCGGAGAGTCTCAGATTTTCTTGACTCTTCCGCTGCACACCATCACTGTCGAGGAGCTGTCGTTCCTGAAGGAATTCAAGGTCACATTGAACCAGGATATTGATGCCTTGGATGGATGGGCTATCTGGTTCGACATCTTCTTCATGCCCTCCAGAGAGTCCGTTCTACCTGAGAATGCCATCCCCTCAGATATGCAAAAGAAGGGAATTGTCTCGTTCACCACTGGTCCTGATGGAACCGAGACCCATTGGCAGCAGACTGTCCTTCTCATTGACCATGCCAAGGATCATGGTAAACAAGGTTCCCAGGCCTTGAAGAAGGGCCAGCTCATCACCGGCAAAATTGGTTACGAGAAGACGGAGAAGGGCTCTCGAGGAGTGGACATCAGTGTTCAGTGGGAGTCCGATGCAAATGAGAAGGGGGTCCAACTATGGAGCCTTGTATAGGATCGACTGATCTTTTGATACGTTTTCTGATGAACCAAAAGAGATATGACCACCTACATAGAAAAGGACGGCCCTATTATCTAGGTGTCGTTTATTTGACCTAGTGAATACAAAATGATTCAGATTTAGGAACAAGCAATGTAATGGGTATCTTTGTCGTAGTTCAGGTCATGATCTCGTATAAAAAATAGAACATCTAGGATTGATTCTTCGCTTCGGGGATTTCCCGCCTAGCAGTCTCAGGACGTTTATCGTGACGATGACTATGACTGCGATGAGAGGAGTGGTGATGAGAGCGACGATGAGAGCGATGGTGTGAGCGATCTCGACTTGAATCTTGACGGCGACGATGATGTCTGTCAGAACTTCTTCTGTTCTTCTCACGTTCTCTGTCTGGCGCATCCAATTTGAACCCATCGAGGCTGTTCACTGACGGGGATCGCCTTCGCCGATGGCTTGACTGCCGTGCCTCTTCGGATTTCAAAATTTCGATTTCTCTTCGCTTTTCGTCATTCCATCGCTTCCGTTCCTGCTCTGTTGTTTTCAACTGACGCACACCCCGCTTTATGGCTGCGAGTGGGTCATTCGCACTCATACGAGCCTGTGTCCTCTCTTTGCGCCTTGGATCCTCGTTACCCCACACATCTTTCTCGGGCATTGACCCTGGCGCTGTTACATCTTGTTCCGTAGAGGAATACCACGGTTTCTGACCAATAGTCTCCTTGAAGCCTGCGGCGTTGGAAAACCTCATTGTGTATTGGTCTTCATAGCTGCGTTTCTTGCGTGCCGCTTCAGCCTCCGCTTCGATATTTTTTTCAGTTTTCGCACTTGTGGCTGGGAAAAGATTGATATGGCCGGCTTTGTCTAGAATCGGTGCTTGTGCTGCGTCAGCCTTGCGAGAGGCGAGCATCAACTCTTCCTGCTTAGCAACTGCTTGTGCCGCATCCTCCCGAGCGTAGCGTATATCTCGATCCGTGTCATCTTCCCCAGCAACTCGCCTTCTCTTACGAAATCCTCCAGCATCGCTGGTGGACTTTCTGTCTGACCGAGCCCCGGGTTCAGATGACAGATGGGAGGGCGCCGGTGGAGGTGTAGGCGGCCGTTCGCCGCGAAGAATTTTGATCCTGCGTTCGGCATCGACCTCCTGCATGATGCGTTCATCTTCTTCCTCGCGGGCTTTTGCTTGCGCCTCGTCGCGCCTGACGCGCGCGACATTATCGACATTGTAAACGTTCCATGACTTTTTGCCGAGGAGATGGCTATGAGATAATTAGCCGCTTTCGCAAATATCATAAAATCGAAAGAAAATATCCACTTACAGAGGCATCTTGCAAATTGGCTGACTGTTGTATGGACGCGCTCGATAGCAAAGAGCTGGTCTTATCGATAATGACGTCCCCACGGGCCGACGCTGTTCCCGGTGGCCAAAGTGGCCCCGTCTACAGCTCTACGGTTCCAACCCTCTTCTCTTCCCTTCATGATTAATTTGCTTTGGATATCAGCATATATCCAGTAAATTCTTGGACATCACATTCTGAGAATTAATCCTAGGTCATCCGCGCTGCAGAGCCGACTGACTTATAGTTGCCTGCTCCTTTGTCGACACTGTCGCTAAAGCAATAGTTTCAACGGTTCTCCGGTCAACTTCTCTGATTAGCGACAATCAAACGGTTTATCATGTTCAATCGCGGCAATATCCCAAATCCGTTCAGTTCCAGCGGACAATCGTCCCCGCAGGGTCACTCGCACCCCAACCAAGCACCCCCACGGTATGATATCGACCGCTCCCCCTCAGGCTATGCGACTCCTATCCGCGATAACGATGTGCCGATGGCTAATATATATAATTATTTAAGCAGTTACGGAGGCCAACCTCCACCAGGAGGAAGACCCGCGCCGCAGATGCCTCCTAGGATGCAGTCCGGACAAAGAGGTGGGGGCCAGACTTGGACTCTTCATCCCAGCAAGAGTCCGAACGAAAACTACACATTTGGAAACCTGTGAGTATAATCTAGCTGCTTTGTCTTCTCGGAGACTGATACACAATAGCGTTGCTGTTTCGCCGCAGGACATCCCACCCTCACGAGATGGCACCGACGTCCTCCTCCTTATCAATGACCTCTTCGTCTTCTCTGCTCGCCCTCTCGATGGTTTCCCTCCCGGTTTTATGAGCATGTCGGATCCTCAGCGAACATGGGCCAACATTGGATTGAGGGATGCGATCAAGGTACAATTGTACGATCCGTTTAGCCAAGGCGGACAGGCCTACCTGGGCTCCGCGGATATTGAAGTCAGCTTCGCATCTACCAAGAAGAGAGTTGAAGCACCTTATGACCAGGATGAATTGGCACAGGCGGTGATCAGGGTTAGTCAACTTCGTCTCAGCCACGAATGTATGCTAATAGAACCTAGAACTTTGAGAACCAATTATTCTCACCTGGCCAGAGAATTCTGATGGATAATAAGAGTATCCCACTCTTACTGCAGGTCAAGACCGTTCAGCGGGTTGATTTGACATCAGAGAAGGCCGATCTCAGTTCTGGACAAGTCGAAACCGATCCTTCAGCCAGAGGTATTCTCACACGGCACACCCAACTCAACTTTTTCAAGGATACCCAGACTGGTATTAACGTGAAGCCATCTAATCGCCGCCCGGCGGCTAACTCTATCATCCAACCGGGCTTCAAGTTCCAGGATATGGGTATCGGTGGTTTAGACTCCGAGTTCAGTACGATCTTCCGTCGTGCTTTTGCGTCTCGCATTTTCCCCCCTGGTCTGGTTGAGAAACTTGGTATTCAGCACGTTAAGGGCCTGTTACTTTATGGACCTCCAGGAACGGGTAAAACCCTCATCGCTCGGCAAATCGGAAAGATGCTTAATGCGAGAGAGCCCAAGATTATCAACGGTCCAGAAGTTCTCAACAAGTACGTGGGTCAGTCGGAAGAAAACATCCGAAAATTGTTCGCGGATGCCGAGAAGGAGTATAAAGAAAAGGGCGACGAGAGTGGTCTCCATATCATCATCTTCGATGAGCTGGATGCAGTTTGCAAGCAGCGTGGTAGCGGCGCTGGCGGTGGCACCGGTGTCGGCGACAGCGTGGTCAACCAGCTGCTTTCAAAACTCGATGGTGTCGACCAACTGAACAACATCTTGTTGATTGGTATGACCAATCGAATGGACATGATTGACGAAGCTTTGCTGCGTCCCGGCCGTTTGGAGGTGCACATGGAAATCTCGCTCCCAGATGAGCATGGCCGAAGCCAGATTCTCAACATTCACACCGAGAAGATGCGAAAGAATAACGTCATGGATAAGGATGTTGACTTGGCCGAGCTTGCTCACTTGACCAAGAACTTTTCTGGTGCTGAGATCGCAGGTTTGGTCAAATCCGCCTCGTCCTTTGCTTTCTCCCGCCACGTCAAAGTCGGCACTATGGCTAGTATCAACGAGGACGTGGTAGACATGAAGGTCAACCGATCCGACTTCCTCCACTCTCTTGATGAAGTCAAGCCTGCATTTGGTGTGTCCGAGGAAGAGCTGTCCAGCCGCATTCCATACGGCATTATCCATTATTCTGCGACTATCAGCGAAATCCTGCGGGAAGGCGAGTTATTCGTCAAACAGGTTGGAGTGGCTGAGTCAACTCCACTTTTCTCTGTACTGCTTCACGGTCCTCCTAGCAGCGGCAAAACTGCTCTAGCAGCACAGATTGCTATTGACTCCGGCTTCCCCTTCATCAAGTTGATCAGCCCCGAAGACATGGTTGGTTTCAGTGAGCCAGCAAAGATCTCACATATCAGCCGAATCTTCGACAGCGCCTACAAGAGTACCACAAGTATTGTTGTCATCGACAACATCGAACGAATCATCGACTGGGTGCCGATTGGTCCTCGCTTCAGTAACAGTGTGCTGCAAGCCATCATGGTTTTCCTGAGGAAGCAGCCAACTCACGGACGTCGTCTGTTGGTTTTGGCTACGACAACTGAGCGTGCGTTGATGAAGCAGCTGGACATCTACAACTCCTTCAACTCGGATATTATGGTTCCCAATGTTAGTTCCTTTGGTGAACTACGGTTTGTCATGGAGAAATCGGGTGCATTTGATGCTCGGGAGATTGCGCAAGCCCTCGAGTCAGTTGGTGGACTTGCGGATGACGGGCGCTTGAGTGTCGGCATCAAGAAGGTCCTCTTGGGCATTGAAACGGCCAAACAGGATTCGGACAAGGTCGGCCGCTTTGTTCGTGTTATCAACCGCGCTATTGAGGAGGAACAGAGCTTCCAGTAAACACTGTTTATAACGGGCTTTCTATTACTGAGTATTAGAATTAAAATAGTTCTGAAGTATATATCTGTTTACAATCCTAGTTTTTCTTTTGTTGGTATCTTCAAAGTTCATCTCTAGGCAAGCCACCAGGCTAGAATCCGAGAACTTATCAAACGCCAAATGACCCCATTCAGACTGACATAACGTTATCTCAGAACTGTTTGATAAATTCTTTCTTTCATTTTGACGTTATGTTTATCCAATGGCCGAGCCTTGCTAGTTTGTCATGTTGACTACTTGTAAACAACCCACGCAAAGAAGGTTCTATTTATATAAATCAACACGTCAAGTGTTCGAACTTCCTATGAATTTCAGCCTTGATTTGGCTCGTATCGGACTGTAAGTGACAACCGTTTTGGTGTGTCAGGCCAAGATATATCGGCCGTCAATGTCAATCTCGCAGTTACACAATAACATACCATACAATGATCAGTGGTGCCCTATGCTCTAGTTACAGTCCTAGAGGGAATCAGGCACACTTCAACGCCTGATATTACAGGTTTACAGGCAGCAATTCCTAGACCATACCGAAAAACACGTAAAACCAATACCATTTAGAGGCACCGCTCGACTATACTTCAAGATACGCAAATTCCTAGCCAGCATTTACACAAAGACCTAAGCAAAAGAGCAAAAGCGCGCCAAACCAAACAAAGAAGCAAAAAAAAAACATAAGAAATCCATCCTTCATCCCAAGATCGCAATTTTTGTTCATGTCAAGGGGGTTGCCCTTTCATATCAGTCATCAACAAGCAAAGTGCAGCCCAATCTGAGCCCAATCAATAGCCATCATGAGCAAACTTCTTCGAAGAGCGGCGGTACTCATCAGGATGGGCCTTCTCGGCCTTAGCTTTCAGGGCACTATTTCCAGCCACGTGTGTCAGCCTTCTAGAAGCTCACTCATCGGCGCTAATGCCGCAGGCACGGCGCTGATCGACAGGCACATGCCAAGCTCACCCAGCGGAGCGGAAGCCCCTGTCGCGGAGCGGAGCGGAACTTGCACGTCCATCGCACCACAATGCCTGGTTTTAGGGGTGAATTTGCTTACCTGACACGCTTTTGCGTCCATTCCAGGTCGCGCTTTGTCTCTCTTGCGGTTTTAAGGCCTTCGGAGAAATTTGCTCGTGCGCCTTTTAGTCGTCGTTGGGCGAGCGCTTGTAGCTCCAGCAGTTCTTGCTGTTTTGCGTTCAGCTGGCCAGATCTGCAAGTGAATTTCGCTGTTAGCTTCGTGTTTGAAGATCTTGGGATATCTTCCTGGGTCTTGTTTTGTGAAGCACAATCTCTAGGTGGTGGTGATCGCTGCGGGGAGGAATTGCAAATGCTGATAGTGTTGCATGGAAACTCACGTCTGCGCCTGTCGTGCCAGACCCTTGTCCAATGGTGTTGGATCAAATGCATCCTGCATGCGGTCGCTTAGGACATCCACGACATCGACACCGGAGTACGATGCAAAGCTGGAGTCGTACTCGCCAGCAGAGCTGAAGGTGAGCCCACCAGAGGAACGACTGCCGGCGGTGGTGCTTGCATCAGAGAAGTCTGGTGGGGAGCTAGAGACCCTGGAAATGGGGTAGAGAGAAGCTGGTGCCGGTGCCTTGGAGGGTGCATGGTGGTATGGGTAGGCAGCAGGCTGGTAATAGTGACGCTGGGTGGCCATGACGACGATTGACTGCAACAACAGCAAGTGTTATAATGGAAGAAAGAGGAAGTATGAAGCTCAAGTGGACTTCAATGAGATAAGAAGAAGCAAGAAGATGGGAAGAATGTGGAAGAATGTGTAAACAGGCCTAACTAGGAGTGATGGTAAAGGAAGAAGAAAGAAGGACTGTCTCCCCGGGTCAGACGAGGGATTTTATAATCCTCCGCGGGGAGTCTTCTGTCCGGCGGATGCTCCCATTCTATCGGATGCGAATGTGATGACAAGGATTGCGCAAGCCTCGAAGGAGCCATTGGACCACTCGGGACACATTGACTCGCACCCCTCCCTCTGTACCTCCAATCCGAGCTCCGCCTGCACGTATGTCTCCGTATCTGCCCGCCTATTTGCCTCTTGGACCGCCTTGACCCCGCTCAGAGTGGAAAAAAGACTCAATGTGTCTGGGCGAGGACGCCAGCCTTCCTGCATTAGGGTTTCCACCGTTGAGTGGCGGCTTGGTGCAAAATAGGTCTCGATCTACGCCCCTCTTCCTGGTTTCAAATTTCGGGCCAAAGCGCGGACTAGGACTATTCAGCAATTGACTAGAAAGGGCGTTCGATGAGGTTGGGATGGGTGGAGTTGGTGGAAAGGTGAGATATAAATATGACCTTCGCCGTCATTCCTACTCCCACTTTTTCTCGACTCTTTTTTCTCTTGATTTCTCACAATTATCCTTTTCCCTTCCCGCTCTCATCCCCGTTGAATTGATTTTTTCTTCAGAAATTCGGGGGCTGGGAAGAGGACGATGAATGTTGATTCGTTCGAACAAAGTCAAAGATAAGACGGACTACACAGGAGCCGGTATGACATATTTCTCCATTCAACTGTCAAAGTCTAACATGATAGTTAGTTCATCGGCTTCCTATACATATACACATGTTGTAGTTGTATAATTGTGGTTGAATACGCGCTTCCGCGAAAACCAAAGAGATTCACGGGATGTCTCGCGGCCTTACATCGTCGTTGGGATCGGAGCCCAAGAGCCCGAAAGTAAGATCGCTGCATTCAATTCAAGTCACACGGAGAATGTTGGACATCACTGCATGAATAACAGGACCGTGAGGAATATTGGCATTCGAAACTGCTCCCGACTCGGTGACCCTATGCTTCTTTTGGAAGGTTCTAACAAGAATCATCCTAGCAATATATGAGCAAAAAGGGAAAACCGTGTGACCAATGCGCAACAAGTCCAGGTCCAATGACAAGAGGAAAAAGAAAAATACACAAGGTGAACGTTGATCCTTCCTCCGTTTTGCCCGCCTGGATGCGGCTGTTATTTCTGCACCCGACGAGAAAGACCCCCCTCTCGCACGAATCCACCAATAGCCATTAGAGCCTTCGACAGCAGGCAGGACAGAGGGAATCATCGCTGCATCGAGAAGCGCTCTAGACGCCCATCAACGTGGGAAGAGCACGCAGCTGCTCCCCACTCTATGCATATAGTCGATGACTTGCTTGACAATAGCTATGGGGCATGTATGATAAAGGGAAGCCATCCGGCAAGCCCCGTCGGAAATACTATATTTCGAGAGATGCTGTGCCGCCTATGACCGTTCATCATTGGTCCCAGATAATTGCTGACATCAAGACCACGCAGTGCCTAACTAGGTGGGAAGGAAATGGGACTGCAAGGCATACCCTTCCAGGTGGGTGTTCTACACTGAAACTGGATCTTCCTTGCGCACTCTAAATCTGCTTGTTCTCTTTTTTCCCGCCCGTTGATGCCTCACTATGCCTAAAAGCCAGCCTGCATGCCTTACAGCCTGACGATTCACGATATGCCCCGTCGACCGAGGAACCCTGTGACACCACCGTCCTCAATCGATCAAAACCATGGCTTGGTGAATATCGCAGGGATGCCATTCGTCTCTGCTGAAAATGGCCGAGCCCGATCTCTTATTCGGCTAGGCCAACATCGGGCAGCACGGCAATTAATGACGCACAGTACACACTTCGGCAATACGCCTCTTTTTGTCTGATCTTGCTCTTCGTCATAGTCTTCCCACCAACTTCGTCCTGATCAGCCCCCCCTTCAACTCGGACTCCGGACCCAAAGGTATATTCTTTTGAACCTTCCAATGTTAATACTCCGGATAGGTACGATGTCAACTGATTTTCCTTGCGTCGGTTACACAAGCCCGCTGTTTTGATCCGAATGTGTTGAGGGGAATCCCATTCGTGCCTGTTTTTATTGACCATGGCGTTCAATTAAAGTCCTTTTTGCCTATTAGCCGGGTGTCGACAATTCTTCTACCAAATCCAATCCGAATCCAACAAGTTTATTATTTTTTCAGCGCACAAGTGGGGGGTTGCGGGGATTTTCTACTTCCTTCACCGCCACATGCGCCATGGCCAACTCACTCTTACCCTTTTCGGGAAGTATCTATCACTCTGTGCCTACCGAGTACTCCGTACATATATGTACTGTACTATCATCGGGATGATGGCAAAAATAATGTTCAAAGGATTGGAATCTAGGCGCATCCCTCGGTGTTTACTTCGTTGAATGTATGCTAAATCAAACAAAACAAGGATTGTCATTTTCTCGAAAACACTAGGCTCTAGAATAGCTCATATTTTCAGGGATATAGGAGCATCTCACATTGAATCTTCTAAGAGTATACATACTAGATTCAGGTACAAGGCCTCTCAGCGGGTTTAAATACAACCACTATATCGACGTGATGGAAAGTTCATAAAGATTTTTAGTGATGTTTCCTCCGTAGTCCTCAACGATATAGCGCGTAATCAGAATTTCCAGTTGTAGAAGTGCTCAATAAGTTGAAAATCCACAACTAACCTTGGAAATGGCCAATTTTCTGCTGGCAATAAAAGCCAAGAGAACTAAAGCCCCCAGTCGTTATGCACTGCGAGACTTAATGGCCACCACAGCGTCTGTATTGGGGTGATATATTCGTACATTCCCAGTGATTGTCTTTGTTTACAGTTCTCGTTATTACCACACTCGAGTGTCATTAGTAGTAGCAGTAGCATTTCTGACAATTTTCAAGATTGTTGGCCAGCTGTACATGGCTATGTATACAATCTAAGTCTTGCTACTACTAGTACCTTCTCGCAAGTCGAGTGCTTCGCTTCAGTATTGGTTCGATGCTGTAGAGCTTAAAATTATCATTTGATACTTCAGAAAACGCTTAAGTTCGGAGTGGAGACATAATCTAAGGATATGTGTTGAGACCCTTCCCGCCTTAGATTGATAGGACTCCCTACCTTGTTTGGTCTTATTCTTCTCTTTATCTCAGCCAGCCAACACAATACAACCCATCGTTTCCTTTCCCATCAATGTTTGGGTAGATCTATTGTGGACGTGGGCATTCAATCACGTCATTGTTCCATTGTAAGATAACTAGTTGCACCAGATGTGGCTTTGATAATATTTGGGGAATTGTTGCTCCCCCTCCCTGAATTTCTAGTACCGCCTTCCTGATTTGGTTGAGTACTTGCTCGACACTTGCTTCTGCCTACCGCTGTCCTCACCGCCTCTTAACTTGTACACCGCCTTTGTATGGAAATGCATATGATAGTAGCAACAGGCTTGGACAGCAGGTATCTATAGCATGTATTGAAGAGGGAAATAAACGATGGGCAGCCTGGCTATGCAGGCAAGATGAAAACGACATAACACCACCAACCATCCGGGAGGGGTCAGCTAGCAAGCATAGGGACCACATAGACCACACCATAGTATACAATCTCCTAGTACACAAACATCTTGCGATTCTTTCTCATTTCTGGGGTGATGTTTCGTCTAGAATATCTGCTCCCCGAAACTCTACTTGACATCCAGGCTCTCGTTTTCTCTGCCTAAAGGACAAGGCCACTAAACTAGGCATTCCGACTTTCCCCACTGCAATATGTAAACTTTTAATAAAAGTAAGTCACTTCTATCATAGCTTGTATCAACTGCTTGATCCATAAAGGGCTGAATCACACAGGACGCAGGTAGAATATACGATTTTTCAACCAAAATTCATGTCTTTTTACAATGAAACCAGAAGTAGGCAGAATATATGGCATAATCACGAGTGGGACCCGATCAGGAAGGCGGTACTGAAAATTCAGGCAGCGTAGCAACAATTCCCTAGTTAGTTAACTAGTTATATTTGACAGCAAGAAGTGGGGAGAGTGACAATCAACTTGAGGAAAGAAAGGGGGTATGTCTACATGGAGATTTCGAGTTTGTTCAAGCCTTTATGACTCTGGCTCCCCAACACGTGCGAGAGCCTTCAGACACGAAAGATGCTTATCCTGATGCAGGGCATCGCCACCATTCTTGTAAGCCCTGAGGACCTCTGAATCCCTTTGTTTGATTATGATGACCATGTACTGGATTCCATCAGTGGCAAGCTCTTCCAGGGCTTTCTCATTGGCCTCCTTGGCTTCTTCCTGAATCTCGTGGAGTCGCTTCAGCCAGAACATGTATCTCCATGGCGAAAATCCAGCAGGTGATCGCTGTCCGAGCTCCGATTCAAGGAACTTCTCGCCACCCTTGCTGATGTCGCTGGGGCATTCGTTCCAACACACGTCTGATAGTAAGAGGAGGTTGTGGTTTCCATTTTTCAGCCAAGCAACAGCAGCTGGTAATAGTTGAAAGACCTCAAGCTGATAGATACCACGGTTGAGGTCCTCCTCGTCTGACTCGCTCTCACCCCGGAGTGTTTTAGAGCTTTCAAAAAGATCACGGAAGATCAGAAGTGCAACTTGGCACAGCCTATCCTTAGCGACACGAGTGGATGCGAGTTTGGCTAGGAATGTTGCAAAGTTGAGACGGTGTGTTCCCGACATAGAACCACCGTTATTGATCCAGAACTCGGTCATATCGCTAGCCAAAAAGGGGAGATCATTCCAAAGTGTCCCGTCGACGGTTCTTGCGATATCAATCCCACAGGTTCCTCGTGAAGGTCTAGTCAACGGCCCCATTCCTTGAATGCGGACGATATCGAGGACTATACCCTCATGTTCAGGTGATTCGGAGGAGATATTTCGGCCAAGCTCGTAGTACATATACCACAGGGAATGAATATGGCCTTCAAGAGTATCTAAACCATCACCAATATCGCAGTATCGGCTGGTAACGACCCAGGTCCGGTCATAGAAGGCTACATCTCGAATTTCTTTGAAATCACCCCGAGCGATAGACTGGCGGGTACTTTCCTGGTCTCTACGAGCATAGTCGTTCGTTATGATAATAGGAGCACCTCTAGGCAGAGAGCTCAGCAGAGAATCACGGAGGTGTTGCATTTTGGGAACCTGACAATGCTGATTGATGATTCAACTAGAATTCAGGTAAGAGAAAAAAGACAGTAGGAAAACGAAAGGATTGATATGGTGGAGCCCCGCGGGGGCTTAATGAGAACCCCCGGTACTAGGCAGCAACGTACAGCTCACCAATATCTGAATTGTTGGACTTCGGTATGCGCTGGCAGGATGTACTGTTTTCTTCGCTGGTTGTCGATCAACCAGCAAGACAGAAGTGCATTTCCTAATAGACTGGGTGGCCCTAGGTTGTGGCCCTGGACCTATTTCGACCTGGGATGATGCCCCAGCCCTATTTCTAGGCGAGGGTACTCGGGATCCGGTTCGGCCCGGCCCAGTGGATACACACGGTGGTCTCCACTCCAAGGTATCTTGTGGGAGCCCTGGAGGTCTTACAACCTCAGCAAAGGTTCCGGAATTATTTTTATTAGGAGCAAGGGTGACTAGATAAGAGGGCAGAGAGCATTCGATGCCTTTGGATTGCTTTCTCAATAAAACGCGCCGGCTCAATGAACTCTACTTTGCCTGACTCGATCGAAAAGCCACCACTGAGCGTGGATCTTTGGTGAAACACATTCTGGCAGATATAAAAACCAGTCATCTTCCTCGTAAGGGCGAAGGCAGGTTGTACACCGGACAGATTCAAAATAGTCAGGGTAGAACCCGCTATATTCCCAGTCAAGTATCCCAGAAATCACATACTTGTTGTCGGTCAATTTAACCGTGATATTGTCCGGTGTGATGTCTCCGTGTGTGAACACGATGCGAGGGCCCGAATTATTAGTAAACGATGGTGCTAATTGACGGAGAAACTCGATGAACACGTTGCCGCCTGGATGCGGGCCCAAGAATAAGAATGTTTCAAAATCCTCAAGGCTGAAGATAGGTGTCTCGCTCACTCGGACATGCCTCCTGAGATCTCTGCAGCCTTCACCTGCAACTCCTCCTAAAGGAGTGCCTTCTTCAAAAGGAAGAGTTCTCAAATCTGTAAGCATTGTGTTGAGTTGGTTGCTAATAGAGGTTTTTTGATCAGAGTCGAGTGTATGCCAGACTTCCCTAAGCGTTGTAGATCCCATATGACTCATGAATATCAAAGAAATCCCGCTCATACGTACCAAGCCAAGAGGCTTTGGCACTGGAATATTCGGCTTATGACGGTCAAGATATTGTAAAGCGGTATATTGAGTATTGTGTTCCATATAGCGAACGGCTTTGATAACGATTTCCGAAGAGCATTTGAACACTCCTTTGTGGTGAAAGAAGGGAGCTTTGTAAATAATCTCACTGCTCTTTAGGACTTCAAACAGCCTTTGAGAGAGTGGCAATCCCTCGGCAGTTTGTGATATTGGTTCGAGTAATTTTGCAACCGCATCCGAAAGAGGAAACACAATTTCAACCGGGTCTGATGGGCAAAGGGATTCTCGGATGTCTTGCTCAACGTATCTGGGTTTCTCTGGCAGATGATGATGTCAGCTATGCGAATAAGGAGAGTCTAAATTGCGGTATTGTGGTGCTTACTGGGGCTTTCGATTGTGGTTCTCATTCTCAAAAGACGTTCCAAATATTGAGTGGGGAATTGATCGGCCAAGTCGACCTCTGGATCTTTCGTGAGTGCGGCTTGTAGCTTTTTCAATGTACGGGCATTGAACCTCACGGCTTCGCTGACAGATTGAGTTTCGCTGGCAGGCCGAGCTTCGTTGGCAGGTTGAGCGCCCTCTAAGTCGAACGCCCCTTTTTCAACCATCTTCCGAGACGGCAATCTGAGACCTCACGATAAAAAAATAGAAATAATGATCTCGGATGCCTAAATGGAAGGGAGGATAAGTAGGTAAAAGAAAATGGTGACTCTCTAGTCTGCTTTGCATGTTGTACCTTGGCTACACCGCCATTCCTCCCATCCCTATAGCGAGCTATGCAGGCCGAGGCCGAGCATCTCAGTCGACACTATCGCAATCGTTCTCAGTAGGGCAAATGTCACAATACGTACTATGAGGAGGACTGCCTCTACCCTTCAACGGGCCTCGAGGTTGGATATTACTCTTGTATGATGCAAGGGATGGTGAAGTTATGGATAGCTAACATGCATTAGATGATTCCCTCTCTTTTACCAAGCTCCGAGCTGGCCATCGTTTCTCAACCGCTGCAATCACAAGAGTCAAAACAAGCTCAAACGCAAAGAACATAGCCGCAATCTGATATCCGACTTTGAAATGTGGCGCCTGGCTGGTATTATAAGCCAATAGAGGAACCCAGGCATTGAATGTGAAGGCGACTGCCTCCATCACCCCAATAACAACAATACGATGCTCAGCCGAGAAACCACATGTCTCACTAACCCAAGACGTGAAAATAATTCCTGCACCCGTCTCAACATAAGTCAACAGCCAACCAGCCATCATTGCTGCGGTGTTATGCACCGGCCAAATAGAGAGAATTATAGTCCCGACCAATGCTGGTAGACAAGCAAACACAATGACAAGCCAACGTATCTGCAAATAATCGCTTGTTTAGGCATAGAGGAGCGTAAAAATGATTTGCAGTCCATACCCAGCAGATGGGATGACGTTGACTTGTTCAACTGTGTATCTGCCGGTTGACTTGAGCCACACGTTGAAATACGAGTAGATGCGCAAGCCACAAACGTGAGCAATGAAGACTGTAGGAATCAACCACACCGGCCATGAGCGAATGACATCTAGGAATGTTCTCCATGTGAGTTTCGAAGCTGGTGCACGGCCAACGGCCTCCATTCTCTGCGCGGCATATTTTGTATCTTACTTGCTAAGCCATCGGGTTTTCGAGTCATTCGGAGAATCAGGAATAGCCCGAAAGCCGTATAGAGCAATGGGTACTCTAAGAATACCATAAGAAATAAACAACCGCTGCCAAGCAGAGAGACCTGCGCGGCCATTCATATCCGAATACAGCGCTGCCTGAAGATATCCCGAAAACATGTTGGAAGCACTAGAGGAGGCTTGGAATATTGCGCTCCGTTTTGCCAGTTCCTGTGGTGTATACCAATTCCCTAGAAGTGTGATGATGCCCGGATAAGCGGACGCTTCACAAAGTCCGATCAAAAAGCGCAGCGCAAAGAGCGTTTCAACATTCTTTGCGCTTGCGAGTGCCATGACGAATATTCTCCATAGTAGCTCAAGGGCTGGTAACCAAATAGACGGCCTGATCTTGGTGAGGACCAGCTGGGATGGGAGTTGCCCGATGAGATATCCGATGTTCCAGTATGTCGTGAGGTAGTTCAGGTCATTGCCCTTTAGGTCGAGGGCTTCTTTCATACCTGAGACGTAGGCATTGGAAGTCTGTTCATGCCAATATCAGCTTTGCTTTATCCGATCGATGGGTCACTTACATTGGATTGATCTAAAGATTTGATAAAATATGCGGTGCAGGCGTAGCTCAATAGCCACCAATCCACCTGAACGAGTTTGCGCTCACGGGGAGATTTGTCCCAGATGTCCCAAATCGATGCCTTCAGACGCGCTCGCCTAGCTTGCGGTATAGACACCTCCGGCTCATTGCTTGGTCGGTCGAGCTCCTGGTCCTTGACCTCATGTCTTGGTTTCAATTGATCTCCGGACAACATAGTCTCTGAATTTAGCAGTGAGTAATGTAATATGTTCTACATATCAATCTATCTCATTTCATTTCAGTAATATTTATACTACCTAGCACTTTTGCCAATTGTTCTCGACAGGCACATCATAGAGCCCTAGCGGCGCGGCTCCGACAGGTTTTACCGCATTGGGACGAAATTGCACATTATATAAGCTTATGGCGCAAGGCAACATCCCATATCTGAGCATTAAATAGCACAGCTACTGCAAGAATTCTTAGTCTTTCCACGAATCATTATGGAAATCGACCGGGTAGCTGTTATCGGCGCAGGCCCCTGCGGCCTAGGAGTTGCAAAGTATGTGTTTGCCTATCGAGACAAAGAAGAACGTGAATAATTAATAGTATGCCAAGGTATCTTCTTGCTGAACGAAAATTCAAGTCTATCACAATATTCGAACAGCGCGACCAACCTGGCGGTGTTTGGAACTACACCGGCGATGAGGGCATCAGCACATCGGCACTTGCCCGTCCCAACCCGAGTCAGGAGCCTCAACAGCCCGTGAAAGGAACTTTTGCTTCCCCTGTATACGACGCACTTGAAACAAACATCCCTAAATCGTTGATGCAGTTTACCGAGTATCCGTTCCCCGCGGCCAGTGCGCTATTCCCAGCCCATACCGTTGTGCGAGACTATCTTCATCGGTATGCAGAGGAATTACTGCCATACATACGTCTGAACTCTTTGATTTTGGATGTCACACTGTCAAAAAAGCATCCAAGGCCCGAGTGGACTGTAACCTGGCGTGATCTGCAAACTAATGAGATTTTGGTCGAGCAATTCGATGCAGTGGTTGTCGCCAATGGTCACCATAATGACCCATATATCCCCAAAATCACAGGCTTAGATGAGTGGAGTCAAACCTATCCAGGCTCCATCATCCATTCATCTTCTTATAGGCGTCCCGAATCATTTGCAAACAAGGTATGTACCCTCTAAAACAAACAATTACTGACTAAAAATAGAAAGTGATTGTCGTCGGACACTCTGCCTCTGGTATTGACATCGCGAACCAAATCGGCCGTGTATCAAAACACCCGCTGCTGATTTCGGAACGCACGGCAACAAATCTCTCTCCACAACAAGCCGCCGTTGCCCAAAGCCTTCCTGAAATCAGTCTCCTCAGTGTCGAAGATGGCCGTGTGCAATTTGCCAATGGCCATGAAGAGCGAGATGTTGATCACATCGTCTTTTGCACGGGCTACCACTTCTCTATTCCATTTTTGTCAAGTCTCCAGCCATCTATCGTTACAGATGGCGTGCGTCCGCATCATTTGTACCAGCATGTGTTTTACAGCAAAGAGCCCACCCTCGCTTTAATCGGGTTTCCCCAGCGGATTGTTCCATTCCCCTTCAGTCAGGCGCAAGGGGCATGGGTCGCGCGCGTCCTGGCAGGACGACTCTCGCTGCCTTCCGAGGCTGAAATGGAGCGGTGGATTGGCGACTGGGTAGTAACTCGCGGCGAGGGACGCGGCTTCAACACCCTTGCCTTTCCGCTCGATGCAGACTACATCAATTCGCTGTACGAGTTGAGCTCGCATGCAGCTCGGAAGGATGGGTTGGAGAATGATGGGCGTGGTAAAAGGCCGCCCTTCTGGGGTGAAAAAGAGAAGTGGACGCGTGAGAGATTCCCGTTGATCAAACAGGCGTCGCAGGTGCTTGGTAGTCGACGGGGTGAGATAAAGGCTTTGGAAGACCTTGGCTTTGACTTCGAGAGGGATTATGTTCCAGATGCCGAGGCGCGTTTGTAGACTGTCTTATTGCCTCAGATAAAGATGGACTAGCTGTTGAAGCTACTCCAATGAACCGATATTAGAAGGGGCTAGAAAGATGTCTCAAATGATGTCAAGAAAGACACAAAAATAACCGGTGCAAAGACATAGATCAAACGATATAAGAGTCCCGTTAGACTCTCTAGAGTTAACATAGAAGGTGCAGCTTGATCGGAATCAGGAAACGAAAAATATAAGTCCCATTCAGAGCATATCAGATCCTACGCCACCCAGAAGGTTCATCCAATGCGTCTCGAATGCAGTCTCACCCATATTGTCATCTGCCGGACTCCCAATACCAACGCGAGTAGCAAAATTTCCACTATCAGGCAGGAAATTGAAGCTATGCATAGTGAGAGATTGAGAAACTCGTCTCTCTGTCACTTTGGACCTCAGAGGCCAGATGTAAAAGCTTGCCTCGCCCATGGTTTGCCTCAGCAATACAGCCAAGTCATCCTGTATTGATTGCAGTCCCAATTCAGTATCCAGACTCGAATTGGGCATCACAGAAGACCCAGATAATTGTCTGCGTGGAATTAAGGGACTCTTCTGCTTTGTTGTAATATCCGCGAGGCGCCTCAAAATCCGAGAGGCTTCATGTGCAGCATGCCAAGAGGAAGGAAATAGTTCAAACAGCGTCACGAGAAGATCAATCTCCGGAATGTCGTCAAAGGCTGCCCACCGAGCAGTACAGTAAAGGAAAATTGCTGCCAATGAAAGGAGGCGACAGAGGGTAATCCAATTCATGGGTAGATGTCGGTGTTCATGCAGGATTAGACTCAGCTGTATGTACTGCTGCGCAGCAGCCTTGAGGCTCGGCAGGTTTTCTTCGGTTGTGTCTCCCTGTGCAGGAGTGTACAACAGAAGAAGCAAGTTTTGGTAGCGGACATTGAGCCATGTTATGGTAGTATGAAAGGGAAGCTGATCCTGTTCTGATAAAGTAGAACTTGATAATAGACATCCCTGTGTATACCAATCTTCGATTTGGAGGCGTAGGTCCTGCGGACGCATAGAAGGATGTGGATCGTAAATGGCATTGACAATGCGTGTTTCGAGGCGTCGTAGAGAGATCACATGCCGGCTGACTTGTAGCGCTATCGCGTACTGATGTCCTTCTTCGGAACCATATTCATGTATCATAATACTTGGCAGCGGTATCCGCATTATACTGTCAGGGAAGGCAAATGGAAGTCCATACGATATGCTGATCATGCGAGTGAACACATACACTGACCAACCCAGCCGACGACGTAGCTCAAGTACCCGAGGCGAGAGGCTCTGATTGGTAGGAGTTTCGTTCATCAGTCCGACTGCTAGAGCATGACTGGTCAGAACGCCGGTAATGGCTCGAGGGTCCTGGTCGCAGGGTACGAAGAGGAGATACAAGCCGAGGAGGAGCAAGGTGCCCACTGATTGCTCATTCACTTGGCAGACACACTCGCAGAGCACTCTTTTGAGACACGGCTGAAAATCCCGTTCCTCGATGCTTTGCACTTCTCCAGCCCGCTGCAGGCTTGTGAAGCCGATGGCCATTATCATGTAGAGTCGGGTGGGCACAGCCGACCGGGGGAGAAGGCCATCGTCTGCTTCTTTATTGGCGAGTGTTTCGAAATCTCGAAGAACAAGTTCGCTGTCAAGAAATGGGTATGTCCGATGAACGTGTCGGAAATAGGCCTGCAAGCATTTGCGACCCGCTGTAACGGAAATGGGCCCGTCTTCCTCGGCTTTGGAAGTATGGCTTTCCTCAAAAGCACTCTCACTGGGCTCGATTTCACTAGCATCAAGTGATGAAGACTGCATCGGGGTACCCAAGGCTATATCTCGCCCGGTCTCGATGTCTTCCACCGATCTACCGGCGGGGAGTGTTTCATTAACAAGCTGGCTCAGCCAAACAATGCGTGATTGCAATTCTCGTTCGCGCGTCTGCGGACTCGCAGAGCGCTCCATCAGAGAACAAGGTAGCCAAGCAACAAGACATGGTTTGCAAGATCCTTCGTCTGTTCTGGTGCACCGCTTCTTTTGCTGGCGACAGCGGCGACACGCCGGTAAAGGGGGTTTACGGCCGTTGGTATCTGCGGGTCTACCCCGGGATCGTCGTGTCTCCGGTTTTGAAGAATTGCGATGGACTCGAAAGCGATGGATGGAGCCCTCCATTATTGCCGGATGAAAAGGGTCAATTTCGGGGAGACACCGTGATAACCAACGGAGCACGCCATTCTTTCCCGCAACGAGAAATACCCATCGGTGCCGCACCGCGTTGTATATTCAAGAACATGATTTCTCGCAATGTATTCATATTTTCTTTCATTTTATTCTTCTCCAATAATTTACTCCCATCATGGTATCTGAAACCGAGGCGGTGGAAATCTACCGCGACGCCATCGTCTTTGACGGGTTGAACATCGCCAACTGGTCGCGCGAGATTTTTGAAGCATGGCAACAGGGCGGCATCACCGGAGTTTCATGCACATGCGGTACCTTGGAAGGGTTCCGCGGCGCCATTGCCAACGTGGTATAATGGAAGAAATGGTTCGAGGAACATTCCGACCTCATCGTACAGGCGCACTCGGTCAGTGACATCCGCGAAGCAAAGCGCAACGGCAAAAACCGCCGTTCTATTGTCCTGGCAAAACACAGCCGGCATCGAAGATCAACTAGATTACCTACGTGTCTTCCGCGACTTGGGTGTGCGCAAGATGCAACTCACCTACAACACACAGAATTACTCTGGAGCAGGATATACCGAGATTCGAGACTCGGGTTTGACTAGATTTGGTCGACAAGTTGTTGATGAAATGGGTCGGTTGGGCATCGTGGTTGATTTATCCCATGTTGGTCCGGTGACTAGCGAAGATGTTATCGAGTATGCGTCTAAGCCCCCTTGCTTCGGCCATGTGTTGCCAGGTGGACTTCACGAGCATCCGCGTAACAAGTCAAATTATCTTTTGCGGCTTATTGGGAAGAAGGGTGGATTTGTTGGAATCAGTCAATTTGGACCGCATATGGCCAGGGGCAATGAATCGACTATCGACGATTATGTTACTGCTGTGGACTTTGTTATCGATTTGATTGGCGAGGATCTGGTCGGCGTTGGTTCAGATGCTAGTGAGGGACATGCCCGACAAGTGATTTTGTGGCCTGGTGTAATCTAGATAAAGGTTATGCGCGTCGCCTCACTCCCTGGGGAAGCCAGACGGCTGTGAAGCCTCTGGGCCCGTTGAAGGAACGCCCAGAACTGGCCAAGGCTATGGCTCGGGCAGGCTGGTCGAAATCAAAGATGCAGAAGGTGTTAGGGGAGAACTGGCTGGATTATTTGGAACGCATCATTGGAGAGTGATGCTACATATATTTAGTTTAGGTAAAGGCACCGGTTTCAGTCTTCGATACTCATTTATCCCGCTACATCGATCCTCAATGATGTATATTCCCAATGGAAAAGAGTTTGAATGCTTTAAAGTATTCCTAAGGTGTGATAATGGGCACGATAGATTGGCCAAAAGATATGTAGAACACACAAAGGAATAGAATAACAAAGATCTAAAAGTGTCACTGTTTTATAAACGCATTGAAACACATCAAGTATGAACACCCCAACCTCCTCCACCAGGGCTATTGATTTGCATAATCTCCCCGGCCTGCAGCGCGAGTGCGGCTTTCCCAGTAAGAGAAAGTCTCTCCAAAGCCGTCTTTTCTTCGTTCCACTTGAATGCATAGTTCTTTCCCACAGAACCAGGTTGACCACCGTTCATACCATACGGAGAAAACACTCGCCGATCACTGAGAATGCTGAATTTGAGCGGAATTCTAGCCTCGATTTCACGGACCGCACCATTCCCTCCTCGATACTCGCCATCTCCGCCAGTATTGGGGTTGATCGCATGTTTGCGAATAATGACAGGGGTTCGCTTCTCAACAACCTCTGCATCTGTAATCTTCGTATTTGTCGAGTGCGCTTGGATGGCATGTTCTCCGTGCCAGCCAGGTCCAGCACCACAACCGCCTCCTACGGTTTCGCCATAATTCCACCCTGGTTCAATAATCCCAGTGGCAGGATTCCTCCCTCCCATGCCCCAGCCGAAGCTGTTCGCACAGCCGGAAAACGCCGCACAGCTCTCGAATGCTCGCAAGATTGTGTCAATTACACGCTGGCTTGCTAGCGTACTGCCGCATATGGCCACGGAGGCGCTGGGTCTCAGAACTGATCCTTTGGGGATGCGAATATCTATAGGTGATAGACAGCCATCATTGAGAGGGATATCTGCATCAAGCAGGCACCGGACGCTGTAGATCACGGCTGAATGGGTGATGGATATAGGGCAGTTATAGTTTCCCCACATCTGAGGACCAGTCCCCGTGAAATCAAACACTGCCCCGCCAGCTTCATCGATCGAGATAGACACTTTTATAACGGTGCCATCATCAAAGTGATCACTGGCGGTCAGGGGCATGGTCCTAGTCTGGGAAACACTCTTAAGGTATTCTCTGACTGCTGTTTCGGAATTCCTTTGAATAGCATTCATATAACGATCCACAAAAGGGAAAGTGAATTCGGCACACATCTTCTGCAAAAGAAGAATACCACGCTGGTTTGCCGAAATCTGCGCCTTGATGTCGGAGATATTATCGTCCAATCGACGACTTGGGCTGCACCCAGGGAGATCACCCGCAGCCAAGAAGGCATTGCGCACATCCGTTTCAAGGAAAACACCATTATCCACTATTTTCATCGAGCGAACATTGAACCCTTCTTGCCACAGTTCCTTGGAGTCTGGCATCATAGATGTGATTCCTTGTCCACCTATGTCCGTATGGTGACCACGAGCCGCAACATAGAAAGCAACGGTGGTCTCGCCGTCCACAAAGACGGGAGTGATGATAGTCAGATCTGGAAGATGGGTTCCACCGCATTCAGGGTGATTGCTGAGAAGAACATCGCCGGCCTTCAACTTTCCTTCCCATAGACGGTGCTGGTATTGGATTGCATATTGCATGCTTCCGAGGTGAATGGGGATATGCGGGGCGTTAGCTACTAATTTTCCCTCCCGTGAAAAGATGGCACACGAGAAATCCAGGCGCTCTTTTATGCTGGTTGAAATAGAGGTGCGCTGCAGTGTGTAGCCCATTTGCTCGGCGATTGCCATGAACCGATGAGAAAGAATGGAAAGCTGGATTGGGTCGATAGTCTCGGACTGAGCTACTTCGGTATTGGAGGGGGTTTTAGTCTCCGATTTCTCGAGGACCAGGTGATTTGGGAGGAGGAAGGCATCAAAATTAGACTCCACGAATATCGTTTGAGTCGCATCAATCAACAAGGCAGGACCTCGGACCTGAGAGGGTCGCCGGATTGAGGCAAGTTCAAATATCGGAACGTTTTGCCACTCTGAATCGAAATATACAGACTGAGTTCGATCAGCCTGCAGATAGTCATTTAGAGACTTGACTTGTTCTAACTGCGAATATGGTGATAATTCCTCGATAGCAACACCACTTCGGCCAACACCACGGACCTTGATCGAATCGATCTGTATTTTTCTGTCGAGAACGAATGCAAACTCTCGCAGATGTGTGGCTATAAATGAGGCTCCATAATCTTCATCCTTAGGTTTGGGCACGACAATGTTGGTGTCTGTACCGGTATATCTCAAACTCAGGGATTCTTCAAAGACAACAGTGGATGGATCTGCGCCCTGTGAGAGAAGGGCAGATTCAGCTTGGGATTTCAGGTTGCTGATATGAGCTCGAATGTCGTCCAGCACTTTGAAATCGAAGGAACCAACAAAAGGGACTGTTTTTTCGACCTGCAGATCGGCTTGAGAAATTCCGACTGCTGATAGCAGTGAAGAGTGTTTGTGGATGAGGATCCGCGTGATACCGAGTTTGCTAGCAATTGAGCAAGCATGCTGACCTCCAGCCCCTCCAAAACTGACCAACGTGTGACTGCTTGGCGCGAATCCTCGCACTTCTGTTGCGTTACGCATTGGTCGGGTCATGGTTTCGTTTGCGACATCGAGAAATCCGAATGCCACCTCCTCGGGTGTGAGCTTTTGCCCAGTTTGCTCGTTGATCTCGCGAGTGAGTTCATCAAACTTTTGTTTGGTAACATCCAGATCGAGATGTTGGTTCGCATTCGGGCCAAAGATACCCGGAAATGAAGACAGGACCAGTCTTCCCAAAAACAAATTGGCGTCTGTCACAGTAAGAGGACCTCCTTTTCGGTAACACGCAGGACCAGGGTGTGCCCCTGCGCTCTCAGGTCCAACGACAAAGAGTCCATGGCGGGCGAACAGCATCGAACCTCCGCCGGCCGCGACCGTCGCGATGTTCAGCATCGGCGTTGTGATCTTTCGACCCCCCACCGTCGTCTCCGTCAGATAATCGTATTTTCCATCATACCGACAAACATCTGTGCTGGTTCCTCCCATGTCAAACCCAAGAACAGGAGTCCCTTCGGCAGCATCAAAGCAAGTTCGAGCAATGCCCACAACGCCCCCAGCTGGTCCGCTGAGAAGAGCTTCATTTCCGCGGAACTTGTCCGCTTGTCTCAAGCCTCCGTCAGATCCCATAAACTCCACTCGCTGAGGAAGTACACTAAAGCCGGTCTGGAACGCCTTAATATAATCCCGCACGATTGGGTACAAGTATGCCTCTGATGAAGCCGAACTGCTGCGTTGCAAGAATTTGATGACAGGGCTGACTTCGGAAGCTTTGATCACAGTTTCAAAGCCCATATCTTGCGCGATGTCGGCTACCTGGTCCTCATGGCCAGAATACAGATAGGAATGCATAAAAGAGATGACCAAAGATGTATAGCCTGCAGACTGCAGCCCGCTCAGCACTTCTCGAACCTCAACGGGATCAAGTGCTTTCAACACCCTTATCACCTCCCCACTGGGTGTTCGGACCAGTGCAGGATCTGTGAGTTTGGCCGCTTTATCTGAAGGAAATGGATTAAGATCATAGTCCTCGATAGTGATGCGTTCGTCAATTTCGACCGAAGTTGAATGCAGCGCAGGAGGCTTTCTGACGTTCAAGGCAAATAGCTTCGGTCGAGTTTGATCATCGATGACACAGACATCTTTGAAGCCTTTGGTGGTGACAAATGCGAAATCTCGGCCTTTGCCTTCAAGCAACGCATTGGTCGCTATGGTTGTCCCAATACGGCAGGAGGCTATTCGGGACCCGTCTAGCTTTTCACCCACTGGTATTTGGCGGTTTTCGATAATCTCTAGTGCCCTTCGAATCGCCTCTGTTGGGGCGTCACGGTAGTTCTGCGGATCTTCCGACAGCAATTTGAACACAAGGTCATCACGACCGGGGATTTGAACCAGGACATCGCAGAACGTGCCGCCGCGATCTTGGCCGTTTAGTATGGTTTCTTTAATCGGGAGCGGTATAGAGTCACGTACCGATGGAGATGTTTATGCCTGGGGCAGTCGTCATGGTGGCTGACTATGTGCGATTTGACAAAGAGCTCTGTCGCAAACGTCGCCAAAATCAATTGGTCTTTAACATTCCGATTGAATATTGATATCGCTGGTGGTCGGCACTAAAATCACGCGTTATCTCGTGGTTTTGAGGTGATTTCCCCACTCAAGTCTAGGAGTGGATATTATTTTCGGAAGTTGGCCGACGTCTAAGAGCAAATCTGGTTCACTATGCCGCAGTGTCTAACAGTAACGCCATCTCCAATTTGCCACTGTCCACTATTTACATGTCCACGGTTGAAAAATCAGCTATGCGAATTCATCGGAGTCTCTACTAGGTAGTGACAAAATATCTTCACAGAGGTTAGGTATGCACGAGACTTTCAACCCTCTAGAAAGACTGTTATCAGGCGCCAATGAAAGGAATGTCGGGAGAGCTTCAGATACGATACAATATATCATAGAACATAGATATCTTCATTCAGTGGTCCTATCTCTTTAAAGCATCAACCTTGCTAAAACATACCGGCTCCAAAAGAAGGCTTACGAAAGATGTTTCTCAATGAGTCCGATCACCTCCGCATTCTTCTCTAGATGCACGCTGTGATTGGCATTTTCAATAACCTTCAGCTGCGCTCCTGGAATCCTCGAAGCGATATCCTTGGACTGTTCCGGTGGGCAAATCCAATCGCGCTCACCCACAATAACCAAAGCTTTCGCCGTGATCAATGGAAGTTGGTCCCTATAATCGAAGAATTTCTCCTGCTTGGAATAGAGGTCATCTTTGCGCGGTCAGCTTTATTCTGTTTGGAGGTTGAGAAAAACTCACTGTGGGACTTTGCATAAAAGACGGTCTCGATGTTGTGCTTCAACGCGAGATCCGGGTCAAAGTTCTCGCTATATAGCGGTGCAGCCGCGTACATGACAAGTCGAAATTCCAGATCGCTCTCAAATTGACCGAATATCTTATCTTTCAGGAAATTGATGGAAAGATTTGGGGCTCTAGATGCCCTTTGTTCCAGAGTACGGATAGCCGTTTCTTCATCTTGTAAAAGTTAGAAAAGACGTCGGATGTTGCACGAAACTTATAGTAACACTTTAGTAGCACTTACGGTGATGTGAAGGAGCAGTTCCTCGAAGAATCAAATGGGAAACCTGAGACGGATATGTGATTGCATACTGCTGGGCTAGAAATCCCCCAAAACTACCACCACATATGATACAGGGTTGATTAGGTCCAAGAAAATGGCGCCTTAAACCTTCAATATCTTCAACGACTTGATGAAATGTGAAAGGCTCTGTTCGTGAACTTTGACCATGTCCTCGGAAGTCGAAAGAAAGTACTCGATACGAGGACGAAAGGGATGAGTATGCTTTGTAATCTGACTTATGGTCGCCTGTTACATTTTATCAGTGATCTTAGAACGTTTGATTCATAGGAGTAGACTAGAGGCTAACCAAAACCTCGCCCACCGTGTAGAGTGATTATCAACGGTGCATCTGCAGGTCCGATTAATCGGTATGCTAACTGGGCGCCATTGATAGAGACGTATTCAACCATTGTGTGTTATAGCAAATGTAAAAATGGAGGTAGTGGAATGAGATAGGAATGATTAAACTGAAAATCAATCATAGATAATAGATAATAGTCGAAATAGGAAATTGAGCCGAAGCCGGGGAGAAGTCCAACGCCAAGATTGCCAAGCTTATCTCGTGGTGTCGGCCCCGCTCCGAGAAATATTTCTGTAAGAGGAAGATTTGAGCGGATCGGCCATTCTATCTCATCTTTGGCACGGAGTCCACGCAACAATTAGTTTAAATGTCGTGATAAGGTTGTATATGCTTTTTTTGTTGCAGTTGTTCTAGAATATACAAAGTACTAGTACATTAAAACTCCTCTCTCCCTTATTATAAATGATCTTCTCGTCACAAAAGGAGGATCTGAAATCCTTTTTGACTCGTCGGACGTTTGTCTCACAAATCCACAATGACTAAACCAGTCGAAGAGATCGGGGTTCAAAAGCCAATTTCAACTCCTAAAGAATTGGACAGCGACCACTCAGAATTACAACAAGACCGCCATAGCCAAACGGATTCATGTCAGAATCAGTCTGAACCCCCCAAAGGTTGGTTCCACTGGCATGAGCCCGGCACTTCAAAGGCCGACAAAAAACTCATTTTCAAACTCGACTGGTTCCTTCTGAGCTACAGCTGTCTGTGCTTTTTCATCAAGCAGTTAGATGGAAACAATATATCCAATGCCTATGTCTCCGGCATGCAAGAGGAGCTTGGGTTTGGACCAGGAAACGAACTCAGCTGGATGAACACCTATTTTAACATTGGCGCGATTGTCGGAGGGCCAATCTCAAACATGGCCTTGACCATGATCCGACCGCGATACTGGCTGCCTGGCTGTCTGCTTACCTGGTCGCTCTTCGTACTGTTCTTGTACAAATGCAACAATGCATCCGCGTTCTACGGTCTTCGGTTCTGTATTGGGTTCTTCGAGTCCGCCGCCTGGCCTGGAATCCAGTACGTCCTTGGATGTTGGTATCGCCGATCTGAACTCGCGCGCCGAAGTGGTCTCTTCGTCGTGTCCGGTGTCCTGGGACAGATGTTCTCGGGCTACCTGCAAGCAGCACTGTTCAAAGACATGGATGGGAAAGCTGGATTGTCGGCGTGGAGATGGCTTTTCATCTTCGATTTCATCCTCGCCATCCCGGTGGTTATCTACGGCTTTATATTCTACCCCGATACGCCTCACAACACGACGGCCTTCTATCTCTCGGAATGGGAGAGGAATCGCGCTCGCCAGAGAATCGACGAAGAAGGCCGAACTCCCGTTGGCAAATTGGACCGCTCTGTCTTCAAGCGCATCTTCTTGTCATGGCAATTATATGCTTTTTCCGTCGGATACGCATTGTGGTCTCTCACATGTGGTTCATACGTGATGCAGTTCTTTGGCCTTTGGCTTAAATCGCTAAAGACATACACCGTCCCTGAGATTAACAGCATCCCTACTTCCATGGGAGCCATCAACTTTTTCTTCATGATTGGTACGGGATATGTCGCCGATAAAATTGGCCGGCGAGGACCCGTCTGTTTCGCAGTCGGGTGTCTTCTGACATTCTGTTTTGCTGTTTTCACGGCTTGGCCTTCATCAAATGGGTTGAAAATGGCCGCTTTCATTCTTTCCGGCTGCTACGGATGTTATACGCCTCTACTTGCTGGTTGGGTCAATGCGTCATGCGGTGGAGATCAACAACTGCGAGCATTTGTCTTGGCGTTTATGGTCAGTCTTGGATCGGCTGTTGTTATTCCATTCCAGCAGTTGCAGTTCCCTAGTGGACAGGCGCCAAAATTCACCAAGACACACGGCTGGGTTAGTGGGCTGTGTTTTGTTGTGGCATTGAGTCTATGGACTGGATTTGGAATCGAGATTGTCGAACGGATTATGACACGTGGGAAGCGCAAGGAGAGCCTACCTAAGGAGGAAGATGTATGATGCTGTTGAGCATATGGAATGTTCATATTGTGATTCGTGAGAGATATTTTGTTGGTTCAGTAATATATATACATCCTGGACTATTTCAAAATCTTTATGACTGACCCGCCCCATTGTTGACTTATAAGTCCTTTTCTTTCACCTTGCCAAGTTTAGAATCATCAAAAACCCAGCATTAAGTAATCCTCTATACAAAACTATGTTTTATATAGAGTGGTTTGTTACTCTTGCGGTAGAACTATCTGCCCTATTACAGCCATCTTATTTAGACCTAACAAGACTACTTCCCATGATGGGATGCAGCGTTTAAGGCGATCCCAATCGTACGTTATGCCATTTTCGTAGCTATTGTCTGCCCACTGGTCGTATGGACCCGCCGTTATTATGCCACGTTTCTCGTCTCAAGGGTGGGGCTAGAACCGAACTAGTGTTGTCAGAGCCTATATAATGTCTCAGATGAGAGACCCTTCTTTCATAAAACAGCTTTTTGATATATGACATCTATGTGAGTAGAAGTGGCTCATTACGTTATAATAAGTCGTAAATAGCCAATTTTTGCTGGCAATGAAAGTCTATGGACTGCGATATTCAGATGAATCCGAGCACATATCTATCTGCCGCTCGAGTTCATAATTCAACCCGTTTCTCTAGTGCCTGACTGCCTTCGATGAACTAAGTATAGTGCCGTTCTCTTTAGGCTCGAGACGTCAGTGGAAGTAGGAGAACTCAGGAAGTACCCGGGATCGGCATGGTCGGAGAAGGGGCCACATTTCTCACCACACATAATGGAAGTAGCGGAGGGGCTGGATTGCTTGTTCACCATAAGGCGATCGGAAGTGGGTTAAAATAGCTATAAATAGCCAGCGAAGGAAGAGAAAAAGCTCCGCAAAGCTTCTATGCCAGTCGATGTACTTCTTAAGAACGTACGACACGGCATTCACGAGTGGATCCAAGGAACCCAAGGGACAAGGCCAAAACTAACCAAACGGACGTCCGGACACCAACCACTGGGATTAACCTCGGCCCAAAGGGCCTTAAATCGCTGCTATGGCTGGCGTTATCGGGCGGGCTTGATAGTAGTGGCGATAGCGGAGGTAGAATTATATTTCTTACACGACACATCTTGAGATGTCGTTGTGGAATATAATCTTTTCATCTGCTCGTGCAAAATTGAAGTATAGAAACCACTTCGGGGGAGACACAAACGCAATAGGACCGAAATCCCTAGTAGTCGCTATAAAATGCGATGCTGAGCCCTGGGCATCATCATGCGCGTCAGGTAAATAATAGAAGCAAGTGGCAATTACGATTTCAACTTCAGAAACGACCTATAGATATAAATAACCCCGAGTAGCCCAATTACCGGGCAGTTTGCTCCATCCACCAACCAAACGCCAAAGCAGAAAGGATAGTAAAACGCAGGCGAAAAGACAGAGAAAACAGAGACAGAAGTAAAGTGAACAGAGTTGGATTATTAACAAATACAGATCCAGAAAATAGATAGGTGCCATACGCTCATAATCTGGTATCACAAGAACGTAAAGAAAAGGCAAAAAGGAAATCATAAAACAGAAGGGATTTTACTTGCTTGGTAAACCAAAAGCCAAGCAAGAGTTAGAGTACTGACGCCATGATGCACAGGAGGCAATCTGTACCTGTGCAAATGCAAATGTCATAATGGGACTTCCAAAATTGAGGAGAATCAGCCCCAAAATGTAAAAGAGCACGCTCCACACGTGTCTAGCGGACTTCCAATGGCTCCCATGTACAATGGACCAAATCCGAAAACACATTTCCGTCCAAAATGAATCACCAAAAAGTCACTCCGTGGTCCATCGCAAGGACGTCAAATGCTAGAACCGGAAAGGGAACTGGATGGCTAGATGGGCATATATATAAAAAAAAAGAATAATAAAACAAAGCAGGCTTTTAAAAAGAAAGAAGGGGGGTGAAGAGGGCAGGTAAAGACCCGGGGAAAGTCCCTAGCGGCGAGTGGCGATGGCTTGTTGTTGTTCTGGGCTAAGACGGTCTCGCAGAAGCATCAGTGGGCGACCGGGCTCGAGAAGACCCATCATCATCTTGCCTAATTCGTTGTGTTTGATGGGCTTGGTCACGTAGTCATTGAAACCTGCGCGGGCAGCGTTTTCAATTTGATCTGTCATTGCGTTTGCCGAGAGAGCCATGATTGGAATCTGTGGATAATGGTTCTTTTGCTCCCATTCACGGATCTCTCTACAGGTATCGTAGCCATTCTTGATAGGCATCTGAATATCGCACTACCATTCGATGCGGTTAGTTTTGCCGGAGGGAAAGGGTATAAAGTCAGGCTCACGATGATAAGAGAATAGTATCCCGGCTCTTTAGAAAGCACCATGTTAGTGCACTCCAGTCCATTGGATGCAGTCTCCGACATCAGCTTGATCTTGTCCAAATACTTCAGCATAACCTATATATGAGTTAGCAACCAATTCAACGAGGTTCTCATGAATCAACTTACGTCGCGATTGGTTTCGTCGTCTTCGACCAGCAGGATTCGATAACCCTTGTTGCCTAAAACTTCTTTGACCATCTTAGAAACGGTCTTGAAGTTGTTATTGATCTCGCGCGCCATGTCTTGGTTGCGATCCTTGCTCAGCTCACGCTTGCTCTTGGGATCAAAGATCGTTGAGAAAGCAGAAGGTTTGATAGGCTTCGGCACAATGAAAACCTGCTTTCCTGAAGCTGCTAGCTCCTTGACCTGTGAACTAATTTGACGCTTTTGGTAAAGGTCTGAAATGATGACGATGACGGGCGCGGGATTTAAGCCCGGGTCTGACATGTTTTGAATAACCTCCAAGATATCATCAGTTGACAGATTCAAGACAAGATGTGTACAAGGATGGGCATCGGAAGTGGACTGCATCACATCTTTCCATTCGTCAACATCATGTAATGCCGTGACCTCGAACGGAATCTCATGAGGGACAATCTGCTCGATGTGCTGCTTTATGGCATGCCGGGAGTTTTTGAGCGGACACAGAATTACGATCGAGAAAGGTCCGTGGACAGGCGCAGATACCGGGCCTACTGGTGTATCTGGAGAGGCAGATTCAGGTGACGCTACGCTGACTGGTTCGTCGGGCTTTGTAACGGCAGGTTGGGTCCTTGAGCTCGAGACTGCGTCTGCCAGATTCGTCAAATCTGTTGTCTGCTCTAATGGAGAAGACAGGGGTGCAGGGCCAATATCTGGAGTCGGGAGGGCAGAGGATGTAACTGATAACGAGGCAGAAAGTGTAGTATCAGAGCTTTTGCTGGATGAGTCGGAGTTTCGGGCGGCTAGAGGAGGTGCTTGTGGATAAGAGGTCGTTCTAGACTTTGCCGGTCTTCTTGAAGCGCCTGAACCCTGGCGCATCAATTTGGGCTGCTCAGAGGGGGAAGGTGGCGGAGGCGCATCGACCTTGACGTTAAAAGAGAACTTTGCTCCCTGGCCCTCTTTGCTGCTGGGAGTGAGCTTTCCGCCATGCATTTCGACGAGTTGCTTCGACAGGAAAAGCCCGAGGCCGCTACCAGCATGTTGCTGTGTCCCATTTTCTCCAAGCTGACTGAATCGTTGCATAAGTCGTTCCGCATCTTGAGAGCTGAACCCCTTTCCGGTGTCCACGACCTCAAAGTTCATGTATGCCTGGGTGTCATTGGGATTCGCAGCTGGATCCCGATACATGTCACAGCAGATGTGAATTTCACCATGCGCAGTGAATTTGACTGCATTTCCGAGAAGATTGATCAGGACTTGACGAATTCGGAACCGATCTCCAATCACCATTGATGGCAAGTCTTTGCCTATGAGATAGTTGATCTCGAGACCCTTATCGACCGCTCGGGAGGCGATAGTGTCGATTACATCCTCGATCATTGATCGGATATGGAACCAAGATTTGACCATTGTCATCTTGCCAGCTTCGACACGGGAAACATCAAGGATGTTGTCAACTAACTCACGAAGGTTAGTGGAGCTGTTTTGAATGGTATCAAGCATTCGCCTCTGGTCACTGTCAAGCTGCGTATCGAGTATGAACGGAATTGTACCAAGAATGCCATTCAGCGGGGTTCGGATTTCGTGGGACATGTTGCTGAAAAACTTTGTCTTGGACTCCATTTGGTGATTCAACTGTTGCATGGCCTTGTTGAGTTCTCTTTCGAGGTTTTTGCGGTCGTTGATGTCGGTACATGTTCCGTACCAGGAGGCTTCCTCGCTCCCGAAACTGCTAGTCTTCACGCGTACTACGCGAACCAGATGCCACCTAAAATCACCACCTCGAGAACGAAGGCGGATCTCGGTAGAATAGAAGACTCGGCCATTCTCATCTTGCTGCAAAGAAGCAATGCCGCGCCTGACAAGCTCGTCAAGAGCTGTTCCGACCATGAACTCATAAGGCCCGCCATCACTTCGTTCCGCGTTCTGAGATGTTTTGTTGAGCGACAGTTCACCACACTTTTCGAGATCGTCAGGATGAACATGTTTAGCGAAGCCGAGGTCATGCGCTTCCTCGAGCGGTTGGCCGGTGTACAGATTCCACTGCTCGTTGACAAATATCAATCCGCGGTTCTCCGTTGCCTCAAACACAATCTGTGGGATCGAATTGGAAAATGCACGATACTTTGCATCAATCGCAAACTTTTCCCTCTCTTGAGTTGCCTCAAGCTCAGCAATATGCTGCTCATGAATGTCGAGAAAAGACCCAATCCAGTAAAGTACCTCTCCTGTTGACGATAGCAGCGGATTGGCCCGGAATATGAACCAGCGATATGCTGATTCATCGTTGAACCTTCGGACCCTCACTCTTTCAGTGAACTGTGCCCCCGTGCGCAGAGCATTGGCCCATTTGGTATGAACATGCTCACTCTCGCTACTATGAATATTTTGCCAAGGATCTCTAAATTTTTGCTCCTGGTGCTGACTTCGTCTGTAAGCATCAAACTTGGAATTTGTCCAAATCACTTCGCCACTCTCGGGTTTTGCCAGGAATAAATGCAAAGGGATCGAATTAAGCATCAGCTGTGCTATCGTGTCAGAGAACGGGCGCGGGAGCTCCCGTTGTAGTTGGGCGTACAACGAGTTCGTAGAGGCATGACGTGATGATTGCTGAGTAGGTGAAAGAACATTGGGCGGTCTGATCTCTTGCAGTGGTGATGCGACGTAGAACGATTGGTCTTGTAGGTTGGTCTCATCGCTGGGGATTGATTTCCAGGCCACTTTTTCGGGAGAAATTGTTGTCCTTGAGTCGATATTGGTGGTCTTAGATCTGAAAAGCCGTGGTCTACTCTGCAATGCACTGTCACGGACACTTTTGTTTTGCGGGACATTGAAGTAGCTGTCAGCACCTTCTCCGCCCTGTCGTGAAGCCACTCCTGGGGACGGATTTGCGGACCCGAATCCAATATTGCCAAGATCAAATCCCGGTGTCCCAATGGCAGAAATAGTAGGACTGAACTTAACAGACGAACGATCACTAGGGCTATTGGTACTTGCGGACGCGGACATTGGGTTGTTGTTGTCGCCAACGGAGTAGCTGACGTGACCGCTTAGTCCCGCAACAAGCTCAAGCTCACTGCTTGCATCGGAGAAAGTGCCGCCGAGGCCTAAAAGTTGACCATAGCGAGGTGTTTCCATCTTGGATGAGAGTTGTTTTTCAAGCTGGCTATATCGCTGAGCCAAGCAGAAAGAATTTGTCAAATGCGGCATCAGAAGCGAGAGTGATTGTCTGAGGTTAGGAGGATATGGAACGATTGTGCACAACATTGACACAATGGCAACGGGAAATCTCACCGTCGATGAGGACTCCCGGTGAGAGTGACCACCATGTAATAGAGGAATATGGATAACGGTCTTCGACTGATCGATGCCAATAGCCTCAAGTGGAAGATTATTAGAGTAGTCGTGCGAAGGCGGATGCTTGGAGAAAGCTCCTTCATCGACGGCATGGCTTGTGAAGAACGGATTCTGCTCTGCGTGCGTGCGGGGAGCAGGCGATGGAGCAGGGGACTGAGACCACGGAGACTGCGGAACCTGCTCATATTCATCATATTGCTTCAAGCCATGGGCACCGAAGCCTTGCTGCATCGGTACATTCCCCATTCCACAGCCAACCGGACCATCAACGTCAGGAGTAACTTGGACCATCTCATTTGGACTGTTGGCGGACTCAGTCCAACGCTGCGGATATTGCGCGCTCTCTGCATACTCACGTGTTAAGATAGTGGGACGGGTACGCCCAAATAACTTGACCACGCCTGTACGCTTGATGAGAGGATCTAGTTCTACCTCCAATGGTCTAGGAATGGGGAACACAGCCTGCCGCATATTGCCGAGGAGACTATTGAGTGATTCGTCTTTGGCTTCGGAGTTCTCCGTCCAATCATCCGTGGATGGCGAGTCTTGAGAAGCGATATGTACGTGCCTTTTCTCGGGCTTGACATTTATCTTCGAAAGTTGTGGTCGGCTGGTAGCGTGAGGGGTGTGGCCTTGGCCTTTATCAAACCCAGCGAATGAGTGGCGGGATAATAAAGATGGTCGAGAAGGTCCAGGCATTCTAGCCTGGTGGACGGTCTCGGGTTTCTGTTGCGAGACGCTTTTGCGCGAGTGGGGTGCCTCAGTTGATGGTCTCTTCTCTATATGACGTGCTTGAAGTTCATGCAACGAGGTATCCACGTTCTGGTTAAATATCGCCTTTTGGCCCCAAGGTACGTTCTCCAAATCGGTCACATCTCCAGGGACAGCCAGCGACACACGCTCAGCCCCGTAATGTGTTTGCAATATATTAATGAGGTTGGTCCACCACAATTCGAGTCCCGAATCCGCATTCAACTGAAGTGTCAGGTCATAAAGATCGGGACTGGCAAAATTCGGATCTTCCTGCGTCTGGCTATGATGAGCGGGCAGAAAGGTCGGATGCGGTTCCGACGCTTTTGGTTCTGAAGGTAGAGTTTGGTACCCTGGTGTCGAAGAATGGAGTTTCTCCGATGGAAGCTTCAGTCTGAATGGTCCACGTCCTATCGATTCGATTCCCATTTTGGATGGTTTGGTCTGTATGTGTGGAAAGGGATAGGACGGCGTGTATGCTGGTTTGCGATCGGAGGGTGTCTCTATCTGGACACCTCTGATTGTCCCTGCGGAACTTACCGAGCCTGCGGAGGTATGTGAGCTGGTGAATGGGGCTTCCGTTGAGGTATTAGACAATGCACTTGACAAACGTCTCTTTCTTGGGGTATCATTCGAGGGGGCGGAGGCGGGCTGATTCTGAGATGAGACTGGTTGGGTTTGCTGCATCTGTTGATATACAAGGAGATCTTCCATCTGCTTTCGCAGTTCCTTGAGGGTATGTGAACTGCGTCCTTGATCCTCCTGTCGTTCGACTTCCGATCGTGCGTCCTCGGTGATGGGTGTTAGACCAACAACCTGCTCCGTAGAATCGCCGCGCGACAAACGAGACGGGTTGAGAGACGACTTCTCAAGAGCATCTACCCTATCCGCAAGTTCATCCACCAATTTTTGCGACTGGTGACCATGTGGGGGACGGTGACCAGGCGATCTGAGAGGTTGCATAGACACTGCCGATGGATGTGTCTCTGATGGCGAAGGGAATGGAGAACTCCTCCTACTATACACATCCTCCATTCTCACGCCTCCGCGAGTGGAGGGAAAGGGTATAAGAGGGTATCAATGGTAGTGTGCGAGGTACGGGACCGAACGATGTGAGACGTTTATGGCTTGACCGAAGTCGCAAATGGGAGATCGGGTATTGGTGGGTGGGGTGGTAAGGACGCCAAAGGAAATAAAACAGATTATGCCAAGATTAGAATCTGAAGGTGAGAGTCGGGTCGATTTAGAATAATAGAAGAATGAAGACGACGAAGACGAAGACGAATAAGGTTGAGGCGGTGTATCGAAGGGGGGCGACCGATATTGAGGTGTTCGAGCGAGAAAGGAACAATTTAGGAAACAGGCGTACCCGCCAGGCCCATTGCTTGCATCGATATGGGAGTGGATGGGAGTGGATGAAGGGAAGAAAAAGTGGACTGGGGGCGTGATGATGCACCGGGGGGGGGGGGAATAATGACGTAGGAAAAATAAAAACTTGGTGGCTTTTTTCTTATAAACGGTTATTTCCTTCATATGGTTTGCAGATAATTATATTCCATAATGTGTCTTGCAGTGTTCGAAAGCTGACCTTTTCAGTTACTTTGATTTCCTCATTCTCATAGATATTGGAAGTCGACCCTGTTCTTCAGCCAAAAAAAGCCGATATGACGTAGCCCTAGTTGTACCTGGATTACCGGGATTGCGGTAAACGGCAGCCAAGTCCAAGTCTCTCTCCCTTAGTCCTTATTACCTGGGAAACGAGCTTGAAATATTTATGAACTACTTGTATTTTATGAACTATTTGCAGGCTAGGCAAGCTAGGCATCCGCAGGACCCAATGGGCATATCTATGGGGTATTTGGGTGTCTGCCCTAATAGAATCACATTCAAAAAGCGACTCGTGGAACATCCAAATCAAAGGAGAAGCTCTTGCGGTCTAGACCAGAGAATTCAAACCCCTTATCCCCCTTGATCAGCCTCTGATTTATGGGGAATGGGGTATCATACATAGAGGTCGGATGCATTGTCACGCCTTGTTGCAGATGCCTAACCCTGGGAACGAGAAGATCGACCCGCCGACGTCAACGGGGCTCCTGTGGCGCCAAATCGGCTCGATGGGGGAAGGATTAGTGCATGGACGGTCAAGCTCCCCTTTTCCGGAGGATATTCTATTCACGAAATAACTAATCTGGGGTCTACAATACTTTAATTTGATATATATTGGGAGTAATATTGCAGATTTGGCAATTCTCAGATGGTCAGCTGAGATTCTCCTGTCCTATTTAGAATAATACACACATTCCGTTCTTCAGGGCTGGCTCCCGTATCTGCAGTCTAGACTCTCTAACTACTATATGCAGTTACCCCGTGCGGCGCTATAACTAGCCGGTTTCATATATGTTCTAGTTAACTATAAATCCTGAAATCTCTGTTCTTCCACCGTGGTAGAATTTTACAGTAGCTATTATTAGGCCAAACCCATTTGAAGTTGAGATTTAGTGAAATGTACTTCCCGACAGTCGAGTAATGTCCAGTGTGACCTAAGTTCAAGTGCATGCGAGTCTCCAGGACTACAATCAGTGCTTATGAAAATATAACAACCCATATAAAAAGCCACAACGCCATGCAATCATATCCTTATTTACCAGAGAGTTCCGGGAATTCCGACTCCAAGTCCAAGTCCACGGACTGTACAGGCTCTCGGTTATCGCTGCCGACATCGGAGGACTCATCCAAACCACTCCGAGGATTCAACTCCCTTTGATAAATCGGCTGTTCGATATCCTTCAAACCCGACCCCGTGGGGTCTCTCCGAATGAGGAAGCCCTGCACGCGCGCATCATTTGAATTCATCTGTTTGACGGTGCTGTCTCTACGGTCCCGTAGGACGCGCGCCGACTTCTCGTTAACCTCACGTAGTCGATCAGTGTAGCCAGAATTCATCTGGCTGATCCAGGATGCTTGAAGGGCGCCCGCAAACAGCACCAAGAGGATTACAAGCCGAGAGAAGGTGCGCTGGTCGACAACATGCTGCTGCGGCCCTTGGTGGCGGTTATGCCAGTCCTCCCAATCTTCCCATGTGGCATTCGCGTAGATATTCGGGCCATGGGAGTTGCGGTCCATTGTAGTATCCAGTCCCGCGTGGATCCAGCCAGTGCCATTTCGATCATAGGCCGCTCGTTTGATCGGATCAGAAAGGAGATCATGTGCATCAACCACAATTCGGTAGCGCTGCAATCGGCTTTCAGCGGTTAATTGATTGAAGAGAGGATGGTCATGGAGAGGTCGGTCGGGGTGGTAGATCTTAACGAGGTCATAGTAATTTCTTTTCGAATACTTCCCGGTGCGGGGTAAATTCAAGACATCATAGGGGGTGAAAGATGGATTGCTCGGCCATGAGTAGTTCTGGTGTGGGAACTCTGTTGCGGTGGCATAGTTCCTGCTTTTGTATGGTGCCTGCAGTCTATAGCTTGGAGAGATTCTGGTCTTGAAACGAGGAAGCGGTAAGACCGTAGTCGAGTTCAAAAGTCGCAGGCTTTCGCCAAGAAAAGGATTGATCGTCTTGAACATTTTCACATGGTGTCACTTTAATGTTCACGTCGAAATCTCCGTTGCGCTGATGTCGTAAGTTATCGTGAGGGTCAAGTGGAGTGGCGGCTTCGGGGCTGGTCACGTGTATGTAGTTTTTGGAGCTTAACCAAAGATCTCCAACTTTTTGATCTACGCTTGTCTTTTTCTACAGTCACATTGCAACAGCAACAATGGCCGAGTCCAACGACGACCGCGTCGAACGCTGCCGGCGCTCCACGAACTCACCCTCGGATCAGACCCATGAACGCCGGCGACGAGATGCGCCCCGAGACGACTATTCGCGTTCAAGACGACGTGGTGAAGACCGCCGGAACTCTCGTCAGGACAGCCCTCGACGGAGATCATCCCGTAGTCCATCTGAAAGGACCAGCGTCCGAAGTGATCGTGCTCGTGATCGGCCTCGTCGCGAGCGCAGAGAGCGATCAACAAGCTCAGCTGGCGAAGACCGCCGCAGACACAGACACCGCAGCCATCGATACCGTGACACCCGCCACGAAGACGAAGGACGAGTGTCTCGAAGGCATCGAGATGCGCGATCACGCTCTCGCTCACCGCGAAAATCACGCAGCCCCTCACCGCGAGCATTGGAACGACGCGGCCCCCTCCCCTCACAGTCCGACGCATTCACCGACGTGGCAAACCCTTCAGATGCACCAGCGCCAGAAAAACAAAAGCCAAACTTCAACGCTACTGGGAGGCTCGCAGCCGAAAGCAATACAATTGTCCAGGGTGGTACGAAAATAGTCTTGAAATACCATGAGCCTCCAGAGGCGCGCAAGCCGCCCGCCAAGGAAGCCTGGCGCATGTATGTGTTCAAAGGACAAGACTTGCTAGAAACGGTTGAATTGAGTGAACGCAGTTGCTGGCTGGTCGGTCGCGAGCGACTGGTGGTAGACTTCCCACTCGACCATCCCAGCTGCTCGAAGCAGCATGCGGTGCTACAATTCCGATTTGTTGAAAAGCGCAATGAATACGGTGATCGCATCGGCAAGGTCAAGCCTTATCTTATTGATCTTGAGAGTTCGAATGGATCGAGCGTTAATGGAGAGACCATCCCTGGTGGTCGCTACGTGGAAGTCATGGACAAGGACGTAATTCGCTTCGGCCTGAGCTCGCGCGAATACGTCCTCATGCTGCCTCCCAGTTGAGTGGAGCTTTCAGTTTGGTTTAAAGCATTAAAGCGCTACGGGTACAACATGTTCGATGAACGGAATATGACAATAATATTACAAGTCGGATCATAATTGCTGCAAGCTTAACCTAGTTTTTGCGGGCAGACAAGGTCAAAATCTTAATCAATGCGGCACTTGGCCTCCTTCACTACCCTTCCATCTGGCCCATCGCCTACTTTCTCAGTGCTTCTTCTGCCTTGCTCTTGCCCTTGTCTGCATACTGGGCCGCCTCGCCCTTCACCTCTTCTCCCTTTTCCTTTGCTTGCTTAGCCCCGCCGCTAACAGCATCCTTAAGCTTGTGGGCGGCTTTCTCTGTGGGCAAATTCATGTTAGCATCAGTCTCTGCACATTGAATCAAAGTCATATAGATCAATGAGATCACATTGAAGACATACCACCCGTGTTGATGCCCTTGACTGCTGCATCAGAAACAGTCCGGTCGGCTTTCTTCAATGTCTCCTTTGTCGCATCAACAGGTCCCTTGTTGCATGGTGCCGTAGCTGAGATGGAGCGAATGGCCTGGAAGCCAGGTGCGGTCTGTACCGCCACCCGGGTTCTGAGGAGAGGAGCGAATCGTGCTGCAGACATGTTTGTAGTGTGATGGAAGTTTCCGATAACGTGGGAAATTGGAATAATTGATGAAATCTTTATTGATTTTCCCCCGGATCAGTACAAAGTAACTTGTTTAAATAGGTTTGGAGCTTTGAAATGTACTTGATTTCTACTTGGTCGCCCCCAGCTGTTAGTTGGGTTGGAGACGTCATGAGTATGTAGCCCAGCTCTTACGTCGATTGACAGTCAGTTGGTCCTCCAAACAGGTTATGTATTCCGTTTGATTCGGTGACTGGATTTCATACCTGCATAAATCCGGTTTTGAGTATGTCATTTTTGTCATTCGTTGATCGACGCCGTTGAATGTGGGGGACAGCGACCCACATGTATAGAACCTCAATTACTACCGGGGAACAAGAATTTGCTAAGGATCACAACGATTGAACAATATATCTATAACTAGTGTTGCAACTCTCCTATTCTAAATCACGGAAAAATATGTTGGCGATGCTCATCATCGTCACCCGGGAAACCTGGACGGTGTATCCAAGAGACGGATATCTGCATGTAGGTAATAGCTAGCTTTTAACAGAACGCAGACTAATATCGAACTTGAGCTCAGAATATACTCCGTGTGGCTACAGTACCTGACTCGAAAAAGCATATATATCACCCGTAGACAAGTATATAGATCCTGAGATACTCCGAAATATATAACCGACCCAAGCTGAACTTCTTCCGCGTCCCGGAACCAAGGTATCCTGGTTATATTTCGCCACACCTAGTTCAAGTCTATACGCGATAATATATAATCGAAAACTACGGCCGAAGCTCAATGATGGGTGTTAGATGAAACTTGAATCTATCTATATCTTGCATTTCTTTCAGAGGATGGCCCACTTTTACCGTTAACGTTGAGCGCTCGATAAACAGGTCTTGTCACGCAGAGTATGCCTGGTAATTATTTAGGACTATGCTTCCATATGCCAGGATCTCTGTTGGGATATTATACGATTGTCTCAAGATCCAGCGCAAACCAAAGTTGGTCAAGACTCGGAGTCTCGTGATACTGAGGAGCATAGTATAGACGCGTCTCTGTCCTCATATATATCACAGTTGAATTAAAGAAAACCCCATTGGGGTAGGGTCTTACGATATGGACCACTTAATAAGAGCCTTTATTGGCGATTAGTCTCATTCAATGAGCCAATCTAACAGTTGCCAACATCAAAAGGGCAAGAGAGTTAACTTGCTTTGTCCCACCCGACCTGATATGCAAGTATACACCGTAGTGCGACCCTGGGATCCAAACTGTCGGCAAAGCATCAAATCAATTACAAGCCATGGAAGATATCGAATTGATATACAGATGCATAAATATAGATTTATTCAATATCAAGGGCATAATATGAAAGCTTACTGGTTCTTCTGGAAACAAATCTCGGGAATAGATATATCTATAGGCATATACAAATCAATTCGCACTATACGAATATATTCAAGGTGGAAACTTGCAGATAAGTTGCAGATAGCAGAGACACGTTAGATATAGCCTATGAATTTGATAGTCAGAGAGTTCTATAGTATGATAGAGAATATCAAACACGAACTATGAGCAGATGTAAACAAAGTTCCAACCTTGGAAGTACCCAATCGGGGGAAAACCAACTGGAAGGTTTCTGTCGATGCTCTTCACCTAAAGTTTTATCTTCTCCCTCTACCCTTTCCATCCACTCTTTCTCTTGACACACCATCAAAACAACAAAGATATTTCTTTTTTGCCTTCTTTTTCTGTACTCTGGACCAACTTGATCCATTTCTGGTTGTACTTCATTACAAAGTCACTCACTACAAATGGTGTCCGCAGCCAACCCCAGTCGCGTTGACCCCTCCGAGAAAGAGGAGGAGAAAGCATTGACCAACGATGTTTCCCTTAAGCAGGAAAGCGTTGCGATCAATGCCGAGCAAGCAGACGAGCCCACCGCGCGTGAAGTGACCGAGCGTCCAACTGGTCCCAAATTGGCTTTGATTACACTGGCATTGTGTCTAGGAGTATTCCTAGTTGCTCTTGGTACATTTACACTCTCAGTGCAGGGCATGACTGACGCATATTATCTTGCCCTATAGACAACAGCATCATCGCCACAGCAATCCCAAAGATCACAGGCCAATTCCACAGTCTTAATGATGTTGGATGGTATGGAAGTGGTTCGTTAAAGCACGAGGCAACCTAGCTCATCGGTGTGGACTGATCTTTTTCTCTATTTTCCAGCTTACCTTCTCACCACGGCGTCACTCCAGCTACTTTTCGGAAAGTTCTACACTTTTTTCAATGTCAAATGGACCTACCTTGCTGCCATTGGCATTTTCGAGCTGGGCAGTCTGATCTGCGGCGTGGCCAACAGCAGTCTGACGCTTATCATGGGCCGTGCTGTTGCTGGTATTGGATCTGCAGGCATTTTCTCCGGCTCGCTCATCATGGTGGCTCACTCGGTGGCACTTGAGAAGCGCCCGTTATACAATGGCTGTATCGGTAGCATGTTCGGCATTTCATCCGTCGCTGGGCCTCTGCTCGGTGGGGTATTCACTGATAAAGTGACATGGCGCTGGTGCTTTTACATCAATCTCCCTATCGGAGCTGTCACTGTTTTGGTGATTGCAATCTTTTTCTCTGCGCCCATCCACAATGTTAAACAAACTACATGGGTAGAGCGCATTAAGAAGTTTGACCCAATGGGTACAGCTCTTTTCCTCCCTGCCATTGTCTGCTTGTTGCTAGCTCTGCAGTGGGGTGGTAGTATCTATGCTTGGAATAGCTGGCGTATCATTGTGCTGTTTTGCTTTTTCGCTGTTCTCATTCTCCTGTTTGTATTTGTCCAGCACACACAGCAAGACAATGCTACAGTACCGCCACGCATTTTCTTCCGCCGCACTATTTGGACCGCTGCCCTGTACAGTTTCAGTCTCGGCGCTGCGTTCCTCTCCTCTGTCTACTTCTTACCTATCTGGTTCCAAGCCGTGAAAAATGCTAGCCCTGTCAGCTCAGGTATCATGAATCTTCCCATGCTGATCTCTGTTGTGGTCGCCTCCATTTTATCAGGAATCATTATCACCTTCGTCGGTTACTACACGCCATTTATGATTGCCGGTACAGTTCTTCTCGCTATCGGCTATGGTCTCATGAGCATGTTCCACACAGACACATCCAAAGCTGTCTGGATCGGCTATCAGATAATTGCGGGCGCCGGTGCCGGTTTGGGTATGCAGCAATCTATGATCGCTGTTCAGGTTGTCCTTGATATTCCTGATATACCCACTGGAACAGCTATCATCGTGTTCGCCCAGACTCTTGGAGGTGCTCTCTTTGTTTCTATTGGAAACAACGTTTTCAGAAACAAGCTCATTGAGTATCTTGCCAAGTACACCCCCAACTTGAACCCAGCTTCGATTCTCAATACCGGCGCTACTGGCTTGCAGAGTGTGGTTAGCAAGGCTGACCTACCTGGAGTCCTCCTTGCTTACAATAACGCAATTACCCAGACATTCATGGTCGGTGCAGCTGTGGCGGCCGCCAGCATGATCGGCGCTTTGGGTGTGGAGTGGAAGAGCGTGAAGGGAAAGAATCTTGCTCCGGGAGCCGCATAATTTTCTGACAACTTCTTCCAGCTTTTTTATGTTAGCGCTTTGAATTTCTTTTAACGGCATATAACATATGTAACTCGTTTTATTGAGATATCAAATGCCAATTCTCCTTATCAGCCAGTGATAACCCTAAACTGCCACCCGTGGACCTCGGGGACCTGCGCAGCTAACCCAAGGCGTCCTAGCGTCCTGTTAACCCCAGATAAGCAGCGGAGAACATCGTTGACTTCACAATATCTTATGATTCTAGGAATACTGGGGGACAATCTACTCCATGAGGATGCCGACCAAGCGACGGATTTTGTCGTGCCAGCCGTGTCGGCGCTTGAAGACACGATGCGAGGTTCTTCCAGGTTCGAGACAATGTGCTCGGTGCATCTCTCTAAGGTCGGCGGCCGAATATAATTCATCAACAACTGTTGGGGATTAATCTGACACCAAATAGGCTCGAATGCTCTCTTCCGTCCACATCTGCCATCACTAGCCCAGATTCAGGGTCTATTGGGAGATCAGATAGGAATTCCGCCCAGCCTATTGCATGCCATTGCGCAGCCCGGTATTTCTAATTACACTTGTATAGACCGAGGCTCTAATTACTAACTGAAAGGTACCAGTCTTGATGCCATCGAAACCTCACTCTCTGAGATGAAAGAATTACTGAAATCCCACCTTCTCGGCAATGACCGGTCAATGGCACGACATCCTGCCAATGAGATGCGGGAAACGAGCAGTAATCTAAACCCGAGAAAAGATATCAACGATAGCAAAGCCACTATGCACGTGCCATCAGAGGCAGATATATCGGCAACCACCGACATCCAGCCAGCACCAATCACAGTGGTCCGCCATGTTGGAAGTCTAATCACCGAGCCCGTAACAACCGGGGAAAACGACTCCCTCCGAGGAAATATGACCGAAATGGGCTTGGACTCGGACAGCTTCTCCAGTGTTTTCCAGCACGGCTTCGAGCAGATAGCATCCTGGTACCCATTTCCGAATGAAACCCTGACGGACCTCAAACAGAACCATCCTCTGCTCTTTGCCATGTGCCTTCTAGCAGGTATCCGCGCAACGGCTGGCCTAAATCGCACAAACTTGCACATAACCCTTCATACATTGGTCAAGACCCACTTGGGCATGAAAACTCTAGATACGCCCATTGATCTCTCCACCATACATGCTATGCTTATCTTCAGTGCCTGGAGCTTCGGGCCTCTCGTGCCAGGTGGTAGATATATTGATAGCTGGCTGATGAGCAGTACGACTATCACCCACTGCATGCTCAGCTTTCCTCTATCCGAGCTTGTGTCTCTCGTGGGTTTGTACGATGAAACAAATCGGAACATGTGCAGGATGTGGATTCAGGCCTCACTAGTGCACCTGAAGTACGTACTCTGCAAATTTACAATGGTAAGCCCTTCTAAAATGGCAACAGAGCTGACTAGGGTTCAAGATATGCAATTGGCACCGGTCGGCCATCAGTGGTCCCATGCGAGCGTCTTCACCAGTGGACGGAGATCGTCAAATACCCCGGATTTGAAACATTCGACCACATCATTGCCGCAGAGCTCAAGCTCTACATCCACCTGTACGAAGCGATTTATCACACGGTCAGTTCAGTGACCGAGGCGTGGGACATGGTCAACAGATGGGGCCGCAAATATCTCGGAGGTGAGCAGGTCAAGTTAAGCGTGATGCGGCTATATTCATATTCTGACATTCAAAACACAGACGGCAGCAATATACTAAGATGGGCACACTCTTGCGTATCTCTCATTTTATCTCGATGGGAGCTAGCAAAGCAGAATCAGTCCACATCTCCCGACTCGCTGATGCGCACTGAGCGTATTAACGAGCTGACCGAAACGGTCATCCGTCATGCTCAGCTGGTACTGAGAGAGATTCTGGTCCTCTGCACCTCCGACACCGCGTTTGTTAGACCGACATACGACTATCTGCTTACCGCATATGCGGGCGTCACTCTAGCAGAGTACTGCTCGAGTATATCGGACGTGCACGCAACATATACGTTGATGGAAGATGTGCGGACGCAGGCTAGAATTCCCAAGAGCATTGAGGGGGTATTTAGTTGGGCAACGAATGTCGTGCAGAAGAAGGCGAAGGATCTTTTGGATTCGAAAGTGGCAGTAATTCCCGATGACACCTTTTATTCGTACCCCGGCTCGGTCGCTGACTGGGCGCCGTTCCGGTTTATTGACTCGATGCCTGCTTCTGAATGGGACGGGATGAATGGCTCTATGCAACACTTTTGAACTTTATAGAAGCGACTTGTCTATTATTTGACGGTGAATTAAATTGAAATACACCTTTCTCTGAGTAAATCATTTCTTCAAGCAGAAATGGGCTTTCCATGTGCGAGTTCAATTCGGTTTCGATGCCACTAGACGTACAAGTTAGGCACATCCAGTACGGGACGATATGGATGCGGATGAGACGTACTTTTCCGCAAGAGATAGGCTCATAAAGCGCAGGATGAGTCTCATCAATACACGAGGGCACAACCTTACAAACCGTATCCGGATTGAAGCCCAGGAAGAAAGGCATCGAGTACCTAGAAGTAGGCTGGCGATTATAGACCCTATGCACTGTAGACTTGAACCTATTATTAGAAAGACGCTGCAGGAAGTCGCCAATATTAACCACGAGCGTGCCCGGTATAGGCCTCGCATCGAGCCACTCATCACTAGCAGACAAGACCTGCAAACCGCCAGACATATCCTGCCACAGAAGAGTGACACATTGGATATCGGTATGCGAGCCGATGCCGACATCAACATTCGCATTGTTCTCCTCGAGTGTATTGGCTGGTGCAGGGGGGTAGTGTATGTAAAGCCCGTCTGCGCCGGGGCTCGTGGTCACCGCATCGAAGTAGTCTTCTGGCATGTCTAGAGCGAGAGCGAAGATACGGATTATCTTGCGCGCGAGCATGAGGCGACGCTGGTAGAATTCAATTGTTGTTTCGTGGAACCCCGGGAGATGGCTGGTTGTATCCCATGCGAAGGCATCCTCGATAGACAGCGCGTCCGGGTCAGAGACGGTTGGATCGTTCTTAGGATTGTAGCGCAGAGAGAATGACTCTTTGTGATCTGCGGATGTCCTTTGTCAGTCATTGGCCATAACTATGACGAAGATCTCTCGGGTGGGGCTGATAGTGTTTACCCCTTGTTTCGGTTTTGTTAATTTGGGTAGTCCCCAACCCATGCCATCCATCTGTGTTGTTTTGGATCTTGCTTGATGCTAGCTGTTTCTTTTCGATCGGCTGGTCGAAGAAAGCTTTTGCTTGGGAAAGGGCATTCTCAATAAGCTCTTCGGAGATGCCGTGATTTTTGATATAGAAGAACCCCGTGCTTTCGGCCGCTACCCTGACCTTGGACGCGATGGTCTTCCTCGCTTCCAAATCCTTGTCGATACTAGCGAGATCTATGATAGGAATCTCATCCTCAGTTGGTGGGCGCGGAGGAGCAGTTGACACTCGGCGGAATTCGGGGCCGCTGAGGGTCAGGAGTTCGACTTGGGTGTACTCGAGCAGGGTTGTCATGGTTAGTGCGACATATGGCCAATACCGACTCGACGATGCTGGTGCATTTATCCATGCCTGTTCTTGTCTTCTCCCCGCACTATCCCCTCCAGGGTCCAGAGGTCGAATCCACCGATAACCGTCGGAGAAACAGACGGCAATCGTCGGACTATCTTGGCGCACATGCCTGTGTGGTTGGTTGGAAGATAAGCCGAGATAGGCTCGCACTTGGGTTACTTGGCTTTTGTTTCTGAGATAGCATCGCCAAGGACGGAGTTGCTTCTCTGCTTGTTCATGGGTGTTTTGTAGGTTGCCAGTGGACAAGTGCGGATGACTCCTTATCAGTCCATTGGTCACTCCGAATGGCTAAATAACCCTAAGAAAGCACGATATATCCTGCACGTACTCCTCAGTTCTCATCTCCTCCCCCCTTTCTTCAAGTTTCAGAGTTCGCCAGTAAGGTCAGCACTCAAAGTCAACCATCTTTACTTTGACCCTTTTCTCCACTCTATCTCTACCCCACCAACCCAATAACAACCTCAATAATGTCCAAACTATCGCGACTCCATGAGCTCTTACTAGTGAAAAGAACCCAGCGGGATGGCATCGAGCGCCCCGTTGATATGCTGGATAATGACTCTATCCGACCGACTTCAGTAAAGGATCGAACATGGTCCCAACTCACCTATATCATGTTCTGGTTCTCGGCGACTGCGAACGTCAGCAATCTGTACACAGCGTCCACGGGAATGGCCATGGGATTGACCATGTGGGAAGCGATCGGATGCTCGTTCGGTGGTCAGATCCTCGCCGGTGCCTTGATGGCTGTGAACGGCCGTGCTGGCGCCATGTACCGCATTCCGTTCCCCGTTCTATGTCGCTCCAGCTTTGGGCATTGGGGAGCACTGTGGCCGACTTTCAATCGGGCGGTCATGTCAATTGTGTGGAACGGTGTCAATACCGTTCAAGGAGGACAATGTTTATAGTGAGTCTTTTTTTTTCTTAGTCTCGTTCTTTCCCTGGTGAGGGAAGCACTGACCGTGTGGTTGTTGACTTTCGTTTCTAGTGTCTTTCTCCATGCGATTTTCCCTTCTATTGAAAACATCCCGGATAAGATGGGATCCAAGTCGGCTTTGACTTCAGCACAAATGATGTGTTTCTTCATCTATTGGTACAGTGGCTAGTATCTCAATGCTTGATCTACTGCTAACTAGTCTCCACAGGCTTGTCAATTGCGCATTCTTAGTGGTGCCTGTACCAAGAATGAAATCCCTGGTCTACATCAAAGTCGTCGTTTACTTCGGCGCAGCATTTGCTATGCTGGGATGGACTGTGTCTCTCGCCGGTGGTTCTTTGAAGACAATCAATGCGCCCTCGGAGATAAAGGGCACGGAAAAAAGCTATCTCATTTTTAAGTTCCTCTTCTTGGGACTCGCAAGTTGTGGAACTTTCATCTCCAATGCGTCCGATCTCCAGCGATACGCTACAAAGCCCAACGACGTCCTCATCGGCCAGATTATCAGCTTTCCACTGTCGAACTTCCTAGTTGCCATTCTAGGTAACCTTATCGCGTCAGCTAGCAAAGCTATCTTTGGAAAGGTTTGTCATATCAAAAGCCTTGTTGAAAGAACTAAGGACTGACGAAATCCTCTAGCTCATCTGGAACCCGCTGCAGTTCTTGGACAAATTGATGGAAGGAGAGCGATACACCTCTGGCAACCGCACGGCCTGTGCTTTTATTTCTCTGGCATTCGTGTATTCGACTGTCTTCTCTGCCATTTTTGAGAACTCTATCCCGTAAGGATCACCTTCTCCCACATTTCTATGCCATATACTAACAACCTTCAGTGCGGGTAACGATATTGCAGCCCTACTACCAAAATACATTTCAATAAAACGAGGATTCTTCATCTGCGCCGGTAAGAAAAGAACCAAAGACTCAAAAAATTCCATTGCCTCGACCCAAAACTAACAACCAAACCTACTAGTCCTCTCCTACGCAATCTGCCCCTGGTATCTCCTCGCATCAGCCTCAATTTTCATCACATTCCTCTCCTCCTACCAAATCTTTCTCTCAGCAATCACCGGCATTCTCATCTGCGACTACTACCTAATCCGCCGAGGGCTACTCAACATTCCCGCCCTATACATCTCAAGCCCAAGTCCGTACCGATACTTCCACGGATTCAACCCGCGAGCATTCTTGACCTACGTTATTGCCATTGCGCCAAACTTCTACGGGTTCCTTTTCCAGATGGGCGTCAAGGCGCCTCTAGGTATCAAGCGATTCTACTATATCGCTTACCCTACCGGTCTCATAATCGCTTTTGTTGTTTATTACCTGTCGTGTCTGGCCTTCCCCCCGCCTGATATGAAGCAGGCGTCTGGCTGGATGGAGCCTAAGGACTTCGTGGAGGATCATGATGCTTCTGGAAGTGATGAGTCTACTATTGATGCCGTTGACCCTGACTTCGCGGAGAAGGGGGCTGTTGCGGTTGCTAGACCAGCTGGCGAAAAGGGTTCGTTCTGATGAGATATGTCTCGCTAGGACTTGGGGATGTGCATGTTGCAGCGGGAAGCATGATTAATGATTTGGTGCCATATTTACTTAATGTCTACAGTCACAGCCCATGTGCGCAGTTTGTTCATCTTATGATCAACTGAAATGTATTCTCTTTGCTACTACTGTTTAGGGGACAAAACCCGGGCTCAATTTGGCTATAAACTATGCACAGCTAATTATGCGTATAATTCTACTGATCTAGCAGGTTTATGAACGCCAAGACCATAATTTATGCAAACACATCTCCCATCTGATGTAGTCGAACTACAATCTTGATACAAAGTATCGAAGATAGTAAATCAACCCTTCCAATGAATCTCCTCTAAATTCTATCTTCTAAACTCCGATTGACGCCACGTTCTTAGGTATTACCCAAACCTCGAACTAAAAGAAACTGAGAAATGCTAAGGCCACGCAAAAAAAAGACAGATGCAAGATTAGCAAGTATAACAGACAATGCACGCAACAAAATAACAACATGGTATGCCAACAAAAGAATAAAGACGAATAAGGATAAAAAAAGCCAAAACCAAAGCAAACCAAAATCAAACACCAATACTAAAATACATAACCATTATGAGAACCGCACATCCAAACCAGCATAGTCAGGTTGCACAGGGGAGCTTCCACTACGCGCACGAGTCCCGTATGCCTCCAGTCGCGAAGCCGGCGCATAGATTTGTCCCTCATGCTGAATCAAAGGACCCGACAAGTTGGGATGGTACGGCTGATACTGGTGGGGCCGCGGATGCAACAGCCGAGCCGATTCATGGAGTCGGAGTCGTGCATCTTGTACATCAACACGGTGCTCGCCAAAATGCAAAAACTGCACTGGCTCGATCTCCTGGTTCCAGCCCGAGTCAGGATGCTCCAGTCGCTCTTCCATGGAGCCGAGGTGTCCGTGCGATGACGCGGGCGGGCTGAGGGAGATGGGATCTGGCTGGAGAGCAGCATTGCCTGCCAGAGGTAATTCGGTCCAGCTAGTCCCGGTCAACATTTGCTGTTGATTTTGCATGCTCAATGGTGGATTTAGGATCATCTCGGCCTGTTGGAAACTCGGGGGATATCGCACGGGTTCTGTGGCCCACGATTGATAAGAGTAGGCGGAAGAGTCACGCGACATCGGCTCGGGAACTGAGCGCTCTGGGGCTGACCCCACGTGTACTTTGGCATTATATGATGGCAAAGCTCTGGGCATAATTGCGGATGGATGAGCAATGGAAGAAAGAGCCCCTGGGGAATTTATTGAGCCTGGTGTTAATTGAGACGATTTTCTGCGGTTTGGAAGAGAAACGGAGTTGTTCTCATCGTATGGGGGCGGCGGTGGATATGGAAAGAGGAATGGCACGCTTGCAGATAGATTTCGTGGCACCTCCAGATGTGGCACTGAGCCACGCCGAGAGGGAGCCTGGGATCCAGGCGTGGTATGTAAATCTGCCCCGTGATGGTGACTGAACTTATTGAACTCAGGCTCACTGTAGGTTGACCGACTCAGGGGCTCGGTGATCAAATCTTCAGACACATCATGGTATAGCGGAGATGTAAAGGCGTAGCCCGCTTGGCTGTCGAGCGAGTCAGTGGAATGTTTTATCTGCAAGTCATCATTCAAATAGGCTGAAGCCTGCGAAATGGGAACTGATGACGGGCGCTTCATCGTAGACTTTACTTCTAACCTCCGTCGAGTTGCCACATTCGCATACGTTGGCATATTCTCTTTGTTGGATGGTGGAGAGGTGATTGCAGGCTGCGGAACGTCAGCGGACGCTTGGGAATTGCTAGACCGACGCACTGCAGCAAGTGCTTGTTCAGCCTCCGAAGCTGACATCAAAGTGCCCCCCGTTTCGGCAGATGTTGTGCGGCTTGATGATCCCTTTCCTTGGATGGAGGACAGTCTGACCAGTGGGGTATTTAACTTGGTATCTACAAAGCGACGAGGGCCTTTGCTGCGCCTCTTTGTTTGAGTATCTTGATTTGACCTTTGCTTTGAGTGTCGATTGACCACATGCCACTCCGCTAAGCCGGCTGTTTGTGGAGGACTGAATGAGGGAGGTGTCTTGTTAGGTTTCTCCGTGGCTTGGCTCGTTTGCGACATGGCTGTCTTAACTTCCCCGTCTGTTTCATAACCTTCTTCAGATTCGTATCCAGCTTGCCTGAAGATATGTGGAGGGAAAAGCTCTAATCTGAACTGGGGAGGTGGTGTAGCTATATGCTCAGGCGTTCCCGCTCGAGATGATTCAAGATCACTCCAGTTGAAGGTAGAGCGGCGCGATGGGCCTTCGTCGGATGAATCGCGGAGGGATGATGACGAGCTGCTTGACCTGTCGAAAACCGACTTTTGATTCCGTGTAGAGTATTGCGAGGAGCTTGGAGACACATTATCTATCTCTTTGCTTATTATCTTCATCAATCGTCGCAAGGTCTCTCGTGTTTCACGAACGATCAGTGGATGGAGATTGATGGCTGCTTTCTTTGGAAAGAGCTCAAGCAGTCGTGAAGCGTGAGTTTCGTACTCTCGGTAGTCCCGGACAAGGCCACAGTCTTCGTAATGAGCCATTCGTCCCATAGCGGCATCGTAGGACGTAATGAGAAAACGAGTGGCAACAATCAGCCAAGTATCGAAAAAACCAGGGTCATTCTTGCTCATGATGCCTTTGTTCTCCTCGTCCTTGATTCGGAGCTCATCACGACAGAACCCCTGCACGACACTATGGATCTTGACTACATCAACCACAGATCCACCCCGGTATATGGAGAAAAATCCTTCTTGACTGCTCTCTGTCAGGGAATCTGAGAGTTCGGAAACAAGCTTCACGTCCTTAGGATCGCTATCAGAGTGACGCAAAGACGATCTGTGCTGAAAGAGATCGGCATCTGAAATCCGTTCAATCAAACCATAGTGAATGAGGGTTCCAAGAGTAGTATCGAGATCAGGATCTTCTCCGGATTGGGCGCTGGTCTGGATCTCTAAGTTCACGGCGGCCATAGCCGCTCCACCGAGGTTCAGAAGGCCCACTGGCACCTGGTGGCCAAGAAACGAGAGAAGATTAATCAAGTGCAGCGCCTGCTTTTGCTGCAACCGAAACAAGTCGTTCATGATACTCAAGAAAGGTTCTGCAAGCTTCTTGTCTGTCACCTGAGATCTGACATGATACTTTTCAATCGGTTTACCCGTTGCATTGAGACGGTGCCCAATTGCATGAATTGCCAGAGGTAGACATTCGTAGTTCTCAACTATCTGGGTAGCCTTGGCCATTTGCTCGGGTGTCGGTCGTGTAATTCCAAGATCCTTGAACAGAAGCTTGCAAGCGTCACCCACTTGCAACCGTGAGATCATCAGGCAATATGGCTCGTACAGTCGTCGCTTTTTGCGCAGCGTTTTATCGACCGAGGTGTATATGATACTGCACTGTTTGCTCCAGGGCAGAACCTCTCTGAACTTACTGATATCGTCATCGCGCTCGAAGGTGACGCCGTCGAAGATGAGGAGCCAATCTTTGCGTGTCTGCAGCCAGAGGCGGACTGCATTCACGTACTTTTCAGTCTCGTGGTACTCGGGGTTCACGGTCACCTTCTGCTCAATTAGCGTGGCTGCTTGTGCAATCTCCCAAAAACACTTGTACGTCGATTCACGGGACTTGGCGTCAATCCAAAATATGCCACCTGGGTAGCAGTCACGTTGAGTAAAAACGTACTGCCGCGCTAGATGTGTCTTTCCAGAGCCTGGAACGCCGGAGATTAGTACGGCCATTGTCTTTTCCGGACGCGCCTTGGCTTTGAATAGCCGGCTGTGCAGCACTTCAAGTTCTTTCTTCATACCAAAAAAAGTAGAGTTAGGATGAAAGCCTGGAGGTGTCACGAATAGGGGCGTTTCTTTGGCGCAGAGTTGGAAAATTCCACTGTTCCCCAGATCAGATACTGGGGAATTCCGGCCTTCTGTCGCAGGGCCACGCGGTAGAGATAATATGGATTGTTCTAGGATGAAGTCAGCCAGGGTGTCTCTAAAAGTTGTGATGATTCTCATATTGAGAAGATCGGAGATCTGCTAGTTGAGGACATGAGATGGGAGCCTTCCTAGTGACAAAACCAATAAACTAAGTCCAAGAAGGGAGAGCACACAGTGAGTTGTCTGAGAAAGAGTAGAGTGGATTTCCAAATGTATCTGGCCCCTTGGCTCGGTAGTGAATGGGCAAGTCATAGAGAAGTAATAGGACAAACGTGAGCAAACTGAGCTCGAAGTAAAAACAAATAAAGGCAAAGGCAAAGGCAAAATCAAAGGCAAACGTGGCTCGCTAGAAATCTTCATCGAATAGGAGGCTCCTCAATCTCATAGTCCCTCAACGTAACGGATACTTCCGGTGCAGGGAGAAGGTATGAAGCCCTACCGGTTTCGTTTAAATTAGGCATGCTTCGATTTGCCGTGTCATCCACTTTTGCTGTAATAGTCAGTATTCAAAAACAGACAAATCAAAGAGGTACACTTTTTGAGAAGGACTTACCGTCATAGATCTCCCTAGCCTTGGCCTTCTTTTCCCGGATGCGAGATTTCTTCTCTTCCGTCCAGCGCTCTGTAATCACAGCAGGGGCCTGACGTGAGTATCGTAGAATGGCCTCTGCCACAACTTCATAACCAGCCGCATTGTCATCATCAAACTTGCACATATGGCTGTGGTCAGCCTCGATACCCGCCCGCTCAACACCCTCCATGTACGGCGCAGCTGAGTGCTCGTCCACGATCACTTCGCGGGTACCATGTACATCAGTGGAGCGTGTCTCGTGGAAGAAGTAGATGTGAAATCGGCCTATGATATCAGCGAAAAGGCTGTTGATGTGCTGCAGTGTTTCGTTGTTGGCTCGCAGAGCTTTGACAAGCTGCGGAGATGTCTCTATGAACTTCTTAGGAAGCACAGCATTGCAAATGTTTTGCAACAAAAGACCCCATTTCGCAATATCGGATCCATTGTGGGGTGTGCCGAGAAAAAGGATGCCAAAAGTGGAAACATAGACCGAACGTAGATGCTCTGTCTTCTCACTCGAGAGACTACGGGAGTAAATCAGGGCGCGCTTCACAATCAACCCCCCCAGCGAGTGGCAGATGAAGATTATCGGACGGTTGGAGCAGTCTCGCAGCTAGACAAGAAAATAATGTCAGTTCTGGAGACTCCATATCAGTGGCAAGGAAGAAAAAGGTGGAGATGTCAACCTACATTTCGATTAGCAGCGAGACTGGAAGCAAGAGTCTCAGCATGGCTAACGACTGAATCACGCGAAGTTCCATCTGTAAAGGCAGTGACGTTGGCATTGTAACCGTAAGTAAGAATTCGGGGACACAGCGAGGCAAGCACGTCTGGGAGAAGGTCGGTAGGCCAGAAGCAACCGGTGGTTTGGCTGGTCCAAGTGTCATGAGGATGGCCGTTGAGGCCGTGAACAAAGACAATATCGATTGTAGGATGGTCACGCGGGGTGTAGATCTGCGTCAAGCCAAAGACCTTGATGGCCTCTGGATCGGCGATACGAGGCTTAGACATGGCAATGGATGAGACAATAGCAGAGTCAAGGTGCTATTGCCGTAACATATGAAGATGAAAAGAAGGGGAAGGAGTGAAGAATCAGTTCGGACTTTGGCTTTTATAAACGTGATGCGGGTGACTGGGGTGAGCGTGACTGAGGGTAACTGGGGTGATGTGCCTCCTCTGACCCAGGTCACCCGGACCCTTTCAGTCGATCCATGGGGTTTCGGCATTTATGGATTCCGGGTGACGGGCCGTACATTATTCTCTACCTTTTTTGTGATGTCTTGGGTCTTGCCTATTGGTAGTTCAACCCGGGGTTTCTTGCACAGCCCTGTCAGATCGGGTAATCTGCCAGGTACCGTGCCACTCAGACCTCGAGGTACTTTTATTCATAGATATTGCATTTTGCATCTTGTATCATTGCTGAGTATGCCTTGTTTGGGGTATGCTGCCTTAAAGTGTTCAGTTTAGGATCTCGTTACCCTGTTTATATTGTAGCCTATTAATGACTAGGGTGAGAACTATAGAGTATAGACGAGCCCTATAGATATTCAGGCAGAAGTCTAAATAGAACAACCACGGAAATAAAAGATATCAGATCCGATATACAAGACAACCATCGTGAACTTTGACTGATTATGTAGGATAGTACTAACAATGTAGAATAGTAACAATGTAGGATAGCACTAACAGTGTAGGACAGCGCTAATAATGCAGGACAGCGCTAATAGTGTAGGAAAGCACTAACAACGATGATCTACGAGACATAGTAGTTCCAGTGCGCCACCGACTCATCCCTCCGGTTCCCACGCCTCTAAACCACTGGAAGTCGAGTAACAATGCCAATTTTCTTTTCTGTGAAATGTACAGCCTATTGTTCCCAGGCGCAGTTGCAAAGTATAGGTAGTTCCGCATGGCCTCACCAGATAGCCTGACAGCTCCTGGTTCTTCAGCCTTGATTATGGCCGTTTCAGAAAACCAAGGAGTGATCTGCAATCCGTTTTCATCTATAATTTGAAGTTCAATCAAGGCCATGTCGCATTGCATCGACCCGAAAGCAAGCTCGACAGAGGCTCCTCCAAGGAACCCATTATAGCCCAGCTGATCACATTGTAACGCACTCAAGTCGGTATCAAAGAGTGTCTGCACATTACTACCGGTATCGTTGGCGATAGGGACATCGATAGTTAGGTTTGGATTGCCGCCAAACAACGCCGGGAGTCTAACCCTTGCAAAAAGCTAATAAATCAGCTAAAGTAGATATTAGTAAATATATAGTATACCTGATGCATAGCATTCCCGGGATAAAACCCATAAGAGGTCGACTGCGCCATCTGCACTAGTGCCGGCTAGGTATTATAGATCAATGATCAATCCTAGGCCACTAGTACCTTATTGTTTTGAGGTAGTTACCTGGGGAGGACTCTGCTGCATCAACTGATGGAAAATTCCCTAGAGTGGTCAGGAATTATTAAAATGTAACGAAGGTAGAAGGTAGAGACTAACCTCGGCCCATACAGCAGAATGTACCATAATTGGCGGAAGGTCATTAAGGCGAGGCGGCGGATCCATGATCTGCCCCTTGCAGATCCAGATCGTCTGCTGAGTCCTGACCGGGAAAGACGAGCGGCCCGAGTTCCCCAGTCTCATACATTCGGATGAGTCCTTCAATATTGGTTCTCTGGCGTTGTATTTTGGGGGTCGGATCTTCCAGGAATTTCTTGAGCTGCTCAATCCGTTGCTCAGGCTTGATGACTAGGGGATTCGGACAGAATGGGCGTGGATTGAATGGGCGTGGGCTGGCATCCTCTTGTTGCGCCATTTTGAAGACTTGATAACCGAGGAGTTAAGTAATTCTATTCTTGGGGAATAGACTGAAGAGGGTATCAAAAAGTGTAGAGGGAAAGATAGAGTTAAGAGCTGGCCCCTCTTTTGTTACATAAACGGCACGTGATAACTAACTAACTAACTGAGCTTTTTCCGTAACACCAACGCACGTACGTACGACCCTGTGATTTATACTTGCTTCGCTTCGCTCCGCAATCACCATTTCCTACTTGCAGTCATCAAAATCTTTCTTTCGCCTCACATGTTACTTCTATCGCATTGCCCGCATGATCAGAATCATCCCTGGATGTCCACATGATGTCTTGGTACGTACATACCACTCACCTCACGTAGTCTACTCGGTCTATTTAGTCTATTTGAATCCGTTTTACTTCTTCCAAGCTCGCAATAGAAAGAATCTAAACATGAAATTTCATAGAATTACAGGACCTGTCATTTTGATAATATAGTTTACCTAGTTAAGTAGACCATCTTGTTCTACATATATCACCCACTCATCCACACAGACCATTACCTCCCACGGAACGCCGGCTTCCGCTTCTCAACAAAGGCGCGCAGCGCTTCATACCGATCATCAGTCTCAATGACTCCCTCATAGGCCGCATTCTCCGACCGCTCACCCAGACCATGGGCCTCGACAGCCTGCATCGCCATCTTGATAGCAATAGGGCCACCCTCACAGATATCCAGTGCGAGCTTGATACTCTCCAGCAGGACGCGTTCACGCGCAACGCCATCCTGTGTCTCCTCTTCAGGAAGCACCTCCACGAGCCGGTCACAGAGCCCAATGAAGTAAGCCTCAGGTCCGGTCACCCGGCGGCCGGTGATGATCAAGTCCCGGGCGCGGTTCACACCAATGATCGGAGGCAGTCGGTATGTACCGCCGGCGCCGGGGATAATAGCGAGACGTGTTTCGGGAAGACCAACGACGCTAGAGGACGAGAAAACGCGCAGGTGCGTGCACAGCGCGAGCTCGAGGCCGCCGCCGAGAGCCACGGACGAGACGGCGGAGATGGTGGGGATTTCGAGGGAAGCAAGGCTTTTGAATGTGGAGCGGAGTTTGAGGAGGAAGTCTTCGGTACTGAATCGTCGCGTTGGATAGTTAGCTGCATATGTTCGCGTAAATTGAAGGCTTCAAGCCCGGGTACACCGGGCACCGGGCACCAGGGCACCGGGGAAACCGGGTATAGGGTTGTTTCTCACTCGGCCATGCTCATGTTGGCGCGTTCCTTCAGGTCTGCACCCGCACAGAATGCTGCGTCTACGTTACTCGCTATAACCAACGCCCGGGTTGGCCCGTTGCCTTTTTCGGCGGCGATGGCTTCCACATGCTTCGCGAGCGTGTCGAGTAACTCGGTCGAGATCGCGTTGCGAGCTTGGGGCCTGTTCAGCTGCAGCACGCGCACATGCCCTGAGCCTGGGGCCGGGATCTGGTGGGTCTTGATAATGTCTCCTTCTGTGCTTGTGCTGTAACGAGAGACGAAGACCCGGGCAGGCACCGCGGTCGCCCGGAGGTGGGCGAGAGGTGCGGAGAGGCGGACGAGGCGCGATGACATGATGCTTGTCATTGTGCAATTGGCAATTCAAAAGATCGAGGGGGTTTACACCGCGATATCAAAATGATGACAGAAGATTACTGCGCTAAAAGGTTCTCGGGTGGAAGATGTTCTCGGAGCTCGGGTGTGGGGAAAGCTTTGAATCCGACGATTACCGAAAGCAACATGAACAGAATAATATGGGGGGGTATCATGTACATTGACAAAAGTCCTATAAAACTACAATATTATATACACATAGTCACTGGCAGTATTCTGTAACCTCCGCATCACTCGGCCAGTCCCAGCCTGTCCGGCTGATAAGGTCGCATGCCTCCATGATCAGGTCCGATGGTATCCGCGTGTCGATTCGTTGCTGTCGTCTTTCCAAAAACACCCTGATCGCCACAAGGGTTCGACGCATCATTTTGTGTCCATTTGCATGTTCATCTGCAGCTTCTTTCAGTAGATCAGCTGACTGACTCATCCAGTGCAGCAGATGCAACAACCCTTCGTCATCTCCTACGGACCCCAAAGCCCGAACAAAAGCATGTAGCGTGGCAGGTGATGGTATTTGCAGCATCGAGGGAACTTTGAGCTGTGTTTCGGAAACGATATCTGCTGCAAAGATGCTTCGCTCCGCATGCTCCGAGGTTTTGGAGGCTGGGAGAACGAGATGATCAAACTGATGCTTCAAAACCTGCAGCGCATGTTGCATCAAAGCGTCAATTTCGTCATCACCCTCGTTTTTAGCCTTGAGACGACGGATACGAGCATTATGGATCAGCATAAAGCTTTGTTCGGCAGTGCCAGGGTGTCTGAGGGCAGCGTCAATGGCTTTCGTAAATGCCACACATAAAATGCGGAATCCTTCCTCGCCAAGTTCGACATCGCGCTGTCGCATCCAGCTCAATGCTCTGAGAGCCTGGTGCCATCCCAGTATGCGCTGAAGACTTCGGCTTCTTGGGCCATAATACCCAGTGAGGCGCTCGCGGGTCAGAGCAGATAAAATGTGAGTCCAGGCAGGGGTGTAAGGAGCACGTCGCAATTTAGTCAATTGGATCGCGTGCCATAAAGCCCTTGGATGATGCCGGTTTCCTGGATGTTCCTTGGAGTATGCGATAAGGTCTATTTTCGCACCAGTCGAAGAGTCGGCCGCTATCAATGCCGGGAAACGGTCGGTTGTGAGAATATTTCGATTACCGCTATCCAGACTGGATATATCTGAATGTGTGCATAGGAACTTGATGAACGATGCAAACACCAAGTCCGGCAATTCATGAAAAGCTTCAAGGTCCAAACTGTGGTATTTGCGGGGCTTGGCCCGCACGATGGAGAGCACCTCTATATGAGCATCTGTCAGGCCACTGCATTGGAGATAATACAATCCAGACCGCAGAGAAGTAGCCGACTGAAGTAGTAGGCTGAGGAATCTCCCAGAGGGCCGAAGCCCTTGTGCACGCATCTGGTCAAGTAACTCATCCATGGTAGGCGGTTCTGTGGGCACATAGATAATGTCACGAGCGGAAGCCGGTTCGGCGTGAACTTCACGGCCATCCCCTGGAAGAGCATGACTCATTTGGTCAAAATCGCGTTCCATGGCGTGTCGTCGATATATTAACTTTTCAGCCATGGCAGCGTAGATAGCACCCTTTGGGGGTAGCCCATGATCCTGATAGGAGAGAAAACACGCCCAGGCCTCACGGACAGTCCTCGTAGACCGAATGCGAGCAACCCACATTTCGTGATGATTGGACTTAGATCCATGTCTGTCCGGTAAAGCTTGCGGGCGACGCATCATAGCTCTCGTCTGCACTGTCGGGCTGTGATCGGTATCCCAACCGGCCAAAATCGAGGATATGTCCTCCCACAGACGATGGGAATAGCCAGCATCTTTCATTTGTGAAAGTACCTGCATCGCACGGCTGAACATCCCCTCATTCCCGCGCTGAGAATCAATTCCTAGTTTCTCTTCCTTCCAAGGAGGCCATGACGGAGCTTTAAGTTCAGCAGACTGGCGCTCTTCGGATGTTTTCTTATGGGCCAGTTGGACTGCAACAACTGCTCGATATCCCTGTCTTGTGACGGGAAGGACGGGCTTATGGGTTGCCATAGCTCGAAGAAGCTCAAATTGCGCTTGCTGTTGAATAGATGTAGATCGGTAAGGGGCAATGTTAGCCGGTATAGAAAGTAACCAGAGACATTCATTAAATTTGACGGTTTTGACGCGATCATCATTTCGCGTCACCAAAGCTGACCTCTCGGCGTTATCAGCCCTTGGGGCTGAGAGGAAGCGAGCGAATGCACGTGAAATAGTGAGAAGTGATTGTGGCCACACTCGCCGAGCATGACGGATTAAACGAACGACCAAAATCATACAGGTGCCAGAATCGATTTGAGGGCGGAAGACCTCAGGGGGTAGCTCAAGATCATGTTCGGCAACCCCAGAAGGAGCTTCGGCAATGGGGAAGGTATGTCCGCTCATCAGATGTAAAGAGTGGATTAAAAGCAAACGGAACGTGTGAGCATCGAGATTTTGCTGTCTCAAAAGATGGAGGGGAATGAAAGGTGGAATGTTTGGGCTAGCAGCGCCAGATTTGGCTCTGTCCGTTTCGAACAAAAACAGCCGTACCATTGCCTCGTGGGCATTCTGGCTCTTCATGATCCAGGCCCAAGCAGTCACATCGGCGGCATCGTAGCCACGCGATGATAAATAATCATGGCTTGTGCTTCTGAATACCTTCTGCAGAGCGATATTCAAATCTTTCTCCGTACTTTTATCCGACACAGACGAAAGCAACGGGTCCACCTCTCGTATATACTCCCCAAGAATAACCGGCAGTGACGGCTTTTTTGGTCGACCAACTGTCCTCAACTCGTTCTGTGTTTGGAGAGAATATTTGGAAAGAGCCCGATCAAGCCCAGCTGACTGGCCGTCATATCCAAGGGGGTGGCCAGTGTTTCGCAAAGCTTTCGAGAGGTATTCGGCGGGCTTCGGTTTCACTCTGATGCTGGCGGTCTTCTCAAGCCTTTTCTCTCTGAGCGAGCTATTCACCGATTCTTGGAGCAATGCTGCGCATTGTTCGTCAAGTGATGAATCTGATCGCTCTTTATTGAAGAGATTATCCAAATGTGAGTGTTGAGTGTCGATTGCAAGTGACTCGGGCACATTGAGGAACGCCGTGGACTGAAACGAACGGAAACTGCCTGGGCTTAGGCCAGCCAGGAAATTGCGCGAATAATGTACGGAAAACTTGGCGTCATGATAAAATATTGCCTAGGACATATCAAGTTCTTTAGCACTATGTTCGATGACGGGGAGTATAAGAAGTCACCTTGTATAAACGACTATTGAGCAGGTCTGCTCTTAGCCGTGATACTCCCGAAAGGCTTCGGGCATGCTTGAGAACTGATGACATCCATGAACGTAGTCATGGGTGAAAGTGCCTGGACGCCACAGACCCATTCAATAGGCTCAAAGAGGTAATTTGTCTCCGAAGATGAGAAAAAGTCAAGACATTAGAAAAATACAACAATCGCGCGGCAGAAAATTGAATCACGTGATGGATCGTCAGAAAGCGCGCCATTCCGAAAAGCGCAACGCAGCGAACGTTCTCTCCAGCAAAACAGAAAAAAGAGAACAGTTGACCTATTTGTTCGAGGGTTTTCTATTGCATTGATCATTGTCCTAATACTTTGGTCTCTATTGACAATTATTCCTGCTCCACATTCACATCTTTTATTGTGGTGACGTGAGGATTTGATCTTCCCTCCCCTCGCTCTTCGCGATCCCCATCTTCTCTAAGAATTCGCTTTCACGCCCTACCCATCGAGGCTACTTGGATTCCGGTTGCTATCCGAACCAAATATTCACCTCAACACTAAATCGCCAGCAAATATTAATTTACACGATCGCATCCTCCCAATCTTTCCTTCAATCGTCTGATTTGTGGACCCCATCGATTTGCATTGGAGGGGATCGCGTCAAAGCAAGTATCGTCAACCTTGACCTCGGCGCGACTTCACAACCATGAGCGCCGACGAAGCTGGAGACACAACCCCCATGTCTACCACAAATAGCGAACCTCATCCCGACCCTGCTACTAATGCAACCTCTGGGAAACGGAAGCGCTCCACTCAGGACGACAAACCGAGCACTGAGTCAAGTGCTCCAGCCTCGCGCGATCGAACAAATCTCCATGAAACTCTTCGCAGCCTGATTGAGCTTCTTCTGAAGTAAGCTTTGATGAAAGTATGCTCTAGTATTGTGCTGACAGGCCGCAGACATGACACTGAACTCCAACTCCTCTCTTGCCCCTTCCCAAACTCAACTGCTAAGCCTCGAACGAAGCGCGCAAAGGTTTCCGGCGATTCAGAAACCTCCAACATCCAAACACGCGTCAATTCGGGCAAATACAACACGTTGCAAGAGTTTCTTTCCGACATCGAAAGAGCATCGGCTGCTGTAATTGAACGCAATCAAACACAGGCCAATGGCGCGAAAGAAGATGGGGCACCTTTGAATGAGGTGGTGAACCGGATCGCAGCATTCAAGAAGCATATGAACAGCTTGATTGGTCAATCCTTCGTCAATCAACCCGAGGTCAAAACAGAGACGATGGAAGACGATACCGACGAATCATCAGAGCTTCACGCGATCAACGTCTGTCAGCGCGAGGATAAGCCTGCCCTAACACTCTTCGGGAACCCATCGAATCCCAGGCAGCTATTCTCGAGTCTTCAAAAATCGGTGAAGGTGCCGTTGTCCGAATCAGGACCTGAGAAGTTTGTTGAAGTGCAAGAGGAGCTGCGCGAGGTCGCCCTGCCTAATGGCATCGCAGCTACCAAAGTAATCCCTTTCAACCTTGATGCTGCTCAAGCATCGAAGCGAACATTTGGGGAAGTGTTTGCGCCACGCGAAACATTACCAAAGCTAGAACCTCCGCGCAAACGATCTCACCGGGCTAATTCGGCCACATGGACGGATCGCTTCGACGCCACTTTCGATGTCAGGACATTTTTGGGAGAGCGTAGCAACTATTGCCTGGCACCCCTCCCTTCAACCCAGTGGCTTCAATACGGTGGAGTCACTTCATCACCTGCCTACTGGGACCGTGTAGAAAAGCATGCAGATTCGGAGAATGTTCATCGCCATGGAGATCCTGCTCTTTGGACTGGCCCTGATTCATCTGCTTTCCAGGGTGTCTTCTCGTCATTTGCTCCCTCTTACGACAGCTCTGGCGCGATTGTACAGCTCGCTTCGAAGGACATGGTCTGGTGGGGACAACGGGGTGCGGCCCGCATGAACACCCTGCTATCGGTGGAAGCAGACAGCAAACAAAATGACACTCAGACCGCCCAGCCTGGCAATATTGGCGAACTTGATGAGAGCATTCTGGATGAAATGGTTGAGTCATTCAACGCCCAAGACTTTGCTGGAGACATCACAGAAACCGATCCGATTAGTGAAGTCGAACCAGAATCAAAAGAGATCAAGCAAATGCTTCAGGATGTTTCCGACTTGCTCGACACTCTTAGTTCCTACCAGCGACTCCGAAGTCTCAAACTTTCCTCTGATCTCCAGCTGCCTGGTCAACAATTGCCTGAGTCGAATGAAACCCCTAGCCTTGATCTGGGCGATGTGAACACGCCCTCTGAAGCAGAGACCCTTGTTTATGATACCCTCAAGTCAAGCCTTGCTGCAGTCATCAGCAACCTGCCACCTTATGCTGTCGCTAAACTGGACGGTGATCAGCTCGCGGAGTTGAACATCAGCCAAAAGGTTTTGGTTGACATTCCTGACTACAGTGGTACCATGGAAAAGGATGACTTCACTTTGTCACAAGAAAGAGCCGCCGCATTGCTCGCAGCAGCCAGCGCAGCAAATCGAACCTCAACCCCCTCCGCCTCACGACCCAGTAATTACCAAGGCTCTCACAGTGCCTACAACCAACGTGCTTTTGCTTCCAATGCTCGGGCTCCGCCTCAGCCCGGGTTCCAGGTCACACCGCAGCACGCACGGCAACCCTCAGTTCCAAATACATACACGCATGCTTATGGCGCGGGGCGTCCACCGAGCACACCCAGTCAACGTCCAGTCAACACCCCTCAATACGCGCAAATGAACCCACAGTACAGCCAGGGCAGCCAAGCTCCCCAATACCAGCGCCCTACCTCCAATGGATATGCCCAAGTGTCTCCCCAACCTTATACGCCACAGCCCAGGCAACCAGGCACATTCAACGCCACGCCACAGGGGCGTACGCCATACGCGACTGCCACCGCGAACCAGCGAGTTCAGTACCCAGGCCAGACTCCTTCACAAGCTGGCTACTCAAACTCGGCCGCTAGTGCCACATACTCTCGTAGTGCGGCCGAACAAGCTGCGCTGATGGACAGGAACAAGGCGCAACTAGCTGCTCGACAGTCAGGCCACAGCCCTTCAACGCCTCAACCTCAAGGGTCGGATGCCCGTGCTTCCCAAGAAGGCAGCATGACACCAGGGAGCAAAGCAAATGGTACACCCCTATCCACGTAGGGCAGATATTTGCACTAATCCAAGCATGTGGCATTGTGTTCCCATTCAAAAATGCGATTTGTTTCTAAAGATGGAAACTCCAACATTACATTTCTCTACAGTCGGCTTTCTGCTTTTGACTTTTTGCATTGTTCTTCTCTCTCTTTCGTTTCCAATTATGAGCTCTGAATGTGATCCGCGTCCCCAATTTCTTTTCTCCCAACTGTGTTTTTAATTAACCTCTTGATCCTCGGTTTTGTATGACTTTTCTTTTTGGTGTTGTATTATGGACTAAGCGATTGGCGTGGATGGTTTTTTTTCAAGACTGGTCGGCCGGGGTGTATAGGCTGCCTCTGCGATACAGCTAAGTCTTGCTTAGAGAGTTACTTGTTTCTCGCTTCCGATGCAATTCAATCAATATGCTGCATATCAGCACACCTCGTGCTTTCCATGGAGATTCGACTGTAAAGGGGGATATTGAGAAAACGAGCTTTCGAAGCGTTCCTAAAATCATATCTCATACAGTACACTGCTATCCCCGATATAAAAAAATACCCATCCTGCTATAGTATCTCCCAGTCCGCTGTATCTTCTGCCCAATGCTCATAGTCCATTACATGCCAAACCCGAGATACTCATCTATCTGCCCTATCCAATTATTGAAGTAATCACCGGAAAATGAACGCCATCCCTTTCTTCCGTGCCCAGTAGTGTGTACCCATCCAACCTTCCCTTCACAAAAAGACAAAACCAAAACCAAGAAAGCTCATCGCCAAGGAAACACACAAAAAAAGAAAAAAGAAGATTCGTAAATCATAAGAGTTGATAGCAGGCAGAAACCCAACTCACGGGAGTAGAACATCGAAGCTAGGGAATGAACATAGCAGCAATAGCCATGAAACCGAAGTATCTAGAAGCAAAAGGTCAGTCTCAAACGCAGCCAGAACAGAGTCGAAGCAATCATACATCGTAGCACAGCGCCAACCATCCCTCGAGTCGACCAGTGTATCAATACCAGCCGAGTAATTCGCCGCAATAGCCGCGGCGGCACCACCAACCACCGTCACAACGACCAGACGACCAGAGAACTCCGCAATAAGACTGAACGCTAGCAGTGGCAACAGGAGCGCACCCGATGCGATGATTATTGCGACGTAGACGGGTGCTGCAGCGGCCGATGCAGCCAGTCGCGGAGTGAGTGAGACCAGATCCGCGTCGTGGATTAGGAACCGCGTCTCGACACCAGCGATGGGCTTGTGCTCTCTCATCCAGCCGCGATAGCCTGCGATATCCTGTTCCGAGGCCCGCGGGAGCGTCTGTAGGACTTTGCTGTACGCGCAGAGGGCGTTGTCTGCGTGCTGGTCAGAGGGCTACTTTGTGGGATAGCAATATGGGAAGTGGAAGGAGCTTACTGTATTGTTCGGTCTTTTGGATCAAAGCGCTCATGAGATCCATGCGGCGGTAATGCAGCGACGAGTAAGCCTGGGCCTGGGCGTCCCGTCTGCGGGAGGCCGGGAAGGGCTTTGCGCCTTCCTGCTCGGCTGTGCTGACTCGATGTATTTCTTCGTACTCATCTAGCGTGTGGAGATCTTCTTCCATTTGGGAAATCTCGTCTTGGAGGTGGAGGAGGACGCGGTGGTTGACGGTCTCGAAGCGTCGGTAGAGCGGAGGGAAGCTTCCGCTCTCTTCTGAAGCGGATTTGGTTAGGTGCGAGGCTAGAAGCCCGTATCCCGATGGCTCTTGCGATACGTTGGAGTCTCGTCTCTTTGTCGGCGTGGTGCGGTGAAGACTATCTTCCGGGCTTCTTGGGGGTGATGGTGGGAGCGGTGGTCTATGGATCGCACCGTTGTCTCTTGGCGATCCATGGTAGGTCTGTGGTCGGGACAGTTCTAGTTCGCCTATTCCTGGAGAGGTTTGCGCAGTCGAGATTGGGCTCGGCTTTCTAGTGGGTTGTCTCTTCCGGGTGACTAACTGATTGCCTGTAGAAGGCGCGGGTTTTCGTGGCTCTTTTGGACTTTTCGATGCTACTGGGGGTGACTGGGTGACTTTCTTCGGGGAAATGTTGCCTCCTGAGACCAACACTCCATGTGGCACAGTGTTTGTCCGCGGCTTAGGAGCCTGGATCTGGGTGGTGGATTGTATAGGGCGTGGAGGCTCCGGCTCCTCGTCTGATTCAGACTCCGAGGATGACGATAACGAGGATGAGTCTGAAGATGATTCATCGTTCTCTTCTAGGAACTCAAAGACATTAGGCATCTTCTTCGACTCTGGCTTCTTTGGGTTCGCTGGAGCGACAGGCGCATTTAGGGCTTGTCTTGACCCATTTGGCCGTTGTGAAGGTGAACTGTTCTCGACAGTTTTAGGGCTTGCGACAGGACCAGCCTGTGGGTTTGTAGTATTGGACACCAACGAGTATGTCCTCTTTCTTCCATCCTTTTTTGACTTTCTAGTTTGGAGCATGATTATCGGATAAGTTCGGAATCAAGACCCGATTCATACAAATCAGGGCATACCAGGGAAAGAGGAGAAAAAGAGAAAGGAACATGAAATGAATCGTAGTAGGGAATTCGCGATGGAATCAGGACAATAGGGACTCGAGGCATAGCCTAGGGGTGGAATTCAAGGTCTCAGATCGAGTGTCAAAAGGTGCGGAATCCTAGGAATCTAGGGGGGGTTGATGGAAAATAGTATATCTCCAATTTCCCCGCGAATTCCATCAGACATTCTCTATAATAAAGGAAATTGGTATTAGTATTATCGAAACACGAAACGTCAGGCCAACTTCCAATGGGAATAGGTTTGTGTCAGCTGAAAAGCCCGAATGGTTATGAAGACTTGTAATTCGTCACACGAGTCAGTCCGGGAACAATCTGAAGCAACTTAGAAGCGCCGGGCTTTATTTAGATCGACCAATGATAATCGTATCGCAAGGAGCTTCCTTGTATCCCTGTTGATCGCGATTCAAAGAAACCAAGAGATAGGGAAATGGTGACGAATTGCCGAGTTGAACATTCTGAACAATTCAGTGTGGGCCAAGTTGTGACAGCAAATCAGGCCTGCAGAGTCTGAAATGCAAATGCATGTGTGTCTGAACGAAGCAAAGGAACATGTATGCGCTGGTCGATCTTCCTTGCATCTGGCGGTCTAGCGAAGTGGGGGAATGTGCTGCAGCTATGTGAGCAGTGTACGATGCAGTCGGTACAACGCCACCTATCTGCTATATTACGTGCATGAAGCATGAAGTGTTAAGAATGTATTGACATGGAGTTGAGTAGTTATAGAGTGTAGTGGGTACTAAGTCAGAGGGTAAATGGAGATCAAGTACGGAGTACAGAGTATGTTGTATAGGGAAGGTATATATGCAGTTTCATATTTTTATAGTTTTAAATACCATTATTGAGTTTATAATGGCGATTTCCTCTGTGTCACAACATACAATATAGGTACAACATCGTATATCAAGTGATGGCATCTCCGTTATCTGGGCTGCTTCTAGACTCACCTGACGCTTTAAGTATATGTCAGCACGGACTCTGGAAGTCACGTGGCGCATAATTGATGACCAATCAGTTGTGACAACAATAGTGATGCAGTACGACAACACTCTTATTATCCAACTCTCAAAGCTCTCACCTTGACTTAATTCGCCAGATTCCTATAAATTTCAGATGCACATTAGCACAAACCCTATAGTTGTTAACATCAGATTTTACTTTCGATCCCTGTTGGGCTGTTGGGATCACACTGTTTCTACCAAGATACAAGTTCGTCGAATTATAAACGCAAGATTCACACCCACGCACAAGTCATCCTCAGTGAAACCTACACGAGTGGCGCTCTAGTAGCTATTTACTTCTCAGATTCAGATAATCAAGGACCGTGGTTTAGGCGGGGCTAAAGACCAACCGGAGACAGTTTATGCGTCAGCCGCTGAGGTTTCGGCGGACTGTGAAGCCTTTCTGAGGAAAGGTAGAACTCTAAGTATTATAGACGAACCTCTGATTGAACTGCTGCAAAGATGAACAAATAGAATGACAGTCGCTATTTGTTCCAGAACATGCAGCTTACCGATATTCTGAGTAACCGCGGGGTAAAGCATTTACAAAGACGTCTATAAAGAGACACATCCTCCTGAACACAGCACTTCCCCTGATATAATACCAGGAATACCAAAATGCTACCACTCATGAAAGGCAAACTAATGCTCTTTGACGAAGTAGCTTGGGACAAAAGCGACGAGCAACTAGCAACATGGGAAGCAATTCTTCTCAACCAAGAAACCATGCAGAAGATAACCACATTAATCAAAATCCACCGTCAAGGCATAACAGATCAACTCTTCCCGCCACAAAAAGGCTCCTTCAACATGGTGATCCGCCTACGATTCCTCGACGGCGCCTCGGCCATAATCCGCTTCCCAATCCCAGGCTACTCAGTCTTCCCAGACGAGAAACTCCACCGAGAAGTAAGAGTGATGCGCTTTCTCGAGCGACACACAGACATCCGTATCCCGCACATCCTACACCACGGCACCAGCGACGAAAGCCCACACGGCCTAGGCCCGTTCATTATCATGGAGTATATCGACCATAACGCGGATCTCGTGGATGCGCTGAACACACCCGGGATACTGGATGAAGAACGACCCGTTCTCGATCCCAATATCGGCGATAACAGGCTGCGCTCGGTATATAATCAGATGGCGGGCTTGTTGCTGCAGGTTGCGAAGTACTCGTTCCCGCGTATTGGATGTATATCTAATGCTGCGGAAGACGAGTTCGAGGATGAGTGGGTGGTTGCGCACCGGCCGTTGAGTATCAATATGAATGAGCTGGTGCAGGTTGGTGGTGTGCGAGCTGGGGATCTGCCGGGGATGACCGAGACGTTTGCGACTGCGGCGGAGTATTTACTTGCCCTTGCGGAGCTGCATATGACGCATCTTTCGTCGCAACGGAATGACGCTATTGACGATGCGGAGGACTGCAGGACGAAGTATATTGCGCGGTGTTTATTCCGGAAGCTTGCGAGAGAGGGCCGACTATCTTGGGCTGGGGAGGAAGGGATGTTTAAATTATTCTGTGATGATCTACGACCGGCGAATGTGCTTGCTAACTCGGACTTTGGGTATAAGATATCCGGGGCTATTGATTGGGAATTTGCTTATGCTGCGCCGTTGGAGTTTGTGTATAGCCCGCCGTGCTGGCTACTGCTTGAGCGGCCGGAGTACTGGGATAATGGGCTTGATGACTGGGAGTGGGTGTATGAGAGCCGGTTGGAGATTTTCTTGCAGGAGCTACATATGCGAGAGGATGTTGACATTCGGCGTGGGGTTATGAGTGAGGAAAATCGGCTTTCTAGACATATGCGTGAGAGCTGGAATAATGGGGGGTTCTGGGTTAGTTATGCGGCGAGAAGGAGTTGGGCTTTTGATGTTATCTACTGGGCGAGGATTGACCGTAGGTTCTTTGGAGAAGGAACTTTGGAGGATCGGATCGGATTGTTGACTGTTGAAGAGAGGAATTCGATGGAGGATTTTGTACAGAGGAAGTTGGCTGAGAAGGAGGAGGGAGGTTTGATATGAAGTTTATATAGGGCATAAGTTGTAGTTATAGGGCTCATACACCCTATGGTCACGTACTTCCTTGGAGGTATTCCATTAATACATAGCTATGAATTAAATTTGTGTATATTCACAATATCCTAAAGATCTTCTTGCACCTTTAGGACTTCTAGATCTGTTGATTTCGTCATTTGGAATATCTTCAATTCAATTTGACCACCCGAGCTCGTCATCGCACGCCCCGAGAACCGGCGCCATTGCGGGGAAACCAGCCACCATCGAAATTCTTTGCAACTACTTTGTATATCTAGTATGATTTGCCTTGCTTTATCATGGAGGTAATTTGGGTATTTCCTTATTCCTCACTCAACTAATGTGAATTCTTCTCAGGTGCCAAAAGCCCGGGGAGCTGGCAGGTCAGGCCCGCGTCGACGAACAGGGTGCCTAACATGCAGGTCCCGTAAGGTCCGATGCGATGAAGCGAAACCAAGCTGCTCCAATTGCGATCGACTATGTCTACTATGTCTGTATAAACCACGCACCGCACCCGGCGTGAGGTTGGGTTCATCGCCAACTCGTGCAAACAAGACTACTGCATCGAATAACACAGCACACTCGGGGAGTTCAGGCTCCTCTGCTGCAGCCACGACTGCATCCCGCTCTCCCGACATAAACTTCTTTAATACCGTGCTCCGCGCAGACGGCCACACAATACCCGCGCCAACAACCACACTTCGACAGCTCCCTACAGACCAGGGCTCCCACCCTTCGGAGTTTGACATGCTCGTATTCATGGGCGGGATTACTTCTGAGCTGGAACAGAAGCACCTGGACCTGGCTGCCGGACCCGCGATGACTTTGACCGCTAGTCCAGCGTCGCAGTCGCTACGCGGGACACTCACACCAGACCGTCGCATTCTTACTCCAAATACCTCATCTTCGGGCAGCGCTTCAGACATGCCAACTAGCCGGGGCAGCTTATCCGATGCAGGCGGTATCTCGTATGAGGACCAACTGCTACAGCACTTTCTGACCATTGGCCCGCCGGCTGCTCTTTTTGCGCCGGTCAACATCGAGTGGAAGTATATGCGCCCAGCGCTGCTGGTTCATGCACGAGATTCCAGTCCGCTTTTGAATGCTTTATACTGCTACGCGGATGTTCATAAAGCGATGATGGAAGGGAAAAAATGGCACTTCGCGCCTACCTTCTATAGAGTGGCTAGTTCGGAGATCCAAGCTTGTATTCATGGCGAGGTGACGGAGTCCACACTCATCAAAGTTTTTGGGGCTGTTTTTCTCTTAATGATATCCGAGGTATGTTCTGCTTAGTCCCGAGATCGAGCAAACGCTCATATTGTTTCAGCTTCTCTCACCCTACGGAATATGTACCGGGACATCTTATATTCACTCCGGGTACCTTATTCTACAACGATTCCATGATCGTACTCGACATTGGACCGGTCTCGGTCATCTTTTGGTGTCATGGATCTTACTGCTAGATGTCAAGTCCCTGATTGCAGGCCGAGATGGCGATCCTCTCCCTGAACTCGGCAATATCCCAGAACATAGCATAACACAACCACCGGATACACAAACTTCCCAAACATCTCACATAACCGCACCAACAGCCAACTTTAAACAGGAGGACATCATCGAAGACCCATTCCTCAGCCCCAACTACCTCGTCTACGAAGCAATCGTAGGCCCGGCATTCCGATTCTTCGTACAAGCCCAACAAGTCGTACGACGCATAGTCTGCATCGACCTCCACCACCGCAGCCGCGGAACTCTCACCGACGAGTTCGAAGTACTCCAACTCGCCCACAAAATCGGCGCCGATCTCGAAACACTCTGGCACAGACGCCCCTCAGTAATAGACGTCTACGGACGGCCCGAAGCTCTAACTGACATCCTTTGTGCGCCTGTGGCATCGGAAATCTGCCGCACATTCCGACAATACGTGGCCAACTTCTTAGCGAATTTTATCTACTTGCACCGCGTTGCATTTGCAATCTACCCTCGCACAGAACGCGTCAACGGCGCCGTCGATCAAATCATTCAACTGGCCACCGTTGACTCTGCCGGGCCAGACCATCTGCCCGTCAGCTTCTTATGGCCGCTGTTCATTGCGGGGCTGGAGGCTACGGAGGACCAGCGCAAGTGGATTGGCCACGAGATTCAGCGTATGGCTGCGGCCCACGAAGCTGACGCGGCACCTTCGGCCACTCGTCACCCGACCGCTGATAGGGTCCTAGTGCTCGTGGAGGAGATGACCCGGCGGCAAGATGTGTCACGCACATGGGCAGACTCGAAATGCGTGAGGCGGGAAATGTTTTCGGACTTTTTCGTTGTGATTTGAACTTCATGTTCGGCATGAGAGGTGTAGAGATTTTCTCATAAAATATAATACGAAGAACCTACAACCATTTCAAATATTCTAAACCGACCCAGATCCAATCGCTCGATATGACACTTTATCTCCGCCCATACAGCGTGATCGATGCAGTAGGTGTCCCCGTTCCTTGCGCACATACGTCGCAAAACAGATCGCAGCGACCGCCACAGCCCCAGAACTGATCATCACGGGATACCTGAACTGGGCCGGCAGCGGGAAAGCAATAGTCGAGGCAAAAGAAAGCATCTCGAACACATTCTGCAGCGCCATTTCAGTAGCAGAGAAGCGGGCACGGGCATGTTCCTGGATATTCTACATCACCCAACAAGTTTAGCACATGCACAAGTCAAGAATACGGAAAAGCCACTTACCTCCTGCACGAGAAACTGGACCGACAAATCGAATCCCCAAAGCCCAATCCGACTCAAAGCAACGCCCGTAATCAGCGCACCCGCTACGAACTGCGAGCTAGGGTCCCAGAAAACGAAAGCCACGGTGGCAGCAGCGATGCAGATAAACTGCCAATTCAGAAACCACAGCCCGGAGCGAATCGGACCAATCCGGTTCATGACCATAGGCGCTGTCCATGTCCCAGATAGCTCGGCGACCACGGAGCCGATGCGCATATAGCTGACCTCCAACGGGGTGAAGCCCGTGTGCAACAGGTATGTTACCATTGTTGCGCCAAAGGATAGGACTGTTAGGTAGAGCAGGCTCAGGGCAAAGGATGCTAGGAAGACGGGACTTGCTATGTACTCTTTCCAGGGCGCTAGTGAGCTTGACAAGCAGCGGGTATCGCTCTTGCCATTTGTATCATCTGCTTGTGTTGTAGGAGCTTGTGTCTTGGTCAAGGCCGGGACTGATTGGTAGACCTGAGCAATGGCCAAATACTCGACCAGCACAGATGCGGTATTCATGGTAAACACTGTCCAAATTGCATATGGGGTTGATATGCTGTCGATCAAGGAGATGAATACTGGTGCTAGGAGCTTGCAGAAGAGATCAATTCGTCTCATAGAGGCGTTCAAGTCTGTGGTTCGAAGTTAGATATTGCGGAGCTTCAGCTAGCTTCAGGGTTCTCACCTTGTCGAGGGACATTGATACTTTCCGAGATCACGATTGCCTAGTGTCAAATTATCAGCGACATCTCTTCCTAAAATAAGATTGTATATCGGATGCATGGAAACCAGACAACCCAAATACGATTCCTCGTACATACCCAGTCCCGTTCCACAGCCACCGTATTAGCCGTAGCGGCCAATTTCTCCATACAAGCCAGTAAGCCCTGCACGGTGAACAAGGCAATTGTAAGCGACCAAGAGTCTGTAGACAGAGTGGCCACAAAGCATAAGCATGAGATCGCGACAGGGACTCTTTGCCACACTACTCCTTTAATTAGCCATTGGCCTTGATACTCGGTACATATTGAAGTATCCGAAACGATTCCAACCTACCAATGGAATGCCTCACAGCAACGAGCCGGTCTGAGCGATCAACTTGCGCACCCAGCCACGACGACAGCGCGACGGCTGAAAACGCCCGCACTAGAGCGTATATCGAAGCATACAGTAGTGTCCCCGGGAAGATCGAAGCTAGGAAGAGTACGGCGCCGAATTCAAACATGCGGGAGTTCCATGTTGAGAGTGTGTGAGATATGTATAGGCGTGTTAGTACTGAGTGGGCTTCTGGTGCTGGGCTATCATTTTGGGGTGGGCCATCATCCGCCAAGGTCGGCAACAGAGGGTTGGAGGAATTGCTGATGTCTTCTGATGGTTGCCGGCTAGGCTCTGGGAACTCGCTCCCAAGAACCATCTTGAAGCGCTGCTGGCAATTTACAGCATGTATGCAAGTGTCGGGTCGAATGCTTATGTGGATTTGACAGCAAATTGGGCGGATCAGCAATGCCGTGGGTGGGCTGAGGACCCTCGTGGAAACTTTTATATCGTATTGTCTATGGTGTTCTATTTGTACCTTTAAATCTCATTAGGTTTGAGTCCATCCATTGAGTACTACAGTTATTTTCTATTTGAAAATGATCGTTAATTGCAGATTCAGGATTTGCAATAATAGTATGGTATATGGGCCAATTCCCAATAAATTCTAATACACCCGAACAGCAAAAATTACAAGCTATAAACGGTATCCCACTGTTTAATCCAACCACTTAAGTCCTTCGGGAGATGATGTCGTTGTCCGTCGGGCAATCACCTCGACCACCTTTCGGCGCACACCTTCGCGGTGGGCGTATTTCTGGAGGAAGTAGTCGATCACGGGTCTCCGCGATGAATGTCCCTCACACACAACCTTTTTAATCTCATCTTCGGAGGGAAGGGCGAAGTGGGCATAAGGGTATTTAGTGTAATCTCCCTGGCTCAGAAGCGGTAGGCGGGACTCGTTGTCGGGGATCTCGAAGAAGTCGTCCACAATTTTATCCGAGACATCTTGGAGAGTAGCGGGCTGCCACTGGGCCTGGCGGGGAGGCTTGGACATCAGACGGGCCTTGACACCCTCGACGAAATCAGGGTGGCGCATGAATTTGGCGGCGATCTCGTGCTCGCGCTGGAAGGTCTCCGTGATGGTCCACTTCTTGCCAAGACGCATCTGGCGCAGAGTCACCTTCAGAGAGGTCGGGGAGCGGCCTGACAGAGTCTCCAATGTCTTTTGTGCCCACTCCTTGTGCTCAGTTTCCTTCTCCAAGGCCTGGATAATCTCTTCCATGGTGTTGAATCCGAAGCAGCGGTCAATGGCAGTACGCAGGGTACCAGCCATGAGCATCGGCTCCTCCTCAAGCGGGGGGAGGCCAAGGGAGAACTCAGCCATGGTCTTGTTCACAATTTCCAAACGCTCGCGAAGCTCGACGTGGTCGGGGAAAGTCAGCTCGGAAAGACGCTGAGTCACACTGCTCAGAACACTGGAGTGCAAGTAGTGTGTGGCGATGCCTGCGTACAGAGCCTGAACACCCTTCAAGCGCTCCGAGGTCAAAGCCAGGTATGTACCGGTCTCACCATCCAGACGCGGGAGGAAGAAGGAACCGCCAACGTCGGGGAAGAAGCCAATTGTGGTCTCAGGCATAGCAAAAAGGGTACGCTCGGTCGCAATTCGGAAGGGAGCGTGCATGCTGAGGCCTACGCCACCGCCCATGGTGATTCCATCCATAAATGAGATGACAGGCTTCGAGTATGTAGCGAGCAGGTGGTCAAGGCGGTATTCTAGTGCGAAGAAGTCCGCTGATGCTTTTTGTCCCTCCACTCCACTCTCATTCTGCAGGGCCAGAGCAGCAACGTCACCTCCTGCGCAGAGAGCCTTGGTGCCGGCTCCGGAGATGAGGATCATGTTTGCAAGATGAGATTTCTCCCACTCCTATTCATCCAACGCTTAGTATTGTATGTGTCTGAAGTTCCGGGTGTCCATTCTAACCTTCAATCGAGGGACAATCTTGCGAGCCATCGAGCCGTTGAGGGAGTTGAGCTTCTTGGGTCGGTTGAGTTCAACGCTGCGGAGGCCGTAGATCGAGTTGAACAGGACATCATCGCGCTCATCGCCGGGGAGCTCTTTGGGGATATCAGATGAAGTCGACATCTAACAAATGTGAGCACTGGATATCGGGCTTCTCTCCGAATAGGGTACATACCATAGCTGTTGCCCGAAAGGCAGGGTTGGTCACCTTGGCGCGTAGAGGCATTGCTGAAGGAACGCGCGAGATCCAGCTCGGCGAGGAGACGCGATTGAATTGTCGAAGTAACATTAGAACTGGAATACGACGATAACCAAGGAAGGGCGTTATGTGATGACAATCAGGTATTTCTCCGCTTTCCTTGACCTCGGGAGTTTTTCGCTGGATTTTCTTTCCGCTCCGACTCTCCGCCCATAACCGACCAGCTCCCAGGTACATTCGGCGACATCACCGCAATTGATGTCAATTTCTAAGTAGTGTAAATGAAAATGGGTTCAAATATTCTAAAAGCGCTATGATACAAAAAGTCAGCTAAGTACTGAATATGTTGTAGCTCCAAAACCGACTCTGAGAAGTGATAACGTTCGAAGTATAGATGATCTATTTGTACACAGCTAGATAATGCCAGAAAAACAAGAAACAGAGAATGATACAATTAAACGTTGCTCCATGTGGCCTTCATCCGGCTAAAGTCCAGCGGATACACCTTCTCTCCGTTTGCTGAAGGCGAAAAGAGAGTGTCCACCTTCGCCAAGTCGGTCGAATGCGAAAGCAGGATCTTGTGCAGTGCATTCTTCTCAATAATCAATCTTGCTGTCTCCAAGACATTCTTCACATCCAAATCCTCGACGCTGATAGTTCGTGCGTGGTTGCCGAACTTTTCGACCGCATCAGAGAACATCTCATTCGGCTTCAGTGTAACGAATGTAGACCGGCCCTTCTGATACCAGCCATGAGCTTTGATGAGGTTTATGATGAAGAACGGGCTCGCATTCTCATTGATATCGATACTGTTGTCAACAACAATCAATTCGCCGCGTGAAAGCCGGTGGCTGAGGGCAATACGCCAGGCTTGGTCGTAGATCTTTCGTGGCAAATCGGTCGAGAAATCACGAGGATGAGGTCCGAAAGCGACACCACCACCTCGTCGAACTGGCGACATCTTGTCACCCGCACGCGCACGACCGGAGCCCTTCTGCGCGTACAGCTTCCTGTGACTACCGTGCACATCGTCCCTCCACTTGGTGCTGGCGGAACCTTGTCGGGTGCTGTCGCCCTCGTAGACGACTGCGCGGTGGAGGATATCGTGACGAGTGGGCATCTGAAGTAGCCGCCGGGAGTAATGGACTAAACGCTGGGGTTCCAAGTTAGGCCACCGGTAGGTCATGACTTGAACAGGGGTTGGGCCCCCTGGTCGTTGCGCCTGTTGGACCTGGACAGCATCCTTGGTCGCCACTGGGGGCTGTGTAGTGGCTTCGGTTGCCATTGAGCGTGTAAGGCATCGTTGCTGTATGATTCGATACGCTGTCAGTAAATGCGTCCGAGAACCGGATCGAGAAGAATTCATGGAGTGCACTAACCGTCACTTGCTTCGGGCCTGACATGAGTCCGCCCGAGCTGCGGGACAGCAGCCTCAGTGACCGAATAACATCGTTCCCTGGCATTTTGAGAGTCACTGGGTGATCGGCGTATAACTTGATGATGTCCGGAGTCTCGAATGGAGCAAAAGTTGATCCCGGGCGGTAGGTGCTAGCAGAACCTTGGTACTATAGTACCCAAGTATCTTTTGTATGATTTTCCCTTACAAAAGATACTTAGCCGCATAATACACAATATGAATTCTCTTGTCCGGTTGCATTGAATTAAGTGTGTATGTCAAATATAATTTAATTGTAGACAGGACTTTTTAATTTATTCGATGTCTTGATGTATTCCCGGGCCTGGATACCACTTGGAGGTCACGTGATAGGTTAAGTGACCGAACAGAAAAAGTTCCCCGGGAAGACAACAACATCGGATCCTCAAGGCCAAGCCCACCATAACCTCCAATTCCTCGAATCATGGCCCACTGCGAGCGGGCTTCGAAGCCTCTGCTCCAATGCCTTCGCAATACCTACTCTAGAGGCGTGGCTGGAGTCCAGCTCCAAACGCGAGCCTTCCAGTCGACCGCGAGTGTTCGAGATGCCGAAGTTGAAACTCCGGCCCAACCTTTCCACAAGGCACCCGATCCCTCTCTTGTGACGAGTCCCCGTCTCGAAAGACGTTTGCTCCGACAGGGAACCGCCCCCATTGGATCACGTCGTCGCCGTGCTGCACTCCAAGATTCAGAGAACCTTCCCTTCGAACAATTGCCCTACCAATGTTTCCAAGAAGCCCGGAAGATTTTGCTTGCGGACCGCGAAGAGAAATTGAAGGAGATTGAAATGATGAGGCAACGCCTTGCCAGACAGGAGGCTTTGTCCGTCGAAGAGGCTGGAGGAGCAAAGGCGAAGAAATCCCGTGTTACTGCCATGCAATTACACCTGGAGCGCCTCAAGGTTCTGGCCGATATTAACGATCCCTTGGTCAAGCGAAAGTTCGAGGATAATGAAGGTAATCATCTCTTGATCAAGTGATCAACCTGGGCTGAGACTAATCGTTCGATTTCTACCAATCCAGGTGACATGTCCAAGCCCATCTATCGCTTTTTGGCCGACCGCAAATGGCGCGAATACCGCCGCAAGATCCTGGTCCAGCGTATCACCCAGATGAACGTCATTCCCGATGTCCTCCCTCACTGCGACCCCGTCGTCGAGACAAAGCTGTACTTCGGCAAGCGCCAAATCCAAGCCGGTGAATTCGTCGAAGCGAGACTCAGCACGAGCGCGCCTAAACTCGACGTGCAAATCTTTGAGGCTGGTGAAAAGCTAGTCACTATTGCAGTTGTCGACCCTGATGTCCCGAACGTTGAGAACGACAACTTCGATTATAAGACACACTTCTTGGCCGTCAACGTCCCCATCTCGGCCACCTCCACCAAGATCGATCTCGCACAGCTTTTGGAAGATTCGCAGGTGGTTCTCCCCTGGCTACCACCTGTTGCCCAGATGGGAAGTCCCTACCACCGCCTCTCCCTCTTCATTATGGAGCAGAAGGAGTCCCAGCCTCTCGACTTTGCCGCCGTCAAGGCCAAGGAGTCTAACCGCGACACCACCCTCCTTCGCAGTCTCCAGTCCCGTTACCATCTCAAGGCCATCGGTGCTCACCTGTTCCGTACCCAATGGGACGCCACGACCCTGGAGGTCATGAAGGAGATTGGATTCGACGGTGCTAATGTGGAGCTGCGCCGCAAGAGAGTTGAGCCTCTGCCATATAAGAGACGTAACCCCTCTTCGTTCCGCTGATCTTGTTTGTCTTCAAGCCATTGTATTGTACAATTTGATATATGTATGAATATGCACACTGATTTAATCCCTTTCAACCAAACTCCATGCGTATGCTTAAACAAAATGGACCAGAGTGCCACGCATCGGTATTGTAATCCACCGGTCTAATATAATGTACAATGTATAACCCTTAGATGTTCTGGGAATCCAGTTGCGCCGGTTGCAACGGATTGGTCACCCATCCCATCTTCGACGGAGGCCATACCCTGGCAATTATCTTCCCATTAATGAGACCCATGGGCACTGGGCCGTAGTTCCTCGAATCCCTAGACCAGGGAAGATTATCGCCGGCCAAAAAGACATGACCTTCGGGGACCTGCACAAAGTCAAGTCAGCAATTGAATCCAACCAGAACGAAGAACCTATAACCCACCTGAATCATATTTCCATCCTTGCCAATACTCGTGCTAAGCGGCTTGTCTTGACAGACAAAATCCCCAGGCATGCCCACTACCCGCTTGGCCACATGCACGCCTTGAAAGTTCGGGTGACCATATCGCACGACATCTCCGACCTCGATTCCTTTGCCATTGCGGTGGAGGCGCGATATCATGAGCCAATCGCCTCGCACGTCGAAGGTAGGGTACATAGACGGGCCCTCGCTGAGCTGGACAGTTATCAGGTGCTCCCAGATCAGCGCGCAGGCGCAGAAAGTGCTGGTGCCATTGAGCGCAAGCCTTCCAATGGTGCGCAGATTGGCAGCCTTTATTACAGACCGGACTAACTGCTCCATGTGTGGTGAATTGGAAGCATAGGATTGCTCAGATCGAGCTGCATCAACTATTCCGCGGTCGGGAGCTGGTCATGTGACTATTTGGTGTCTTTAAATTTGATTTTTTTGCTCCACATCCTCCCATTCTGCCATCATCAGTCAATATGTCCTGTGTCTTGAACCAGCGATTGATAGGATATTGCCGTCGCATTGGATTTTAATATCCAGGACCCTTCCAGCCGTATCAGCTGCTCATTAATGTTTCGTGGGCGCTGGGCTGAGAGGGATCTGGAATTTCATTCATGTCTCGATTATTCGAACATCTCTACAATATGGAGATGTTCAAACAGTCAATATCCTTTACATATACTCCCCATACCCCTTACCCCTACCCAATCCCTTCCGGGATGTCCGCTTCTCCAAATGCTAGAGCTTGCCGTCGCCGAAATACATAACCAGGACGAGCACGTGTGGAATATGAAGCAAGATGAACACAACCAGCCTATCTTCTAATAGGTTGTCCCCCAGTGTGCCTCACTTTGACCCCATTTCATTATGGGACTGGGTTTTTGAGGCATACATAGTGGGGAGACATCTCAATTAGACAATTTATTCTCATTTTCGGTTTCTCATGCTCCCTATCTCTCGTAACCTTCTTAAACAATATGGATGAGATTATCCATGCGTCAATCAATGTGACTTTTTGTACCACGAATCAGCATCTAACAAACATGTAAGTAAACTCGAATCAAAGCCAATTAAGAAGCATAGTACATACCGGGATGCTTCTCGACCGGCTCAATGCCCTCCCTCTTCTTCGCCTTCTGCTGATGATCCACGCCATACCTCTTGTCCCGGTCCTCCAGCAACGAATCCAACCCTGCAGGATGTGCCAACTTCACGCTCTCATTCGATACAAAGCTGCCCATCAACTGCGGCTCGCCTAGAGGCACAGGATCTCCACGATCAACCTGCCAGAAATGATACGTCTTGCCATAGACAGGCGCAACGTCTTGCATCTCTGCCGTCTCCGCAGCTTCCCAGATAGCGTCGGGCACACCAGCTGGTGCTGGCATGACCAGCATGCCGCTTTTGACCTCGAACTCGTGCGTGTGCCAGAGCTTACGCTCTTCGGTGGGAAGAGTCACGAAAATCCGCGGCGAGATCATGTATTCCACGCCGATGAGGCGGGCGTTTGCCTTGGATGAGTCGTAGATTAGGCATTGGCGGATATCTGGATAAGTATTAATGCCCAGCACATCGGTCATTCAGTTGTGTTTGGCTATAGACATGGCTGTTGTCACATACCCTCTGTTAAGTGAGTGCAATAGTGATCGGCTTCCAGACATCGAGTTGGATCGTTGGCGTAAAAGTGGAATGCATTGAGATGTGCGCAGATTTGCTTTACGGGCGTGAAGTCTTGGATCATTGAGGCTCCAGTCTCGAGTACTCGACTCTTCATTGTCCGCGGCTCGTCTGGAAGTTCAGTTCCATCGTTGCAGCAGCTCTTTCCCGAGTTTGACATTTTGTATATACGTTGGGTTCAGGGTTGTATTCGTGAATTGTTGAATTGTTAGGTGTTCATTAATAGAGTCTCCCATAAACTGGGATTTGTACTGAAATGATGTAATCCATGCTTCCATTGCATTGATGTCATGATGATTGCGGACTTCCTATTTGGGACTGTTTACTGCTACAGCATATTTGAAAGTAGCTTTATCATTGGTAGAAGTAAGAAAACGATGATATGTAGTCAAAATTTATGCAGGTTGTCTATACGGAGTATATTTTATGTTATCCTTAATGGAATATATGCATATACCAGCTTCCTCATAGAGCGACATCACTTGTTCGAGCGGTTGTATTAATTGCGCTTCTGATATATTGGACTTAATCTGCCTTGATAACTCAAGGAACAGTCTCCCTTTGCTCCAACAAGTCATAAATTGGAGTTTTTCTCATATCAAAACCGCCCCGACCATCAAAACGGTGCTCATATATCTTCCGTTGGCAGTAAGCTATTGCTATATCGTGCACTATGCTCCACTCAAGCAACCTCGTGCCTAAAGCCTTATTATCGGCCTCGAGCGTCTCCAAAGCCTCCTTTACCCACGCGACACAATTCCATCCCGGCCGACTCTGTCGGACAGGCGTGTTGCGCATAATTTCGGCTACATGATATCCGTCCAATACCTTGCCAATCAGGATACGAACAAGCAACATGTTGCCACTGTTTAGTGAACACTCAAACTCTTCGAAGTGCCACTCAGAGCCCCCTCCTAACTTTGGGCTCTCGTTCGCGTGGTAACAGAAACCCGTGCTATTCTCAGTTTCAAATTTGGGCCCTACAATCACGGACCAGTGGTACCTAATCAAGACATATATTAGTCTTGCTAGTGACTTCAAGCTAAACAGCGTCATGAATGGTTCTCACGTGTCCTCCTTGTCTGGCATGGTTACTCTGCCTCGTCGTGCATGGAGCGCAACATATATCCGATCTTTGTTGGCGGGCATTGCAAGTGAAGTTGACCAAGATGGCTAGATATTTGCTAATGATCGATTATTGCTGAAAGGATGGTCGTAGTGGGGTCTTCTCTAAATCCAGTCTTTACCGGGCTCTATGGATGTCTTTATATTTTTGTGGCTCAATGCTAAAAGCTTTCTATTTTAAGAGGAGCGTCGGAAGATCTACTGCAACCCAAGTCACATCACATCGTACCCAACAGCGCCTATAGCATTGGGTAACCAATATGGGCACTTTACTCGGATAGGTGCATCGTACGTTAAATTGAAAAAAAAGGGGGCCAATGGCATTTGAAGAAACTCCAACCAAACAGAAAACCCCCGCGAATAGGACTGGGCGCAGCATAAAAATAGAAATTCGAATGCAATTAGCGGCTCAGCTAGCGTCGAATCAATTCTTAGTGTCGTGTCAATGCTTTCTGGGGGTCCCTTTGTCAAGAGCATCAAGAACACGTCTATCCATCTAAGTGCCTATAAAACTCACGAGCCAGTCTTTCTCCATCTCATTGTGAGGATCCCAATAAAGGGCTTTTGGCCGACAGAAATACATATGTGGCATCACCATATTTGAACGTTGTGGAATAAGGTCCCGCTAGAGAAACCCGTTTATTTGCACAAATGGTTAGGACCACGGGGTATTTGCTGTTTGAGGGAGATCGCCATCTTTGTTGGCTGCACTCCGCCACGAAAAGCTGTCTCGTTGCCCTGCCGTCTCCCGGGGTGGATGAGCGAGCTCGATCGGCATAGCCCCTATATTGCGGACTATGATAATGGCTGGTGTTTTTTCTTTCCCATTTTTGTCACGTCTATTATCATTGAAGGATACAAACCAGAAAAAGACGATGAAAAAGACTATAAAGATCACAAAAGGGACCGAAGACACAACACAACCGGAGTCATTCCCGTTGAGTCATATTCATCTATGGCCTTCTTTCCTTCTTTCCTGTTCCATATTTCGTCACAAAACAATCAAATTGCAAGATGAAGGAAGAGCTTCCGGGCTTGCACCTTCTAGACGCAGAGACAATCGTACAGCGCCTGTGATAAGAGTCAAGACCGACAGGCCTGCCTAGTAATCTAGAAATCCAACTATCTTCTGTTACAGATGACATGTTTGACGAAATAGCCTCTTTTTTGTGCACTATCGAGGGTGAATGAGGGTGTTATCCGCATAGAAAAGGAAAATATGGAAGTATCTAGAGATATAGGGAATAATTCAGGAGGAACGGAAAGGATGGAGAAATAATGTTCCTTTCTATATCAATCAAATTCACCAACGGTGAAACGAACCCTCAAACCATTACTCCCTCCACTGTCTGTCTATCTATATGCCATCATCCTCCTCCTCGACCGAACTCTCTGTGACATATGCATCCCACGCCTCACAAGTAGAATTCAAAGTATCATAATCAATCAGGGCCCGCGCCTCATCATACCTCTCCAAGAACTGAATAGCAAAGCCCTCCGAAGTATGCCATCCAATATGGCAATGCATCAGCCAAGCTCCGGGATTGTCAGTCTTGAACGCAATGGCAAGGTACCCAGAGGCCGGGAGCATGGCCACATCCCGGCGGGGCGGGTTCGTCAAGCTCGTGTCATCGGAGGAGCTGTACGTGCCCGTTCCCTGCGCGATGACAAAGAAGTCGTGGCCGTGCAAGTGGATAGGATGCGGGACAGCCAGGGTAGTTTCGATGACAACATAGGACCACTTGTCTGCGGTCGGGAGCACAATTACGCCGCTCTCCTCGGTGAATGTCGTGTCGTTATTCCAGACTTGCAGGAGTGTCGGGTTATCCCAGTATACTTGCATTGCTGTCCCGTTCAGCTGCCAGCGGAAGTAGCTATCGGAGTTTGTGCCTAGTGTGACTGGTTCGCTGGAGTTGTAGTATGGTTCCGATGCGCTCTGGGCCAGATACGGGACGAGATCAGAGATGTCCATGTCGTCGCAACTGTCGGTGTACGTGTATTCGGTGGTGGTGGGAGTGGATATTGTGCTGCCATAATAAACGATGCCTTTGATATTGTCTGCGCTGTCATTGTCGGAGCAGGCGGCTTGGGGAATTGCGCGCATCCAGAAACTGTCACTTCCGGTGGATTGGTCTGCGCTGACCACAATATCGTACCGCTGACCTAGATAGAATAAGGGTTAGTAAGGTCATATGTAGGTTGGTAGGGAAATGGTCTCTTACCCATGCCGATGTTCAAGATAGTTGTGGTAAATGGCTCGATAGGTACCAAGTCCATAGCCATCACCGTCAGAGTATGGTTGTCAATTGAGAACTTGAAGTGGGTATCTACCGCAGCGTTCACAAGACGGAAGCGATAAGAAGTGCCTGCAGTGAATGATGTGTTGAAGCGATGGCCTGTCTGGGTCGTTGAATCGTCATCTCCATACACATTGGTACCGTTGATGAGACCATTGTCTAATGTAGGCGGGCCATTGGCCTCGGCAGAGTACCAGAGTTGATCAACAGTCTGGTGACTCCAATCATTGAGGAACAAAACTCCTTTGTCCACATCATAGTTCTCAGTGGCAGGACCGTTGATCACAATTCCACCGAAGACACCTTCGTAGGCTTGCAACCCAATGTGAGAATGGTACCATGATGTGCCATATTGTGTAGCTTTCCACTTGTAGGTTGTTGTCTGTCCCGGAGCAGTAGGGCATTGAGTAATGGATACAACACCGTCGTTCTGGTTGGTATAGTTCTGGCGGATGCCGTGGAAATGGATGCTAGATCCATTCTTTGAGGTCAGACTGTTGGTGACATGAACGATAACATCATCGCCCCAGTCAGCTATGATGGTAGGGCCTGGAATTGTCCCGTTGACTGCCATTGCTGCACGAGAGTAGCCATCGGGAGCAACTGTGACATCTTCGATGTTGAAGTAATACTCTCTGGTCACGCCGGTGGTGGGGACGACATCGTAGTAGTTGGTGCTCACGTCGTAGTCGCACCAGGTCTGTCTGTCACTGGCGGTATTTCCAGAGCAAGCATCCCGCTTTAGCCTTGTATGTTTGTCGTGATGGATCGAGGTTGCGGAGGCTACTCCGGCCAGGATCAAAAGAGTGGTCCAAATCTTCATGATTGCTTGACGGTCAAGAATGCTAGCAATTTGAATTTTGGCGGACAGACACGAAGTAAATTCACAAGAATGAAAGTTTAAAAACAAAAGGAAGGATATCAGCGAATGTAATATTGTTAGAAAGGACTGTCGGACTATTTGTAGAGAAATATTGATGCTACGAACTATTCTTATCAACATATATAGATCCCCGACGCTCTATCATTGTGACGCCTTACAAGGCAAATTGGAGCTCATATCCAGTATCAAGAGGGTCAGTAAGCTAGTGAAATCAATGAGATCTGATTGGACTTGACTTTAGCACGACACACACCTGAGGGTGCGTAATCTCAAAGTCCGACGGAGTCCTTGGGTAACGGATCCACGTGCCGGATCGTGCCGAACCATGGTTTGTCTATCTGCAAGCCTATTTTTAAGCTAATTCGAACCGCTTGAGGGGAAGATGCACGAAGATTTTCTACAAATGGACTGGACTTGCACGATTGGAAACTTTGCCCTAATGCAAGCCACCGTCACGAATTACGTGGCATATAGTATCTAAGATAACAATAGAGAGAAATGATGATTTCTGAAAACTACCATGCCTCAATTGCCACTTACATGAAGTTGCCATGGCGAGTATCCGTTTTTGATCAATCTCTGTTTATCGAAAGATGTATATCAACCAAGTAACGGAACAGATATGGCCCCTCTACGCCCTAAGCAGATAGGCTCTTGTTCTAATTCGGTGATAGAATACAACTTATTTTCTATCCACAATATAGACTATCGTCATAGTTTTGGAGATCTCAACCAGATTGGGATTAACGGACGAACTCAGCCCGACCCAATAATGCTACTGTAGCCTATCTCCTCTTATTCCAACGAGATTGCGACATAGGCTGCAAGGCAGTGTCGGAGATAAAGTCTCCGCTTGTTTCAAGCTAACTGATATTCTTCAGGTACCTGACAGGAACCACCACGGCACGTCAGTCAACGCGTGTCCCGGCGCGCGGCCCGGACTCATGCACCAACCCAATTTTAACAACCCCTTAGAGACTATGTTTTGCGATGAATGATTGGATACTGCACGCTCACCCTAAATTTTGACTAAGTGGAGCTCTCCCTGCGAGGACGTAACATGCAAAAGGACCATGTAACTATATAGAGAACAATAGGATAGTCAGCTTCCTGTCAATCTTATCCAAGGTTAAACATCTTTCTCATTATCTGCTATCCACTATGTTCAGTTCCTCGGTCTTCTGCACGGCGCTGTGCCTGGGAGCGTCCGTGTACGCTTCTGACTTTGCCTCTAGGAGCACTCCCGGCGTGGGTGAGGAGTTCGGACTTTATGCGTATGGAGACGCAATTGGTGGTCTCTCTCTGTTCTACGGAAATGGTAGGATCTTAACATTCACCACTATCTAGAACCGTATTGACCAGGTGCTAGGCAAGGCTCTGATTGGTGACCCAGCCAATTCGACTGCTTCGAACACTTCAAGTGTATACTGTCAGTGAATCCTACACCCTGCAGTCATGAATTTGTGTTGATATGGGACATACTAGTCGAACGTTCGTCCACGGATAGCACTTGGATCGCCAACCCGAACGGAACCACCAATGCGAACGCCAGCTGGTCTGACCAGATGCTCTACATTCCCAGTTCGTCATCTTCAAATGATGAAATGGGCTTCGCGTCTACGAACGCGTCGAATAGGACTACAACAGGTTTCATCTTCTACGGACAATGGATGATGGTGAAATCTGATTCTGGCGAAATCTCTTCCAGCTTCTATATTAGAGAGAACTCGGAGGGCGAAGGGATTTATTCCTTGCTGTGGAATGCGTCGGATGATGCAAGTGCTATTCCAGTGTCCTTGCGTACTGCGAAGCCGTCTGATTCTTGAGATATTGGTTGCAAGGAAAAACAGAGGTTGTCTGTTGTGATGATTTAGCTTTGGTTCTATGGAAAGAGGTCGCCCTTGTCAAGTCAAGTCCAATCATAGCTATCTGAAAAGGAATAGAAAATTTTATTTCCTATCTGGAAATAAAAGAAATATGGCTATAATTTAGATCTAAATCTAGAGAAGAAGAAGAAGAAGAAACTGTGATCAAATCAAAGATCATGGTCATGCGATATCTTCCCAAGAATGTCTCTTACTCTGTAACTGACATTTCATATTAAAAACACTTAACTAGAATGCCTGAAAGCATGTTTAGGTAACGACCGGCTTCTTTGATAGATTGGTTAATGGTGAATTCGATGCATTACCAACATGACCTTATTCCCAAGGTTCACAGTCCGATCAAGGTAGTCAAGATATTCGAGCCCCGGTTGTTCTTCCTTTGAAAGGAGTACATTTACCAAGTTGGGGATGCTTTCTTCTTGGTAAGCCGAGCATCTGGACCATTACCACCATTGAACGCAATGGGATCTGACAAGCTATTCGATGGAGATTTTCAGCGCGGCCTTACTACCACGATATACCTCTTGCTGTTGTTGCCGATGCTTCCTTGTCCAGACGACATCACACCGATAAGACCTTTCGGAGCCACATGATGTGCCAGAGTTTCAACGACCCGCATGAGGCTAAGCGAATTCGTGACCATCACATGTACAAAATCATCGGTGGATACATCTCCAATTGTTTGGTTGGGTCACGATTTGTGATTCCAGCGTTCACAAAAAGGATATCGAATATATTGCCCGGCAAGCGCCTATCGAGCGCCTTGATTTAATCAGGTTGGCAAATGTCCGAGGTCCTAATTTCAACCCGGCCGTTGTGATTGTCTGCTAGCTCGTGGAGTAATGTCCGCGCCCCTCCGCCGCGGACTGTTCCGACAACGTTTCACCCCTTTTCTACGAATTCTGCGTAGCACCGATGATAAGGATGGTGGGGGGTAAAATGGAGATTGTGCCGAGTTATGCTCAGACTTAATATAATTTAGTAGGTTAGGCTCCTTTTAAACCCAGCAAGTCGGCTTGGCAGTTTCTAGTGTTGCGTTTATCTCCGTCGGATTCCCTTTGAAGCCGGTGATTCTGGTATCTGTAGCAGGTCTGCCCATATTAGGAAATAACCCCTGCTTAGCCGTATCGCGACTTATAAGATTGGATTCAGCGTCGAGTGATGGTGAAAGAGCGAAAATCCCGTTGAGGGGGGTCCATAGGGATCTGCCGTTGATAGGCGACCCACCATGTAGGTCATGCAGTGCAGTGGAGCCCGCGTTTTAAGGCCTCCGTGTCAATCGTGTCCACCCTGCCATCATCCTACTCTTCATCAATGTGGTCAGTGTCAACATCGCAATCTAATTGTTCTCCAACTGCAGATTTCTTCCAGCCCATGAGTACAGGAGCCGGAGCCGATATCTAAGATCCGAAAGCGCCAGGTAAAGCAACCGGAGTATTTCAGCTAGGCCCTCTCTGTGGACCCGGTCTAGCGCTAGTGATAGGTGCTTTGACCCAGGGTCTACCCTCACCATATTTGGCGGTGTGATGCTGGTGCTGATTTTCCTATGTTTGCCGGACACCATGGCAAAGCGCGAGCAAAATCCGCAGACCGAGGAGCATAACAACATCAGCATGATTTTCAAATATTCATAGCCGTCTTTGGCCCGTTCAAGGCGTTGGCCCTGCCCCGCTTTCACCCCCGTCATCACCTTTACTATGTGCATCATGAACGTCTCCATCAAAATCATTTCCGACAAGGCTCCCTAAATCTTCACCATTATCGAAGTAAGTCTTGTATACATATCACTGACAATCGTGTACGCCATCTCTCAATATCTGGTGGTTCGCTAGATCGACTATATCATGATCCGTGAGGCGACCCAGGCAAATCGCTACGATGAGAGCGGCAAGCTCAAGTTCCACTCCCTGGAGGGGAGCCTGAAAGAGAAGGGCTCTTTATTGTCGACTTTTTACACAACCTACGAGCCGATAAAGACAAGAAACCCAGCTTGTTAGTCTGGTGTCTGGTTATCTATCTTTGCTTTGAAGAATTCTCGGAGAAGACTTATGCCTGGCCCGATTTCGTCCGTGTGACTATTGCGCCGAAGAAACTACTGCTAAACAACAAGCAGTGATGTCAAAATGGACTCTCTTCCACCTTCCCCAAATCCTAGCGGTGCAACTGCGAAGCTGAGCACCACAGTCCCGCCTGACGTTGGTCGATTCGCAATGTTGATACCCATTGATATAATCGCAAGGTTGGCAATCGATGCAGCAGCTAACTCGGGCTCTGAGCCCCATATGAAGTTTATAAAGGAATCAGTATTCAACAAAACGCTGATAGGATACTTCGAAACTGTCCCTGACTACATTGCCTGAACAAGTTGATTTTGGATGGAGGCCAATCCTTACAACGGCGGCGTGGACATTCTTCTGTGCATAAAAGAGGGCCAGGAAATGGACTACCATAGCTCGGGGGGAGGATCAGGATGCCCCAGCGTTGGTCTTCACGCTCGTTTCAATTAGCTCAAGGGAGCCGGCGGATTCCTTTCATTCCTCACAACAAAAGGAGAGAAGGGGGATGGATGGTGAATGGAATGGAAAGATATTCAGGGCTTACCAACGTCTAATGCAGCCCAGGAATACCACAATCATTGAGGAATGTGTTTTCGTTTACGATATGAGATCTTTTCTGAATAAGATGATATCGTCGAACTAACCAAACATTTCCGTGAACAGTACGAGGCTCAGACTCTGTCTATTCCAGGACGAAATGATGTGCGCTTCGGGGATCGGATAGTACAGCATCCGATTCCGAAAGGGGCTTCTGACGTGATTTTCAGACAGGAGAATCAGCAGCAGCAAAGCAGATTTTAATTCTCAGTCAGAAGACACGCAGCTGCTATGGAACAAGAGTTGGAAATAACTTCGTGTATCTGCTCTGGGTTCAATCGTTGGTTGCTTATTCCTACTGGCCATTTCCATGATATGGCACACGGACGTGAGTCTAAACTACACACAACATACTCGTGAGAAGCTAAAATCAACCAGGTGTAATGCTGTCTGATTTCGGATGCGCATTCAATGCCACATGTGAACAGTGATAGTGTAGACACTGTACGATATCCCGCACCCGATCAGGTTGACGGAACCCCATGATGGAGCCGTCGGTTATTGGGAGTATGGTCTAATCAGATTGGGGCTGCTTCTGCAGATATTGATTGGGTCTCTCTGGGAAGCAGGGAATTAAACGGGAGGATAAATTGACATGATCGAATTTTGACATGGTCTCTCTGGTCGTTCCAATATATATTTCCATTAATGACTGCACCGAAGCTTCCATCGCACATCGATGGCCTGATAATTGCGTCAAGGAGACCAGAATATGAGGGGAATTCGACTCCATCGCACGCTCTCCTCACTGGGAAAACGGCCTACATATACTCCATATAAAGACTTGGCTATACCAATTTTAAGAAAACAAGCCTCATTTACATCTCACGATCGAAGATCAAAACCATCGCAAAGCCTAAATATACGTAGCACACACATAAGCGGTAAAATTATTTCTCGAAATAACCACAGCGCAACACCCCAACACCGCAAGCCCGCAATGAACAACAATTAATGTGTTATTGTAGAAGCCTCATCCACACCAAGACTCTGCACTCCACACTCCACCGGCGATCTACAAGATTGTATTCGCGTAAAGTGTAACAGCCCAGTCTACTGCAATGGTCAGTGCCCGAAATCAAAAACCAATAATGCGCTCATCACTCTTCCAAAGTTGGTAACACACCCACCTTTATTTTGTATCCACCACTGTGTGTCGGTGTTGGAGCGGGAAAGAAGCGGGAGAGGGACTCCGTTGGACCATTTGTCCGATATGGCAATGATACTCGGTTTTAGTGGGGGCTGCGACTTGGGTAAGCTGGTAAACTGGGGCTTTCAGGGGGCTGTTTCCACTGATAATATAGTTTTTTTTTTCTTCTTTCTTTTCTGTGGGTGATCCTTTTTGGGTGATCTTTAGAGTGGCAACATGGATTTAACTATGGAGTTTGTATGGAGTAACTATAATATGCGGAATAACACATAACGAATGTTGGTGCGCTGTAGCTGCATATGTAGGGGAGAGTTGGAATGGCAAGATAAAGTACTGTGGACTCGGTGCACATTGCAGAGTACATATTGTAGGCGGCCTGAGTATAAATATACATATACGCTGTACGTTGTACGCTGAAGATGTAGACTTGTATGTGGGGATACATACGGAAGCACTGTATATCACATCTGTGTCGGCATGCAGACCCGGTTGTGGAAGATAAAATTGCAGTGATGGATGGAGAACGCGGTGAAGACAGCAAAGCGGGTATATCACGGAGTCGAATCGGAGGTCGGAGTGCATGTGTGATAGGCAAGATTCTGATGTCTCAAAACTCTTGACGCGAGCGCGGGCAATTACATTTCTTCATTGGGACTAGTTTATTAAACTATTATGGAGAGGGCAGGAGATGCTTCCAGAGCTTGAGCCCCTCCAATTTTGTAAAGCATGGGAAAAGGTAGAATTACAAGTGGCTGTGTTCTACCAAGGCCCTCAAAGCGCCTCTAATCTTTAATCTCATGTACAATATCGCTTACGGTAAATTGGCAATGTGGTCTACGACACATGATAATGCCGAGAATCGAGGCTAGGATTATAACCAGTGATATGATTGTGCTCCCCGATATAGCCCTAGACATGGTGTGCCATCTCACTGCAGTTGCATATACCCCTGCTATCAGCTGCACCGAACTTCTTCTGGCGACAGGTATGTAGAAGGTCATGTCGACTGTTGGACAATTGTAAATAGTAACACATAGCATACGGAGTACTCCGTAGTAAATAGTCAGTTGGAGCTACGTAGTATACGAGGGGCAGCCCCTCAGGATCAGCCCCTGCATGAGTACGGAGTATAGGAG